CTGCTGGAGTCTGCCGGAGTCTGCCGGGGTCTGCCGGGGTCTGCCGGGGTCTGCCGGGGTCTGCCGGGGTCTGCCGAAATCTGCTGGTGTCTGCTGGAGTCTGCCGGGGTCTGCTAGAGTCTGCCGGAGTCTACTGGAGTCTGCTGGAGTCTGCTGGAGTCTGCTGGAGTCTGCTGGAGTCTGCTGGAGTCTGCTGCATCACTGGACCAGCAGGTGGATGTGTGAGAGCGTGGCTCTCATTACTCAGGTATACTCTAATGTGCCTCCCTGGTTACTGCATTGGACCCATGGTGTTACTCTTGCTGACTAAATGAAAAGGACGAGGCTCACCTGTGTTCTAAAGTATATTCAACTGCAAGTCACATTTCCATCTAGACCTCATGGACTAGGACATGTTCTCCATAGTAAGACTTCAGAATATTAACAGAATATATGCATGCATGTATCTACCTACAAGGGAGAGGGAGAGGGGTTTAAAAAAACCTATTCTGCTGTTCTGGGCTGATAAGTTGTGTTATGAGAAAGTGCAGGGCCAGACAGCAGGGTCATTATTATGGTTGCTTGAGAGAGAGCGAGAGCGAGCGAGAGAGAGAGAGAGCGAGAGAGAGAGAGAGAGAGAGAGAGAGAGAGAGGATTGGTCCCGAGAAGGAGTGAAACAGGGAGCAGCAAGGAGAAAAAGTTATTTGTAATGTTCGTCCACACACAACAGAAAAGACTCATTGGAAATGCCACTAAGTCTTCCAAAAGTCAAGACATATCAACTTCATTGAGCAACAAGGGTTCAATAAGTCATGACAACTCAGATTGTGAAAGAAACTATTTAAAATTGGGAGAGAGAACTAATTCTGTAAAGTTTATTATATTTGGGCTAAATCCAGTAAACTGGGTTTGGATAAAAAGGACAAGTAGAAACACATAATGAACCATCCTGTGCATCTGGCCTCTGCACACGCTCAGTTTGAGACGTTTGAGTTTTTCAATCGTCAAATGCATTTCTAGGTTTTAATCCGTAGGTTGGGCGACACGGTGGCACTCTCACTTCTCAGCAAGAACGTTCTGGGTTCGAATCCCGGTCGGAACAGGGCCTTTCTGAGTGGAGTTTGCATGTTCTCCCCGAGTCTGCATAGGTTTCCTCCGGGTGCTCCAGTTTCCCCTAACACTAAAAACATGTACAATAGTTCAGGGTGAATGAGTGTGTGTTTGTGAGTGCGACTGTGGGACAACAGATGCAAATGATACAATCTGGAGTGATGTGTTCATGAACATGCACTGTCCCAACCAAACAAACTGTTAATACAGAAATATAGCAAAGAGTTTTATAGTTGGTTAAAATAATCCCACATGAACATTGACCCTTCATTCCACACACACACGTATACACCCACACACACACGTATACACACACACACACACACACACGCACACACACACATATACACACACACACACGTATACACACACACACGTATACACACACACGTATACACACACACACACGCACACACACACGTATACACACACACGTATACACCCACACACGTAAACACACACGTATACACACACATACGTATACACACACACACGCACACACACACGTATACACCCACACACGTATACACACACACACGTATACACACACACGTATACACCCACACACACACACGTATACACACACACGTATACACCCACACACGTATATACACACACACGTATACACCCACACACACACGTATACACACACACACACACACACACATACACGTTTTTGTTACCTGGTGGGTCCCTTTGACAGGGCCGTTCAGAATGGGACCCATAGACATAATCTTTTTTTACCAAGACTTTAAGTAATACAAAACAGTCAATAGAAACCAAACAACTATTTTAAAGGAATTTTATTTTAGATTTTGTTTTCGAATTGCAGTGATTCTATTTTTGACATAGAATTTAATGCCACTCCATGTCCGATGTCTAAGGTCATCTGGTGAGGCATTAATGCAGGCCAGGCAGTGAGACTTCCCAGGGACCTTTCCAGTCTGTATGAAAGGTGTCATGGTCTTCTCCACAGCCTTCACCTCAGATGCAGACCATGGCTTTCTTACACGTTCTAGGGAGAGAAATAAAAATATATTAGCAATATACACTCCCAGGGTGAGGACCAAGCAGCCTGGCTGTAATCCCCCACCTGGTACACTTACCAGAAGGGGCACTGCCACTACCATGGGGTGCATCTGGATGAATGGTTGAAGGTTCTCCGCTTGAAGTTTCTTTTAGCCCGTCCGTTTGTGAGAGGATCTCTACTGCTCTCCCTGTCGCACAGAAAATAAAAATACAAGTGGCCTTTAGGGGAAAAAAATCATACATATTTTAATAATATCAAGAATTACCTTCAGGCTCAATTTGTATCTGGTCGAGGCTCTTTCCTTCGAATTCCGTCACTCTTCCCTGCTCCATGGCCATCAACACTTTGCTGATTTTGGCCAGCTCCAGTGTCCCCTCTGGTAGTCTGTAATATTGCCTGTGGATGCGAATGTCATGGCCGAGGAAGTTGGCAAGTATGTCCATCTCATTCTCTTTCATATTGAGAACTGTAGACATAGTAGCTATGTGCTTTCTAAGTTTGGTTGAGGATAGCATCTCTGGATGCACCGCACCACATTCTTTGGCTACCTGGCGTAGGGAGTCTGATCCCCTGATGTGGGTGTCTGCGCCCGGGCGGGAAAAGAAGTATGGGTTATGGTCAGAGATGGAACAGGCCCTTCTGTTCTCCACCAGCACCTCCATCGAAGCAATCATTTCAGGAGTCAAAAGAACCGGCACTTTCCGACTTCTTTTCCCTTTAATTTCAATGCGTTGAAAATGCTGACACAGCTTTTTCTCAAGTTGGGACAGTCCCAGAGCAATGTCAGAATGGATCCCAGTCTTACTTCTTAAGGTAAAGGCTGTCAGTGGCATCTTTGAAACCTCACCTTCCCTTCTTCGATTGAAAATGATGACCTCACAAAGAGTCAAAACTGCCAGTTTAGACCAATGCTTAGACGTTGGCTCACTTATTAGGGTTTGCACATATTCAGGTCGACATACCTCAATATGTGCATGCATGGCTCTAACGTCCTCAGTCAGAGGGAGCAGGTCCGGAGTGTTCCACTTGGCTTGCCGGAGGGTCTGTAGGGCAGCAGAAGAAACACAGACGTCCCACCTCTTCTCAAAAAGCAGCCGGCTTCGTTGGAGGTTTTTAATAAATAGTTCATCAACACAATGCTCCATTTTTGAGTCACATTCAAGAATATCTGCTAGCTTTCTGAGGCTATGGCCGAGTTTGAGGGCCAAGGATGGAGTCTTGTATTGATTTGTTTCCTCATCATATCCAGCCACAGACCTGACTGCATCAATCACATGGTTAAAGTTGGAAGGAATAAAGAAATCCTTAATTGTTTTCAGTTTCCCTGCGGTTTTTGCTTCGTTAATTAACCTACCGACTTCTCTCATTTTCTGCCTAATGTAATCATGCTTAGTCTTATCATGCCCGTGTTTTAAGTACAGGTGCTCTCCGAGTCTCAGAATCCCCTTTTCTGCTTTGACAACACCCGTGACCTCATCCTGATGCATTGCCGAAATTAAAGACCACAGCTTTTTGCTGATGCCCTCCGGTACAGGCTGGGCTAGGGAGCAGAGGGACTGGACCCTACTTCTACCTGGTTTAGCCTGGGCATCTTTCTGTGAAAGCCGGCACCTGGCCACATGCCTCCACAGCGACTTTCGCTTAAGCAATGCCCCACAGTCTATACAGTGCAAAAACTCACTGGATTTAACTGGGCAATTTGGCTGTTTAGCTGGGACTAAAGTTCCAATGCCGGCCTTTAAAACCTCAAAATTGTGCTCACGGTTTCCACTATTCCTGATCAAATCAAACTGAAGTTTACGTGCTTTAGATTTCACAGGTAGAGCCAATGCTCTGGCTACGTCACTTTCATTTCCATGTTTTCTAGTCAAATGACGGGACATTTTGTGGCAGGACATTGAACAGTAGAGGCAGAAGTGTCTCTTGCTGTATACTCGCCCCCCATTTTTCTTCTTTTGCAGCTGCATGATAACAATCTTATTTGCCTTTGGTTCGTCACTTTCCGAGTCTTGAAGAAAAGTGTTTTTGATTTTTCTTTTTCCATACTTTTTTACAGGTTTCTTCTTGACAGTTAAATCGTCAGAATCTGAGTCGACTTCATCAATTAGGGACTCTTGACTAAGCTGCACAAACAACAAATAATTTGTAATCATTCTATATAACAATTTGAAGTCATGACTTGTAGTCAGCACTTACCAGTGGTTTGTAAGCGTGCGCTTCAGTGTGCTCCTCCATGATTTCTTGCAGCCTAATGAACCACACACTTGCACCTTTTTCTAGCCTGACACCTGATTTCCTCTGTTGTGCTGCTCCATGATTGATGGCTCCAGCCTGCTGGACTGAAATTGCCCCAGTGTGCCCCTCCTTGATATCCCGCAACCCACCACCAGGGTTCCGACACATAACACACTTTTTTCAGGAAAGTAAACCTCCAGGGGTCCTTTCCATATTTTTACAGAGACTGCATAAGGACCGTTAGAAAAGCATTACCCATTGATTATTAAGCTTGGACCAGTGGGGTCCGGTGTTCGGGCCCCACCACGTAAAACCAGTCCCCATGACGTGAGTGGAATCTCAGGTTATGGAACCCACCAGGAGTTGAAAACAAGTGCACACACACACACATACGGCTGGGGGCAGGTGAATCCAGCAGAAGAATCCTTCAGGGGAAGCCACAAGACTCAGACTTGTGATTTATTGTTATTTGTGTAAATGTGATTTTTATGAATACTGTTGTGTTAGTCTATCATTTTTTAACTGCTTAAAAGAAGATTCAAGATGGCGGCGCCCTGTAGAACTGCTGTAACTTCAATCAACAAAAGCTGAAATTCTTGCTAAACAAACCAGCAAACAAAAAGATACAGCACAGTAAAACTTGGCTATGCCACCGAAGAGAGCAACAAGCAAAGTAGAGATGGAGAATGAGATGGAGGACATTCGAAAGTCGCTTAGCCATATGTCTGAGGAGCTGCCCAAAGTGACTCAACAGCTGGCAAAGCTAATGGGACTTTTTGAAGAAGTTAGACAACTGAAGGAGCTGATTAAAGAAAAAGACAAAACTATCAATGAGCTTGAAAAGAGGATTGATCAGTTGGAACAGTACACGAGGATGGACGACGTGATTATCACCGGACTGAGAGTTAAACCCCGCTCCTATGCCAAGGCGGCAGCCGGGGGGAGAAACATCAGTGAAGATGCTGACACAGAGGACCAACAATCACTGGAGACACAGGTTGTGACATTTCTGATGGAAAAGGACATACATCTAGATGCCAAAAATCTCGCAGCCTGTCATATGCTCCCAAGGAAAGATGTAAGTAACCCTGTCATTCTTTTACGCTTTGCAAATCGTAAGCACAAAGTTGAGCTACTGCGTCAAGGGAGGAAATTAAAGGGATCTGCTGTTTATTTAAATGAGCATCTTACGAAGAAGACAGCAGACATGGCACGAGAAGCGCGCATCCTAAGAAGAAATGACAAAATCAAAGCAACGTGGACGAGGAACTGTAAGGTGCTTATTCAACTAAAGGGAACTACTCCGGAGCAGGCTAAAGTAATCATGGTAAGAGAACTCAAGGACCTTGATCCATATCGCTAAATTGTCTGCACCTAAACTACTTGGATTCTTTTCCAAATCCCGCTCGTTATGTGTTATGGAGGTCATGATATTTTTTGTTTTCGTTAGAAGGGACAAACGAATGGACCTTACTGTCTCTCACTGGAGTGGTGATTATGCAGTTCACGCGCAACAGTTAAACTTTGAGCATGTGGGACGTTGGATTATTTATTTGCTTTTTGACTACGCGTGGAAATGGATTCAATACCTATTTCACGTGGACTATGCGCGGATAATATTTAGTAATCCATGGATTTACTTTTTGGAAGTTGGACGGAGTAAAAGGACAGTGACTTTAACACCTTTATTGGAAACAATGGATTGTGTTAAACAGGACAGGAGCATTTCTTTTACATCAAGATTACATTTTTGGTTAAATTATACTAACAATTGTGCTTGCTGTGGTCACGGATTCAAGTCATTTTTTATTTATTATTATTATATATTTTTCTTTTTTCTTTCTTTTTTCCATTTTTTTCTCTCTCTACGAGTGTATGCACGTGTGCTTGGGCGTGTGAGTGTTTGTGTGGGCGAATGCGTGTGTATGTGTATGTACAGTTGCAAGGAAACGTTTAATCTATATAATGTCAAATATAGATCAGATGGCTGATGAGGAGTGTGAATTGTCAGTAGTATCCAGAGATGAAGCTGAGAATGAACAAGAATATACGGATAATTTAGATAGAAATGAATTGGAAAAACACATTGAACATATGAACTTAAATTTACTTGATACTCTGAACTATAAAACAAATGAGTTTGGCGAAAACATAGATCCAGATAATCACTTTTATAATGACATAATAAAGGACTGCAAGTATTACTCTGATGAACAGTTTAATCTTGTTGATATGGATGGAGCATTAAGTGTAATTCATTTCAACAGTAGGAGCCTGTACAAAAATTATGATAGTATCAAAGAATATCTTAGTAAACTTAATAAATTTAAAGTTATAGCAATGTCAGAGACATGGTTAGATACAGATAAAGCAACTGAAGTAGAATTAGAAGGATATGAGCTCTTTACCATCAATAGGACTAATAAAAAAGGTGGTGGCGTGGCACTATATGTGGACATGGATCTGAGAGGTAACCTTGTTAATAGTAAGTCATTCACAATTGATGGAGTTATAGAGTGCATAACCGTGGAAATTGAAGTAAAACAATCCAAAAATGTTGTTGTTAGTTGTGTGTACAGGACACCAGGATCATGTATTGATACATTTAATCAAATTATGGATAGATTATTCAATAACATAAAAAAGACACATATTGTCTGTGGTGATTTTAATATAAATCTCTTAAACCCTCATAATAGTATGCAAACAAATGAGTTCACTATGACTATGTATAGCAATAATCTATTCCCACTAATCACCAAACCCACAAGACTTACAGTCGAAACAGCAACATTAATAGATAACATATTTACCAATAGTTTTCAAACACAAACCACTGCTGGCTTACTCATAAACGATATTACCGATCATCTTCCAGTGTTCAGTATTTTTCATAAGCTACTCAGTAGGTATGATATATCAAGTACATCCCAATCACTAACATATAAAATGGTGAGACATAGAACTCCTGAAGCCATGGCTGCCTTAAGGGCTGACCTATCCAGTCTGACGTGGAGTGAGGTCTATTCCACATCTAATCCTGACCAGGCCTATGACATCTTCTTAACCAAACTGATAAGTCTTTATGACAAACACTGCCCACCAAAGAAACATATTATTAAAGAATCAAACAACCAAAACAAACCGTGGATTACTAAAGGTATAGCTAATGCGTGCAAAAAGAAGAAATATTATTATAAATTATTTCTAAAATCACGATCTAGAGAAGCTGAAGAAAGAATATAAAAAAAAAAAAAATAAATTAACCAACATAATAAGATCAAGCCAAAAAATATATAATAATGAACTACTAGAGAAACAGAAAGATAATACACAAGGTACTTGGAAAGTTCTAAATGGTATACTTAAAAACAAAAACAAAAAAGCTGATTATCCCAAATATTATGTTAAAGATGGAAAAATTATGGATAAAAATACAGAAATTGTAAATGCATTTAATCAATTCTTTGTCAATGTTGGACCCACTCTAGCCCAAGAAATTGTTCCACCACCAGAAACTATGGAAGTGGACATAAGTAATATCGAAAGTAACTTAAATTCATTTTTTATTAGAAGTGTAGATGACAATGAAATTATAAATATTGTGAATACATTTAAGAGTAAGAGGTCCACTGACAGTTTTGATTTTGATATGATGCTGGTAAAGGAGATTATAGCTAGCATTGTTATACCTTTAACACATATCTTTAATCAGTCTTTTCTCACTGGCATCTTTCCAACTGCAATGAAAATTTCAAAAGTAATACCTATTTTCAAAAGTGGAGACAAACACAAATTTACAAACTACAGACCAATTTCTTTACTTTCCCAATTCTCCAAAATCCTAGAAAAGCTGTTTGACACGAGAATGAATGAATTTTTAAATAAGCACAATATCATTTACGACCGGCAGTTTGGCTTTAGGGCAAATAGGTCGACCTCTATGGCAGTCATGGATCTGGTGGAGGAAATTTCAACGGCAACAGACAATGGAGAAAATACAGTCGGTGTCTTTATAGATCTAAGTAAGGCCTTTGACACGATTAATCATCAATTACTTTATCAAAAATGCAAAGATATGGCTTCAGAGGAGTCGCATATGAATGGTTAAAAAGTTATCTAAGTGGGAGGCAGCAATATGTACAAATTAGTAATGTTAGTTCTGAAAAACACACCATAACTCACGGTGTCCCGCAGGGGTCTGTTCTTGGGCCAAAATTATTCATCATGTACATTAATGACATCTGGCAAGTCCTTAAGAACATGCAGTGCATTCTGTTTGCTGATGACACCAGCCTCTATTGTTCTGGACAAAATATTGAACAGTTAATGCATACAGTTGAAAATGAACTAGAATTACTAAAACGATGGTTTGACTACAATAAATTATCAATGAATGTGAATAAAACAAAATATATTATATTCGGTAATAAGAAAATTGATAATTCAATAAAACTAAACATCGACCAAAGGGAAATTGAGAGGGTGTGTCATACAAAATTTTTGGGAGTGCATGTTGATGAAAGACTAAATTGGAAAGTGCATATAAATTTTGTGAAATCTAAAGTATCAAAAATAATTGGCATATTGTGTAAAATCAAGGCAGTTGTAAACCAAAAATCACTCCACTTATTATACAATGCTCTCATTCTTCCATATCTAAATTATGGTGTGGAACTTTGGGGGAATAATTATAAAAGTACAATCCAACCTATTTTTATACTGCAAAAAAAAGCGGTCAGAATAGTCAATTATGCAGATTATTATGCCCCAACAAATCCCTTGTTCATAAAATTAAGAATACTAAAACTAAATGATTTAGTTGATCTTAGCACAGCTATTGTTATGTATAAGGTTCATAACCATAAGCTTCCTGAATGTATTCAAGAAAGGTTCAAACCCAGAGAGACTGGCTATAATCTAAGAGGAACTCATATTTATCAGAAAAATATATTTGGAACAAACTCCAAAGCCAGATGTGTTTCAGTCAGAGGAGTAAATATATGGAATAGTCTGAATGACACCTTAAAAAACTCAACATCGTTAAACGCTTTCAAAAAAAAAATCAAATCTAACATAATTAGCAGTTACACAGAATTAGAAATAAATCACAGATAAACTCTCCTGTGTACAGTATATTTTGTACTTTGTACTATTTTGCTCTTGTACTTTGCTACTTGTAAAATGTTCCTTTGTACTATTGTGATTTTTTTTTTTTTATTGTAATGATTTCGGGGGTGGGCGCTCATAAGCTTTTGCTTCGGCCCACTCCTTTTGAGCAGAACTTGAACTGCTCAAATAAATAAATAAACTAAAAAAAAATAAACTAAAAGAATATACCTTAAGTTGTAATAAGTAACTAAAACAGAACTATCAATCAATCAATCAATCAAAGTTTATTTGTAGAGCGCCTTTCATGCACAGGGCAACACAAAGCGCTTCACAGTCCACATCACAAATCATCACATAAAACAAACACCAGAATCACAATTAAAACATTAAAATCACACAAAAGATTAAAACACAATAAAAACAATAAAATCACACAAAAGAATAAAACCATTAACACTTTCAAAGTTACACAAGAAATTTAAAAAAATAAATAAATAAATGACAGCAGTGCATTAGAAATGGAGATAAAATCCTTCAGTTGTATGCACAGGCAAACAGAACAGTCTTTAACCTGGATTTGAACATTGACAGAGTAGACGCCTCCCTCACATTTTCAGGGAGATTGTTCCAGATCTTAGCTGCATGGATCTGAAACGCAGCCTCCCCATGTTTGGTTCTCACTCTGGGCACCAGCAGGAGGCCAGTCCCTGTGCTCCTCAGAGTCCGGGCTGGTTCATATGACACCAACATGTCACTAATGTATTCTGGTGCAAGGCCATGGAGAGACTTGTACACAAGCAGAGCTGTTTTAAAATCTATTCTTTGAGCCACAGGAAGCCAGTGCAGAGACCTGAGGACCGGACTAATATGGTCATACTTCCTGGTTCCTGTCAGGACTCTAGCTGCTGCATTTTGGATGTACTGCAGCTGCTTACAGGTCTGTTTGGACAGACCTGTAAGCAGGCCATTGCAGTAGTCTAGCCTGCTGGAGACAAATGCGTGGACAAGAATCTCCAAGTCTGCCCTGGACACTATATTTCTGACTTTGGCAACTATAATAAAACTTGTTATCTGTAGTTTATTTTGTGCATTTTGTTCCATTGAATCCTGCTTTTACTTGATCGTGTTTGTAAATGACTGTCTTCATTGGATCCATTTGAAACTGCAATATTGTAAAACGTCTTGTTCCTGCAGGAAGCATGTCGTCGCTGCTTCGCTCCAAATGGGGTCCGCTCAAAGACAACGAAGCCACCGTCGTCTTCTACAGCAAACAGATCCTGGAGGGACTCAAATATGTCCACGACAGTCAGATCGTGCACAGAGACATTAAAGTAAGTTTAGGAAAATCATGTTTTGCCAAAAGTTGAGCTCGACCTTTTTCATATGATCTGACTTTAGCGGCGTACTCAAGATTTCTGATTTTGGCCCTTTCTGGACCACTTTGGACACATCTGACATAACAGTAGAACCGTCCCTCAGGATCCTTACAGGGGACGACTCGAACTGTGCAAAGGGTCCTGCAGGTTAAAGATCGAAGTAAAACACATCTTATTCACGTGTCAGTTCCAAAAAGTTTAGAAAGTACATAACTATGCAGCGTGTGAGGCCATTCTTACATTGTTCCATATGTCTTTGCCTGCTCCATATCTCTCTGTCCAGTCTAATTGAGTCAGTCATTGCGAACACTTACTGATCTGACTGGAGGATATTTCTTTCAAATGTGCCATTATCTGCAACTGCCTCCAGACGCCACTCCATCATGTTTAAGTCCACTTGTAGACCACATCCTCTCAGGCCGTTCTGTCAGCCATTACAACCAGGCGCACCAAAAGGCCTGTTTATTGTGCTAATAGCCACTGCTTCTGTATTCTGCTGCAGCGGCCCGAAAGACGATAAATCAAGAAAAATAAAAGTGGGTTGGCCAAAGGGCATGTTTGGACAACAAAGAGGGAATATAGAAGAGCCATACATTAAGGGAAAGGCTACGCTAGCTCATGTGTCTTGGAGATGTGTGCAAGTGTGCAGAAATATACCCCGCTTATTACAAACATCACCTTTAATGTTTTCGCTTGAAAAGACATGTCAAACTCAGGCTCGAGGGCCAAACCCGGACCACAAGATAATTTTCAGTGGCCCCTAAAATGATTTATCTTGCAGTATTAATGGTCCAGGCATGTTTTACATCATATATTTTCTCAGCTAAACAACCAAATTAAATGTATTCCCAAACACAGAAGTTTAACTTTATGATTGGTTCTGTTAGTAAAGGGCATAGTCCTTACTAACGGAAACAACCATCCTCCTGTGGACTCTCCTCAGTGAGGGGCTGGTGCTATGCGTACTGGGAGAATGGCCAGAATGGCTTAAGGGGTAGAAAATGGATGGACAGTTTCCGTTAAATCCAAACTGTAAACATTTCCTCAGGAAAAAATAGTGAAACTCATGTCACATATGATAACAATCTTGGATTGGTTTTAAACAGCGCTTTAGGATCAAAGTCTCTTCACATCATTATTCTCTCTCTCCAAACACGGTGGTGATAAACTACTGTAGCCACAGCTGCCCTGGGGCACACTGACAGAAGAGAGGCAACCAGTCTGTGCCATCAGCCCCTCTGAACCATTCACACACACACACACACCAGACTCCTTCTGTCGTTGGTGAAGTGTCTTGCCTAAGGACACAACCACAGTTTGGCACTTTACAGCCGCCCCACTGTGGCTGGTGTTCCCAGAGGTCTCCCATCACAGAACTAACCAGGCCCTGCCCGGCACAGCTTCAGAAGTCTGACAGGATCTGGCTTTTCCTTCTATAATCATCAGGGTGCATTTTGGGTAATATTGCCGAGAGTCATGTATCTTTGGTAAAGTAGCCGCATGCTAACCAAACTGATAACTGGTGGTTGCAGACAGCTCAGTCACTGGTTCAATGAGACCAGATCCAGACCAGATCAGAGCCAGACACTTTGCATTGGAACAAGGGTCTCTCGAACGCCCCTTTCAGGTAGCTCCCCAAAGGATTTACGTTTATTCTTGAACAAATACATTTTGAGTCATTACAAATATTAGTATAAAGTAAAGTATATAGTTTTACAGAATTATGGTATATTTATGTGTTTTGTCCTAATTATTACATAGATGTTTTTAAATTACAAAGACAAAAAGGAGTAGCTCTCTGCCTCTTTTGTTGCATAAAAGTAGCTCTCCTATTGAACAGTTTAGAGACCCCTGCATTAGAGAAACACACAGTCCTCCAGAGGCATAAATAACATCAAAAATAAGAATTCCAACATGGATTTGAAAGCATTGTTGTGAACTAACTTTGTCATTAAATGAATTGAGAGTCTTCCTATTGTCTTAATTAAAGTCGTATATTTCCAAAGTGGCTAAAGTTGAGTTCCATGTTGAGAAGCATCGAGGCTACAGTGTGCAGGCAGATGGCAGCTCCTCTCAGCCGTCACTGTCTGTCACCGCCCAGACTTGATGAGCTATTTTGGAGTTTTTGCCTGATCCTGACTCCTTTCTCTGCAACTGCTGCAACCCTTTTCCAATTCTTGTACTATTTAAGTATCAATTGTGGGTGTTCCAAGTGCTTGACAATGCTTAAATGCATTAAAAGTTAGGTTTGTAGGTTTGAGAGAGAGAAGCAGACTTGGTAAACTTACTTTTTCTCAAGTTTTTGGGTATGAACAAGCTATGCAGTGCTGGTACTTTGACAGGGCATTGGAACAAACATGTGAAACGTACGTTGTTTACATGAAATAAGCCGGAAAATATACAAGAACCTGAAAGTAAGTGTCCTTCAGTGAGTGATAAAGTAGATCATTTCATTTTAGGTCAATAAGAATGTCTCTGCACTGGCTTCCTGTGGCTCAGAGAATACACTTTAAAGCAGCTCTGGTTGTGCACAAGTCTCTCCATGGCCTTGCACCAAAGATCACTCTGAGTAGCACAGGGACGGGCCTCCTGCTGGGAACTTGAGGAGCACAGGGACTGGTCTTCCTCTGGGCGCTCAAAACAATGGATTTGTTGTTCTTATGTATACATTCTTTTATCAATCAAACAATCAAATGTCATTTACAGTCAAAGTGACCAATGCTTTACAATAAAATCACATGAAATCCATTTAAAACAGTCATACAATCAAAAAATAAAAGTAAAAAAGTATTAAAACAAGTGTCACCGTGCTAATGAGTGTTAAAAGTGTTAAAAGCCAGTCGGGATAAATATGTTTTGAGCCTGGATTTAAAGGGGGGAAGCCTGTTCCAAAGTCTGGGTCCAGGACTGAGATGGACCGATCACCCCAGTGTTTGGACCTAGTCTTAGATACTTCCAGGAGGAGTTGAGTTTAATCTATTTACCTTTGAGACCGTCATTGCCAAAGGGCCACATTCATTAATATTAATAAAAAACACATACATTTCTGGTTATAATTGAGGTGAGACCTTTTTGTGGGAGATCTTATCAGGAGTTACTTTTTGAGCATTACAATCATTGCCCTCAAATATTGCAAAAGGGTGGACTGGTTGTAATCTCCGTCATCTATCGTTTTAATATCGAGGCATGTCCATCAGTAAGCATCACCCCTCGTCCTAGGCCTGCAGGTCCTTCTCACTAATGAAAGAACGAACCCTGATTAGTCTGGCAGCAGCTGTGTCGGGATCCCAGCATGAGTCCTGCTCTCTCTGCATGGCGTATACGTGTCTGTGTGTGTGTGTGTGTGTGTGTGTGTGTGTGTGTGTAAATCCAAACATTTGTGCTCTCTTAACCCTTTCCCCCGCCCCGCCCCCTGCATTTCTCATATCCTCTTTTGCACTAAGCTTTCCAAACTTGGCTGCGTGCGATTGCTCAGTCTGGCAAATGACTGCAGGGCCTGACAATCCACTGTCAGCACAGGCCGCCACAGTCAATAACGCTGTCCCATGTCACCGCGCTACACTGGCTAAAGCTCACTTTTCTTACCCCACTAAAACGACTGCTTAACAGCCCTTCCCAACACCCTCCCTCTCCCCTGCACCACGCCCTGATACTTCTCGAGAGGGTAGGCTCTTCAAATGACCAGAGGATCCTGCATATTTATGGCCATAGTGAAATTTTACACATTGCCTGCCCACAGAATTTCCAAAAAGCAAGTGATGGGTGACTGATCCGGGTGTCTCCCTGGAACAAAACGGTTGTAGGCTGTAGTCAAATACGCACATTGCATACATAGTGCATGCATGAGGTGAAGCGTGTGCGGCTCAGGGAAGTGGAGCCAAGAAAATGGTCTCCACGATAATCCAGCGGCTGCATTAGGAATCGGTGTCTGCTGGTCCTTTCACATGCACGGCCCTGTGTACTGTACGTGCACTGTCTGTATAGAGTTATATACAAGATAATGGCGTGTCGCTGCACCTTTTGTCAGCCTTGTCCCGAGAAACGAGCGCTCTGCTGTTGGTTCCCATTAGCGGCTTCTGGCCTTGGCGTGCTGCAGTCCATTGCCACAGAAGACTAGATATGAGAATGTTTCTTGTGTGACTTGTACTTTTTATCAAACTGTGAAGTTTGGGATTGACAGAAAGATACAACAAAGTAGTCAATTGATTGTTGCTGCCTTAACTTTGATACAAAAAGTACTTAATATAACATCTATCAACAAATGTTTTTCTTCTCCATACTTAAAAGTCACAAATATAAAAAAAAAAAAATAAACCTTTGTTGAGATTTTTCATACCGTACAGTTATGAAAAATAAACATACAACGATTATCAATGAACAATAGCAACTTCCATTTGGATTAGCCCCGAACCATAACCCTAGAGCTTTAACGGTTTCAGCCATTTTTAAAAACTAAATTACGAATGGTCACTTATCAAATGTCACTTAAGGGCTCTTAAAGGCGAGTGGACATCTGCACATCAAAATGAGGACTGGACCAGAATAGAACAGAACAAAGTGGAGTAGACCAGGACCAAACCTGAAAGGGGAAGACTGAGATAAAACACAAAACACAACAAAGGACTCATCAGGAAAAATAACACGTGAGATCACACACTTACGATAATAAATAAACTTAGCCCAAAAAAACTCCAATTTGATCTACAGGAAGTGTGCGACCTGAAGACGATCTATGAAAACATGGTCCCTGAAAAATCATGGTACTTTTATAATCAAAACAACATTTTACCAATAAGCACATGGTATCTGTAATCTCCTGAAGAAAAGGTTCAGTTGGGATTTGAAATATGCTTTTAATTAATCATAATAATCCATCCATCCATCCATTTTCTACCCTTTAATTTAATCATAATAATAATAATAATAATAATGCATTGGTTTTATATAGCGCAGTTTCAGTTCATTTCTTCTTTGGTCACCAAAATAAACATTACGCATTGGTATACACAGAAAAATACAAATACATGAATGAGCGAAGGGGTTTAGGCTGAAGTATAAACTTATTTCGCCAAACCCCTATTTCTGTGAAAAAAAAGCATTAAAAAGCGCTTTTCTGGACACTCAAAGCCTCATTCACTCCAACAAACACGGTTGCGATAAACTATTACAGTAGCCACAGCTGCCCTGGGGCACACTGACAGAAGTTAGGCAACCAGTCTGTGCCATCGGCCCCTCCCACCACCACCAACCATCCACACACACACTAGACTCATTCTAAAGTTGAAGGTTAGACCATTTTGGACCTTTTTGAGCCGTGGCGATCACATGTCAAACCATCTGACGCGAGACTGAGCCTCTGCAGCCTTTAAGAACAAAACAAAGTCATTAAGATCAAAGTCAAATATATAGAACATTATTTAATCTCGCTTTTCTTCTCTGATTATTATTTTGCTGATATGGGGTCATACAACATCGGGTTGGAAAACACTGGGTTAGACCACCGTAGAAAAATGTACATGTCTCATACAAAGGTCTTGTTCTGTAATCGGGCAGCGTGGTTAGCACTCTCGCTTCTCAGCAAGAAGGTCCTGGGTTCACATCCCGGTCAGAACAGGGCCTTTCTGAGTGGAGTTTGCATGTTCTCCCTGTGTCTGTGTATGTTTCCTCCTGGTGCTCCGGTTTCCCCTACCACTAAAAACATGCACAATAGTTCTGGCATGTGCCTCCTGTACTGGCCCCGCTCCCATCTCTGTGTGGAGAGAGAGACTAATGCCCACAACTGTAAACCGCTTTGACTCTGGTCTGTGAAAGGCACTGTATAAATAAACATTACATACTTGGAGACAGAGTATTTGGACTTTTATGACTGATTCCTTCCTAATGCTGTCAGACTGTACAATGAGAACTGCAGAGTCTGTACATGTCATTCATCTGTAAGTAGTAAATACTGCAATTTCAGAATGTCCACTGAATGTCACTTTAACAACGTATTACCCTAACCCTATCTGTACTGTGGGTTAGACACTATACAGATACAAGTAGATGTCGATATAGTTGTATGTTCATTGCAACATTGAAATTTCCCCACAGTGGGACAAATTAAGGATCTCATCTCTGATAGCGTTTGGGGGGAGTGAAAAGCATCTTCTGGTCTTTAAAAATGGTCAATCTTTGCATGTGCTTGCTCATTTTGTCGATGACCAAAAACCAAAGAAATGACATTTTTGCTGTAAACAATGGATTCTGATTTACTATTTACTTCTGACGATATCAATACTGCCTCAAAAAGTACATTTTCTCACACAGCCTGCACAGATAATTCTTCTGAGCCCATGTAATAGTTTGTAGCACTTAGTTTTTGGACAGAAAAGAGTAAAAACACAACACTTGACATCATTGAATTGCACAGAAAAGAACACATTATAATTCCAATAATGAAAAATAAAACACATTCCAAGGTAATGAGATGCAGCTCCATGTTTTCGTGACGCACAAACATTCCATTTGCCGTCTTGCATTGATTACATCCACACGTGGGGTTGTAATAACTCAAATCAATTCCATGTTCCGTCTGTCTCGTGTGTGGGACGTCTCACTAAAGTAACGGGCTTTGGGTTCTCGTCGCTCATAAACACGTCTAATCAAATGTTTAGACGGAGATAATAAAACTCCCGTGTGTTATTAAGAATGTCATATCTGTGTCCGTCCTCAAACATGGAAGACAAAGGCCACGTCGAATAAGATATATATTATTATTATTATTAAGCAAAATAAATAAGCTTTGTCATTGGTCAACGGCTTCCATGGGTTTGTTATTGATTTTTCTGTGTATGAACGGTTTGATTCTCTAATTTGTTGTTGGAGAATCGACTGCTTTGGCCTCTATACGCTTCTGTTGTGATTTAGGGCAATGCAAAAATAAATGAATTCATTAGGGATGGAGAGGATGTAACTTGGATGACAAAATTAATGTTGTATAAACTGTATGTGTATATTTTAAATTATGTATTGTTGTTATTGACATTGGTATTTCAAAGATGCTGATTGACAATAGATTTAGATATGTTTGTGATCGTGACACCGTGAATGAGTGCGGAGAAAGACAAGACACTAAATGTACAGTCGACAGCTCCATCTAGAGGCAGAAAGAAGCTACTGTCGCCGCCGTGCAATTAGTCCAAGCGCGTTCCTGGGCTTTTCAAAATAAAATGAAAAGTGTGATATTTAGAATGGATGTTATTGAGCACTTTCAGCTACAAATCATTTACAATTTTTTTTGGGGATATTTATAATAATAATAATGCATCGGTTTTGTCTATAATATCATCATCTGCCTCTTATGAAACAATGGCTTCTAAACGTGTTTGTTATTATAATTCCTAGGTTAGAACAGTTTTGATTCTCTGATCTGTGTTGGTGAATCTAAAACTTTGTAAAGCCCTCAGAGATGACTCCTGTTGTGATGCAGGGCTATACAAAAATGAATTGAATATTTGTGCACAGTAACGTGAACAGGGCATCAATGGAAGTTGGTGCAAAACATGTACAAATGTTGACTGTATTGTGGCTGTTCAAAGATTCAGAATTTGTTTTTGCTTTTGCATAAATTCAATGGCAGAAAAAAACCTCCCAAATCAGCAGCCCTGTAAACTATATAACATTTAATATAAGAGATTTGTTTGTCTGACAGTGAGGACATTTCAGACACATTATTATTTGATAGAGACGACTGAAATCACCTAAGATTGTGTCACTATAAATCAGTCATTAGTTCATTAGACACTAGAAATCTAAACTAGGGCTCTTTGTGTAGCAGATACATGAGAAATATGGCGTTTATTTTTAGACTGAACCCACTGTGCTTTGGTACTAACCCTATAGTGGCTGCTCAGAAGTCCTCAGATCAGTTTCTACAAGGCGTGTCCGTGTGTTTCCGTGCGGCCTTCATCCCCCGAGACCTCTTCTAACGCTGTTTATTTGTCCAAACAATCTGCCCACTTAATCCACTGACCTTCAGCGCATCATGGACACGGTTTCTGTGAATATGAAGTGACTCCACGTGGGTAAACAAAGCGTGGACTACAGGCCTAACCTCTGTCATTAGCCCATTGGAGATATTGCACTTTGCTTTAATTCACCATCTTTCACCATGTCACACTTTATATTCCTTGGCATGGCCAGGCTACACGCAGATGCATAATTTATCTCAAATTAGCGCCTATTTGAGTAAGCATCAAAGCAAGGCGGCTAAGGTTGGAGGAGAGCTTAAGGAACCGCAGGGAAACCATCGACAGGATTAATGCGGGAGATTTTTAGAAGAAATTACTGGCTTAATGAAGTGGATAAAAAAGCTGTCAGTGTTTTATTGCATCTAAATTGTGTGGAAGTGGTGTTTAGCCGTCTCGCCCACTCCCCACATAATGGCTCGTGACAGTGGCTCTGAGGCTTATTTAACTTAACTGCTGAATAGCTTGCATGGAGAAGCTATTCAGACTTTTTTTTAAGTCTGCAGTAATACAATAAGGACTTTCTTGTTACCATTTTCTGACTCACTAAAGCCAAACCCACAAGTCGGCAAAGGAAAACTGACCGTTAACTGCACCTGGTCTTAAACATGCGAAATGTCTTGAGAGAGAGGCCAGCAGATCATATTAGCAGGGAGATAAAAAGACCACAGTTCTCTGTCTAGACCTGGGATGTCAAAGTCAAATACATCAAACTTACTTCAAAAGAGAAAACACATCTTGAACATTAAATGAATAATCAATTATTTTCTTATGGCTCTGTGTGGGATGGTTCTTATACTAATCAAATATCATCCCAGGGGCCAAGATAATTCATTCGTGGGCCGCATTTGGGCCCGGGGCCTTGACACCCATGATCTAGACAAACAAGGCTTCCTTAATAATGAGAGATGACCCCATTTCATCCAAAGACTTAAAAACACCAGAAACATAGACACCATCTCTTTCTTTCCAGTCCCTATAACGCCCTCTAGTGGCAGCTTTGAAAGACAACTCCTGAGTGAGAAATTTAATTGATTTATTCCACACAATAGATAATCACAGACACATTAAACCAATCATTCATTTCAGTTTGGATGTGAAAGTGCCCACATGACATGAACCAAGTTAGATACCTTCTATCCAAGCTGAATCATACGAGTTTTTCCCTGATATGACAGAAATATGTTTGTGAAGACACCATAGATTTAGCAAAGTAGTATCTCATCCCGTTCTTTGTAAATCTTTTGGAACTATGCAGTGATGTGGTCAGAGCAAGCAGACACTACGCTTGCCTTTTCGGAATGAATACAAAGTCTGTGTCTAACTTGGGCATGTTAAAAATAAAAATTAAAATCATAGAAGAAAATGCAAAATGCCTATGATTTTAATTTCATTAGATTTCCACCCATTTCATTTAGAATTTGAATTACCTTCGCGAAACATTTAACAGCTCTTTGCTCAAGTTTCCGTACTCTAAGCAGATTTTGTCAATTCATATAGTTGCGATTAAGTGCATTGGAAATACAGTAGAGAAATACTGTTTTTAAAGTCCTCACAAAGAAACTTTCAAAAATCCTCAACCACACACTTCCATTCATACAAGTCACGTGGATAGCTCAATCCCTTTTCAGGCCGCTCACAGAATCTTCATTTCCCTTGATGACGTGTGAGACAAAAATAATAATATCAAAGCTGGTGGTGGGCAGCATTCGGGCAGGCGGGGCAGAGGTGAGTGGTGGTGAGAGAAGAAGCCATGTTTTGGGCGACAGGCTTCATCTGCTGCATATAAGGCCATCTCTGAAGACTATAAAGCAGTCCCTCCTCTTTTGTGTTCCTCCAACGAGCACAAAAAGGCGGTCAGGATGTCCGACAACGACATCACAGCTTGTCGAGAATGAGAAGTTACAGCAGCAGTAAAAGGAAGGTGTGCAATTGTAGCTGAAGTAGTCCTGACACCTCGCGTTTCCTTGGGTTAGCAGAGGAAAGGGCCCTCTCTCTGTGGCTCTGGGCGAGTGCCGTCTTGGTCTGGGGGTCACCACAGGCTTGCCATCCAGCCCCCGTCCTCTTTACAGGCTCCTGGGCCCCTTGTGAAGTCCTCTTTTTCCCTCTTTGTGCATCGTTTGTTTGTTATAGTTCTTTGTTTTTTGGGAGGTTAGACAGTGCTGCGTGGCGTGCCGTTCAGGGCTACAGGTTTGGAGCAGGGTGATCCAGGCGTCTGAGCGACAGATGGACGCGGAGTGGACACACCTACCTCAAAGACTTCGTGGATGGCCTTGCGGAAACAGTGGAAGTTGTAGTCTATCAAGCCTGAAAAACAACAAGCAGATCTTTGTAAACATCCAATGGTCTTCCGAATGTCCTTCCTGTAGAGATCTTTTCATATCTCAAGGCTCGACAGTCTTGTCTTTTCTAGTTTTTTTAATGAGCATTTTATTGTTAACAGTTTATTTTATGCATACTACTACAACTAATACAACTACAATTCTGCATTAAGCCTGTTTGATTGTGGGCTTGGCTGGTATGTTCGTCTTGAAATGCTTCTGAATGCATTTAAGACATTAGAACAATTGAGACACATTCTTTCACCAAGACAAGAAGGCAAGTTTATTTGTAGAACACAATTTACACAAAAGGCAACTCAAAGTGCTGAGAAAAGATACAGTCACACGAGGCATGAACTGTTTCTATCCACGTTACATCCTTATAGCCTTCACATTTACACATGCAGAGTCATTGGGAGTGATGCAGCTTGTTTGATAAGATAAACTTTATTGATCTCACAATGGAGTAATCTACAATGTTTGTGTGATGATGTCTGAATGCAGTGGTACGAATTTTCAGAGAATCTCCCTTTTCCCCACCAGTGGACACACAAACCATTATTTACTAAAATTGTTCACTGATTTCTTGTTGAGTTATACTGCAAAATTTTTATGTTTGCATTTGACCCATCCTGAATGTCACAAGGGCCTCTGTCAGCGCCCGGGGGCCCATCTCCAGAGGCTGATGCTGGGCTTGGTACGGACTACCAGAGCTGGAGGATTTTATCGTACCCAAAGGAAAATGTTCCTATCGGGATTCAAACCCAGATAGTTGTTGCAACGAAGCAAGAATGCTAACCACTAAGCCACTGTGATTCAATAAAGAGTCAGAAAAACAGGGCACAGCAGAGAAAGCTTTTTTTTGTACTAAATATAAACTAATAATGCATTGGTTCTAATGATTATCACTCTACAGAAGAAATTAGTGTAGTATGTTATGTTGAGCGAGCTTAAAAGGTGAGTTCAGGTGAATAAAGAATTAGCCTTTACCTTTCCTCTCAAAGCTCTCTTCTCGCAGGATGCAGACGAGGGCGAGGAACTTGGTGACCTCCTTCAGGTACAGCACGGTGGTGTTGTTCAACTTGATGATGGCCATGGACTCCTTGTCATACGCACTGCCACTGCCGTCCTCCTTCAGACTGGGAAATGTCAAAATCAGGCATTTCAGTTTCAGACGAGATAAGGCCATTTTTACAAAGCCATTCTGTTAAAAAGGTGCTCCGTGGAATTTTCTCCAGTTGAAAAAACATGTGAGCTTTTTAAGAATATTTACCTCCACCATGCTTTCCACCTCCACCAATCGTTGTCATAAGATTAGAATCTGACTTATAAATGTCCATGAGGCTGAATGACTCTTTGTGTCAAAGCTCCATCTTGGAATACAGTGGTTGATAAGGGACAAAAAGGAGTTTGAGCGGGAGTCGGGGACCACTGTCAAAGACCACATATTGTCCTGTGAAGCCACTGTAGTGCTGTAGATTAAAATATGAGGTCAATGCTAGATGGGAAAAAAAACTACTCCGTGTACCTGTAAATATGATCCTTGTGTTATAGACCCAATTGTGTTGGGTTTCTTTTGAGCCCAGAGGTTTGATGGCCAACAAATTTCAATCTGTATCTTCTGCAAATGTCATAATACCCATTTTTTCCCAATCCATAAGTCTCCTCAGACCAAAGAAAAATCTTGGGATGGTCAGTCTAGCGTCCCAATCAATGAGTGTAATAACAAAGTTTAAAAATATTGCGTTTGCTCGAAAACCATCCTCATCCTGACAACATGAGATAGCATTTTGTGTTCCAAACAGTGAACATTACCGTTCCCGACCACCAGAGGGCAGGCAGCCATAAATCTTGTATTAATCTGGCAGATCTTTGAGATGGCTAAATTATCTGTTGATTACTAGTTCCGAGCTCATTCTCATCAGGAATACCCAAGGGCAGGGGTCTGCAACCTGCGGCTCCAGGAGCCTTTTCAAAAATGTCTGAAAATGGAGTAGGAGGGGTATATTTTATTTCTAGTATGAATGTGATTTAAGTAGGAGGAAAAACATTCTCAACGTTTTTAAATGCTGTAAAAATGTGCATAAGAAATATTACATTTCAACATTTCTGTCAACGTATGGATCCCAAAGCTAAAAAGAGAAAGTTGAAAATAATAATGGACTGAAACTAGGGGTGCAACGGTTTGAAAAAATCACGGTTCGGTTCGTACCTCGGTTCAGAGGCCACGGTTCGGTTCATTTTTCGGTTCATTTTTCTTTTTGAATAAACCCAGCTCATGTGGACTCGGCACCTGCTCTGACTGCCCCCCTGACCTAGAAATGAATTAAGGTGAAGGAAATGGATGGATGGGTGGATGGAAGGCATATTCCATCCATCCAATTATGTCTATTTAACATAATTAATGAAAAACAACACAAAGTGCAACATAAGAAGGCACTTTATGAGGATATTTACCCTCATATATTACACCACCTTCCTGATTCTCCCAAGGAGGGGGTCCATTCTGGGCCCAGCCTCATTCACTGCATTTATTTAATTTTTGGCATTATCAGTTGTGACAGGAATATTAGTACTGGGCCTTTGTCTTCCATTCCTCCGCTGCTTGTGTCAGAACCTGCGCTGTGTGACTGTCGTAGAGGGGGCGTGTCTTCAGCGCCAGACTTTTCATCTCCCAGTCTGCGGTGATGAAGTGAGCGGTTCCGCTCATGGATCTATTATAGGTTCCGCGGGACGTCCAAACGTCAGTCGTGAACGCAGCTGAGGATGCGCGGGAGAGTTGACTTTAGCCCGGTCTGACTGTGATAAAGGAACTGCTTAAATGCCGCGACAATAAGCGGTCGTTGAGACGCTTTTTTCACTCATGTCTTTCTTGTGCCACAGTGCTTACACATCGTGACAGTTTTGTCGAATATTAATTATCAGTGTAGTTACAGTGAAGCCAAAATGCTCTCATACTGGGGATTTAAATGACGCGGGGCTTTCAAGCATCTCCGTTCCTCCGCTCGCAATGACCGCGCTGTGTGTGGACTGAACAACGTGCGCACAACTTTTTTTTCATAAATCAAACCGCGGATCACGTCTGTACCGAACCGAAGACGTTGAACCGAACGGATCACGGATCAGTGATGAACCGTTGCACCTCTAACTGAAACATTTGCTTTCATTGTCAGTGAGAAAGGACTGCTTCATGTTTGCTTTGTAATGATAAGTTTTGTTGCAACAAGAGGAATAATGAAGCGCAAAACACCTTTTCACTGTGATTACAACAAGGATTCATTCATCAAAAATTCAGAGCACCTATTTTCAGACTTTTAAAAAACGTTCTTTAACCGCAAAGACGGTAAAAGAAAGGGCCATTAAAAGAACATTAATTCAGTTCCAGCGACCTCCAGCCTGTGACGTGATCGATATGAACAGACAGTTCTGTGATGCAGCTATGTAAACTCTGAGCCAAAAAGCAGATTTATTTACTGTATTTCTACAATTGCATGAATGCAACATGCAGCTCCAGACAGATTTGTTTTTAGTTTTTTTGTCAAATATGGCTCTTTGAACCTTTTGAGTTGCCGACCCCTGCCCAAGGGCATAATATAAAACGGCTCCTATCCAGTCACAATCATACAAATGGTACAAAGAAACAGCTCCGGTGCTAGCAAAGGTGCTATACTCTGTGTGGTGGTGAGATTTCAGATGTTTAATAAAATTGCTTGTGTTACACGTGTTTGCTTTGGACCTTGTGACAACAAGTCCGCTTTACTCTGGTCACTCTTGTTTACTTAAAAAAACTTTGCTGCTAGCTTGCCATCCGGTTCCTTGCTTTCTAGCTGCCGACTTAGGAGATCGCCATGGCAACATGGTCTGCTGTTGTGGCGCTAATGTAAATAAAAATGTGGGTATCTGTTGCGCAGCATCGGGTCATATGATACGAGCACAAGTCTATGGTATTGACCCGATACCAGATACAGCTTTGGTATTGGTGCATCCCTAATTGAGATACTTGTGACGCCCCTGTTCCACACCATGTGTCAGGATTACGAACAAAAACCAAGTAGTGAATGGTTGAAGCTGGACTGACCCGTAAATACAGGAGACGTCGATGACCACGTCGATCATGTCGCAGCACAGCTCGTACGACTGCATGTCCACCGGAGAACTGTCGGTGGCGATGTAGATCTTGCTGACCACGTCAAACAGAAAGGCCTTTTCGATCCCTGAATTCTGAAACACAAACACCATCAAACATGAGAAATCTGGTCTTTGTGCTCCTTTTAGTGGCGGTTTGTAGGATGCATTACAACACTGACATTTCCCACTGTGGAAGCCATAAAGTCACTCATATTTCTTCATTCACCTAGATTTCAGAAGAGAATTTCTGAAAGGAGCGTTTTGTGTAATGTATATTTGTTGAGCCCAAAAACACAGCAGCAGTCGTCTCAGGACTTAAAGTTATCAATCCCTCAACAACAGATCAGAGAATCAAAACAGGAAAAACAATAACAAACACATAGAAGCTTGTGGTCCATATGGGGCAGATGACCAATGTACAGTAGATACATCTCAAGCATGAAATGTTTACAGTACAGACCAAAAGTTTGGACACACAGTTTCATTCAAAGAGTTGTTTATTTTCATGATTATGAAAAGTGTAGATTGACACTGAAGGCATCAAACCAGTATGAAGTAACTGAAGTAATGTGGAATTATGTACGTACTAAAAAAGTATGAACCAAGTCAAAATATGTGTTATATTCAGTCCGGTGTCTGTGGAGGTCATGTGGCCCAGCACCATCTCTCTCCTTATTGGTCGAACAGCCCTTACACAGCCTGGTGTGGATCTACAGCAATAGTCATGAAAAGAACTCCGTGAAGGAGAGAGGGTGTCCACACTTTTGGTCTGTACTGTACATGTACAGACTGAATCTGTTTAAAAGGGCACTTTCACCCCAAAAGAGAAAAAAAGTAGTTTTTTTTTTACCTAATATTAAATGATTTGACTCTGATACAAATGTTTCATTTACAATTATTTGGCCAATTGTCTCTTCAATTAATTTATTAGGTTTAAATCAAGCAAAAAAGGATTTTATTCTGTAAACATTTTATGTTCAGAGTTTAAAAAAAAAGCTATTTAGAATTGAATGTATTTTTGGTAATAGGGTTTAAGTCAAAGTGGGCTCCAGCTGGTTCTCTCCAGTCCTGTTTATCTGTGCATGAAACTGAATGTTGTATCTTCACTATTTTTAATGTAATATGAATCATTGATGTACGATTTTAATGTTCTTCTTGTTTTGTTAAGCACTTTATGTTGCCTTGTTTATGCTTCACAAATAAACAGTCCTTGCTAAACCTCAGCCTGACCCTGCGTCATAACGTTTTCATAGAGAAGTGTCACATAACATCAAAACATCGTTGACATTTAGGTCAAAATATTGTATTCAGTGTAATCTTGGATTAGGCCGAAATGGATCAGCAGGAGATCGACAGTTTCTCTAAAAGCAGCAACGGAAGTGACGACCACTGAGCAGAAAATGTGTCGTTGAGTCACATCAGACACGAGGACACGCACACAGACTTAAAACGAGAGAACACACACACACACACACACCACCTGAGAGAGAGAGAACACACACACACACACACACACACACACACACACACACACACACACACACACACACACACACACAGAGAGAGAACACAGACACACACAGAGAACACACATACAGAGAGAACACACACACACACCTATAGAAAGAACACAAACATACAGAGAGAACACAGACAGACACACACACACACACACACACACACACAGAGAGAACACAGACAGAGAACACAAACATACAGAGAGAACACACACACACACAGTTCTTACAGATATGAAGATGTTGAGCAGGTTTTCCAGCGTGGGGAGCTGAGGGATGAGCTTCTGCACCACTTTGCTGAAGGCCTCGAAGATGGAGTGGTCATAGATACTCGTCAGGTAGAAGCTGTTGGGCCAAAACAGGAAGTAGATAAAGCAATGTGCACTTCCTCAAAAAGAAGACAAACCAAAACAAAATGGCATTTACACCATTTACTAAAACATGGTTAAAATAAGAAGGAAGTGATGAACGATGGACCTTTACAATAGTTTGCATTCTAGTGCTTCGACCAAACCCAGATTTCTGCACTGGTTATTTGTTAACTGTGCAACAAGTGAAAGCCCAATCCCGTCAGACCTCTGAAGCCAAGCAGGGCAAGGCCTGGATAGTACTGTGATGGGAGACAACTGGGAACACCAGAGGCTACAGTGCGACACCAAATTAACTTGACTAAGCACTAGGCTGGATATGGATATCGCGAGCACCAATATCGCAATAACAATGTATTTTTGATATATTGTGCAGCCCTACTGAGCACATATTCTTGAAAAATAGTTGATGGGAAGAGCTCTTGTGAAAAGTCAATGATCTCCTTGGTCTTGGACGCACTGAGAATCAGACCAGTTCTCTCGCTCAAGTCTGAGAAGGCAGCCACCACCTCCCTCTTTGGTATATACAGAATATATACGACTGTTACAAGAGCAGTAGTGTCTGAGGACTTTACAAAACTGTTGATTTGCCAAACACAGATCAGAGATACAAACGGTTTGAACATAGGAAATGCAATAAAAACAAACTAAGAAGCTACAGTATTGGTCCGACTCCTCAGGGAGCAGGGTAGTGGGAAAACCCAGTGGGAAACCCTTCATTCAGTGGTATCAAACTCATTTTGGTTGGGGTGAAATTAATAACAGCTGCTTGGGCCTAAAAGTATTATTTGAGGTTGTATATCATTTCGTGGGAAGGTTTGGATTCCACCACAACTTGGCCAAATATCAAGAAGAGGTTATTTGAAGCCTGGTAGTTAATGTAATCTTTGACCTAACATAACTTGTAATTACGTGTTAGTTAACATTTGAGAACATTCTATAGTCAATTTCCTGATGTTACCGTTGATTTATAATTAAGTATAACAAGCCATAGTGGCCCATTCACATCAAATGCTTCAAGTTAATGTAATAATTGAAAATCATTTTGGGGGGTTAGGGTTAGGGAGCAGAGTTTGACTAGTCCACCCCTAACCTCTACCATAACACACAGAGATCCCAGCGAGACCAAGCCTTCCAATTCAAAACATATCTACGAGAATTGTGAAGAATAATGTGTATTTTGTTCCGAGTCTTCCAAACAATAATCCATTACGCTCAGGTCCCGGGCTCAGGATATTGTAATGATCCAAAAACACAAACAACATGAATCAAACACCAGGCTCATTAGCCAGCAGCAGTAATGGTGCGGAGAAGTGTGGATTAAACGCAGACGTCATTAACAGCCGCTCTGCTTGGTGAATGCACTGCTCTCATTAGAAGACTAGAGTTGAATCTGGCGCCACTGTGTGAACAACTCTAGCAATGAGGCCATCCATGACTTCACCCGTTTGGAGAAGAAGAAGAAGAAACAGACACACAAAAACAGATATCGTCCATTGTCGGTCATTCAAAAATATATGACGACTCGGACTAGAAAATAAACAGTAATATAATTCATGTATAAACTAGCGATAGCAGCTTGTCCAGTCTCACTAATATGCAAATATATGTATCCGTGTTGTAAATATGATCCTATACTTGCGTTAATGCACTGGTTAGAGGATAAACTGCATTTTGTGGCATTGTTCTGACTTTGTAATGACAATAAAGTTGATTCTAATCTAATCATAACAAGTATAATATTTAAAAGTAGTAGTAGTTTATGTTCTTCAGACATTATGTACATTAGATCTGAGGTCAGACGTTTTCAAAGATCGCATATACACTCTACAATAAGGAAAATACATTAAAAAAACAATTAAAAAGAACTAAAATGTGTCTAAGAATTTTAAAGGATGAATTGGTCTGAATGAATTTTTAGGAGATTAAAAGTGTGTAAAATAATGCCTTTTTGACCTCCTGTAGCGGAAAAGAATTGAAGAAAATATTTAAATGAATTAGAAATGAAAAATATACATACACATTTATAATAGAGGCGAGGTGGATTTGATTCAGCAAATTAACTAGGAACTATTTAGGAATTAGCGGTTATGCTAATGCTCTAGTTATCATTTCAGACATTCAAGTTATTACATAACTTGCGACAGGGCGACAGTAGCTCAGTTGGTAGAGCATTGGCCTTAAGCCCAGAAGGTCGTGGGTTCAATTCCCACCTCTGCACCTTCTCCACCGACTCCCACTGATGACTGCTGTCGTTGTGTCCTTGGGCAAGACACTTAACCCCACTTTGCCCAAAGCCTCCACTGAAAGATCAAGGCTATGCTCACACTCAGAGAGCAGCCGCCCTCCTGTGGACTCACCACCTGCAGAGGGTCAGTGAGGGGCTGGTGCTATGAGACTTGGGTGGCATCTCTGATTGCCACCCCCCTGACCCAGAAATGGATTAAAGGGAAGAAAATGGATGGATGGATGGAAGTTATTACATAATGCCCTGATGGTGTGACCTCATTTAAAATATGAAAATGAGAAGAAAACATAGAATAAACAGTGTTAGTTTTTCTGAACGAAATGAGTTCAAATAATACGATAGACAGTAAGAGGTGCCATGGCATGTTATACCCAATTTTAAAGCCATTTCTTAGTCAATTAAACTTCCACGTCAGTTTATTTATTTGAACCAAACACATAATTATAAATCACTGGCCTGTCGTTTTACAATTACAAAACTTAGTGTTGATTGACTCAAAACTGAATCCACTAAATTAAAGTGATCCTTTTGCCAATTCACCTTCATAATGTAAACAATATCCACTGATGCAGAAATCAATCTTCAAAACAAACTTTCCACACAAAAAAAAAAAAAAATTTTATACTTTCTGCCCATGGCCAGATCTTATTTTTAAGCCCCAGACTAGACTTTTAAATTAAGGTAAAGTAGACAAAGTTATGAGAAAAATGTTCTGGACCAAAATGTGTTTGATGCCCTTAAATTAGACAATTACGAAGACCAAGTTTTGACAAAAAGAATCACTCTTATATACATGATACAAACAGGATCTCACAACATCCGGGAGGGAGCAGCAGTCAGTAAAAACGTATACATAATTCTAGCTCAATATTGAGGTTTGAAAAGTGCTTCTCAAAGTGAATAAAACAAACCTGAGATGTAGTTTTTCTAAACTGGCGTCGGCCAAGTCGTCGTTGGCCCGCTGGTGGATGTCCCTCTGCGTCTCGATCTTGTGGTCGTCCGAGAGACCGTCGACTTTATGAATGAAAACCTCAAAGTTGATCTCAGGATTGACGCGGTACGCCTGCGAGACGGTGAGATGGAGCCGAGTCAGCGCTTCTACGTAATCATCCTGAAAACACAGAAACACAAGGTTTACCGTTACAGACGTTTGGAGACGCTTATAAAAAGATTAAAGACAGTTTAAAAAGTTATCATTAAAGAACCTGATAAACCAAATGTCAAATATAGTCTTTTTCTATGAGCAAGAAGATAAGATATTCCTTTATTGGTCTCACAGGAGAAGTCCGCCTCCTCCGCGGCCGCTCTGGTTGTGAGCCGCTAACAACAACACGGCTGTGAGCGAATGGCGCCGCGGTAACATGGTCATATAAGACCAAACACGCCACAAAACTATTGTCTGCATGTTGCGTTCGTGTCTTTGCAACCTGTGCGTAACCTGTGCACGCAAATACACCGCGAAAGTGTCCGTGTCTCCTCCTGAAACTAAACTCGCTGAATTAAAGCCGGGGTATTTCCCCCTTTCATTAACAGCTCAGTTTGGTTGTGCCTAAAAGCAAAAGGTTGTGAGCAAATCTAACAGATTTAAGAACATTTGGTCTGAATGACAATGAGTCATTATATTTTATAATCTCATTTAACTTCAATTGGAGTGGATTTGAAAGTGAGTTAACTCCCCATTACTGTGCGATTAAACAACCAAAAAAATTGTAATCGTTTGACAGCCCTAAAAATCATACATTCCAAGACACCCTTTAAATGTGTTGATGTTGTTTTAAAATGACACATATTCAATTGCATATGGCTCCCGTAGAAAGACTTTTTAAAGTATGTGATCTTTGTGACTCTCTCAACCTCCGACTGAGCAAAGTCACAAGTCAGTCATCACTTTTGAAGAGGTTAAAATAGAAAGTGCAAAGTAAGTCCAGACTGCAGAAAGACTGAAAACATAGACTTGACTGTTCTGCTGAATCCACAAGTGGCAGCAGCTCCTCTGACTCTATTCACATTCACAGTACAGCCGTTTTATTATCACCTTTTTATTTCTTATTAGAGCATAGTCAGAAATGAAGCGTCAGCCTGGTCTCTCTCTGGCTCCAAGCTAAAGTCAGTCTTACATTTATAATTACTGATGTTTGTCAAAGCCACACAAGGATTTCTTCTTATCTATGCGAGTTTTGGAGCGAGCACACGTCCAGCAGAGCGTTCTGATCTGAGGCTTGAGGTCTCCAGGGCCGAGAGCAAACAACGAGGTTCACTCCGGGGACACTACTCTGGGGACACTACTCTGGGGACACTACTCTGGGGACACTACTCTGGGGACACTACTCTGGGGACACTACTCTGGGGACACTACTCTGGGGACACTACTCTGGGGACACTACTCTGGGGACACTACTCTGGGGACACTACTCTGGGGACACTACTCTGGGGACACTACTCTGGGGACACTACTCTGGGGACACTACTCTGGGGACACTACTCTTGGGACACTACTCTTGGGACACTACTCTTGGGACACTACTCTTGGGACACTACTCTTGGGACACTACTCTTGGGACACTACTCTTGGGACACTACTCTTGGGACACTACTCTTGGGACACTACTCTTGGGACACTACTCTTGGGACACTTTGCTTTTGACCACTTGGGAACATTCTGGCCCTGGCATTTGGGTCACTGTCGCAACTCCACATACAGAGCACACGTTTATAATGCAATGGCCCATTTCTCTTAGTTTTACTAAAATAAATAATAATAACTCATTTTATGCAACGTTTTTTGTAGACCTCCATCTTGTTTAGTTTCAATTTGTTTCAGCTTCAACTTGCATGAAAACATTTTTTTTTAGGCTGTTATCCATCCTTTTTCACGCAGAGAGCTACTTTCCCGGGACAATAAAGGCAGAGAGCTACTCCTTTAAAGCAGCCCTGGGAATAATGTGGCGATATATTGGTGTGAAAGAGCCCGATATTGGGAACAGACATTATTTATCACTGCATATTTATAAGTATATTATTTGATTTGTTCATTTCTCAATCCTTTGGCGAGCTACCTGGAAGGGGGTGGCGAGCTACAGGTTGGAGACCCCTGCTCTAGCCCCTACAGCCCTGTGATGTGATCCTCACCTGTGCATCAATAACAAATATCAAAGCCCCAGTTCCTCTGAAGATCATCTCGTAGTCGAAGGTGGGGTCGAGGAAATCCACCTGCCCTGGAAAGTCCCAGATCTGGAAGTTCACAAAGGAGCTACTGGAGATGTCATCTTTGTAAATCTTGTTCGTGCTCTCCAGAAATAGTGTCTCATTTGGGGACATCTTGTGGAACACGACCTGAAAGAGAAATCAATCCTTAGATCAAGACAAAAGTACAACACAAAATATGTATGAACCCAGAGAAAAAAAATCATTTAAGCTGCTGCAGCTAAGGCCTAATTAGATTCTTGACCAGATAATCCTATAGCTGCTATATTCCAGTAAATCCAGAGAGTGAAAATGCGGGTTCTGAGAAAACAGTGCTAAACCTAGTGTTAAATATTGTAACCTCACAACCATCAGTGTCTTTATAGCCATCAATGGTTATGTCATCTCCCTTTTATTGCATCAATTAGACTAAACAGCAGCACGCCGCTCACATGAACAGCAAAGCATTAAAACCATAGACTGTACATTTTTCACAGATGTAGTGACGCCCATCTCCGCCGGTGAAACTAATGTACCACTTTTGCCTTCTATGGCTTTTTCAAATTGGCTGGAAAATGTAAAAAAAACCATTTGCGCATGCGTTAGCTGCACTAGCCCCATTCATTTACACAGCGACTAAACTAGACCGGTCCAAAAAAAATAAAAATAATATAAAATAAAATCCCCTCAGCATCAACAGCATCTGGAACGTAGCGTTGAGCCAAGAGCGACTTTTGGACAGTTCTGTAAAGCAGTTTTTGAGAGGAAAGCAGAGGCCATACAAAAGCATTGGGTAATTCTTATTCCGGGTACACCCCCATCGGCCAGGACCCTCAACATTTAACCACATTTATGGGCCTTGGTCATCTGCCTCTTATGTGTTTGAACTGTTTGATGTGTGTGAAAAGTCCTCTGAGATAACTATAGTTGTGATCAAGGCTGGACTGGCCATCGGGTGTACCGGGCAATGCCCGAAGGGCCGATGCCCATATTTGGGCCGGTCTGTCTGTCTCATACAAAACACATGTTTGTGAAAAGTGTAAATCCGCTGAGAAATGTTTGAGGGGAGCGCGCGTGTCCGCGGGCTCCTGCTGTATGTACTCGAACGGGATTCCACCACCTCAGCGGCCGCAGTGTTCCCGCATCCAGCGGCTCTGAGCTGGACGCAGGAACCGCTCACCGGGAACCGCTCACAACACAACACGGTGAGCGCGTAGCCGCAACGTGACCATATACCCAAGACCATAAACGCGCACAGGACCAGGCATGTCTTTTCGTAATTTGTGCACCCAATAAATACACCGCAGAAAACAGTCCGCGTCTCCCCTCTCCTCTAAAGCTCGGGTACCTAAATTTTCCATTGCATTAAAAGTTCATGTTTGAGCACAAAAGTAAAATGTTGTGAACAGATTAAACAGATTTAGAGCCAGCTAATGGCTGACAATATGCATTTCAGAATTTTTTTTACCAATTCTCATCCCGGTAACAAACAATATTGTCTGTGCCCACCTCCCTCACTCTGAGACATGTTTATTACTCTGTTTAATGTAGACTATTGTACTTTATTTTTCTTGTTTTCTTGTATTTGCTTCCACATACTGTATAAACCAGGGGTCGGCAACCTTTAGTGCCCCTAAAGTGGCTCCTGGAGCCTTTTCAAAAATGTCTGAAAATGGAGTGTGAGGGCTATATTTTATTTCTAGTTTGAATGTGGTTTCTGTAGGAGGAAAAACCTTCTTAACGTTTTTCAATGCTGCAAAAACTTGTATAAGTAATATTCAATTTTAGCATTTCTGTCAACGTAGTGCGTCATATCCTGTGACGCGGCCCGTGCCAGGCGGCCGCTGCTGTAAACAAACCGGCGTGTGCGCATGGATCCCAAAGATACAGAGAGAAAGAGTCGATAAGACTGGACTAAGAATGAGAATGAACATTTGCTTTCAGTCAATGAGGAAGGACTGCTTCATGTTTGCGATGTAATGAAAAGTTTTGTTGCAACACGAGGAACAATGAAGCTTTAAACACCGTTCACTGAAAGATTCATTCATCATAAAGTCAGAGCACCTATTTTCAGACTTCAAAAACCTTTGCAAAGACGGTGAAAGAAAAGGCCATTAAGGACATTCAGCTCCAGCAAACTTCAGCCTGTGATGGATATGAACAGACAGTGATGCAGGTGAACTGAGCCAAAAAGCAGATTTATTAACTGTATTTGTACAATTGCATGAAGGCAAAAAAATGGAAGTTAAACTTAAAGCAGAGTTGTCACGTGGTGCGTCATTCTCTCCAGGACACGCTGCAATGAAAATACACATTTGATAATCATGAATGGTTTTTATGTGTTTGTAGCCTTTACTTTGTCATTTAGATAATAGTCTAATATAGCTAATATAGCTAATGTGGGCGGCACGGTGGCTGAGTGGATAGCACTCTCGCCTCTCAGCAAGAAGGTCCTGGGTTCGAATCCCGGTTGGACCAGGGCCTTTCTGAGTGGAGTTTGCATGTTCTCCCCGTGTCTGCGTAGGTTTCCTCCGGGTGCTCCGGTTTCCCCTACCACTAAAAATATGTACAATAGATCTGGCATGTGCCTCCTGTACTGGCCCCACTCCCAAAAATAACAATTGTAAACCGCTTTGAGACTCCGATGTGCAGTGAAAAGGCGGTATATAAATAAAGATTACTACTAGATTACTACTAATGTAACTAAGGTAGCTAATGTAGCTAATACAGCTTCAGCCCCTGTTACCTTCATATAAGCCTTATACAACGCTGTTTTTTTTTTTTTTTTCAAATATGGCTCCATGAAACTTTTGAGTTGCCTGGGCCGCTAAAAAGGAAAAAATGCCCGGGCTGTTTTTTTGTCCCAGTCCAGCCCTGGTTGTGATTTAAGGCTATAAAAGAAGACATTGAATAGAATCTTACCGAAAATGTGAGACAGGCTTCTTATCTGACTAATGTTAAAATCCAGGTTAAAAACAGGACATACAAGTGAAGGATTATATCTTCACTGTTATTGATGTACTGTGATTATTTATGCACTTTGAGTTCCTTTGTGTGCAAACTATGCTCTGCTATACAAATAAACTTGCCTTTCCTTCATACAGACTCTGGTCTTAACATGCTGTAGAAAACTTCACTCTCATCATTGATCCTTAAAAAGACCTACAGAAGCGTAAAATCCTGTTCGGGCTCACAGTGACAGTAAGACACGGCAGGTGGGTGGGTAGCACAGGTCCCAAGAATGCCATAATAAAAAGGCCTGTCACTATTAATGTCCATATAATGCTGTGACAAATTCTTAATGTTCTGTGTTGAGGCCATTTGTTGATTTACCACTTTCTGAAATCACTAGAAATCCCAGAGCAGTCAATTTGATGGCATTTCATTTTACTCAACTCATGTAAATTTTTGGTCTTCCTATGAAATTCTCCTTTTCTTTTGATGTGCAAGTAGTTCTTCCTTCAACTCCCAGATCAGTCATAGTAGTAACCGTAGCAACACACTGTTTACTTGCAGTTAGAATAATTTGGTCTTTCAACAACTGTTTCCCCTGTATTTCAAGTTACATTCACCAGTTTTAGCACCAATGGGAGCATGTGGCGGCTGTATCTATCTCTATAACATGGTCTCTCTGGTCTCTTTGGTATAGAGACTATCTATGGTATGGATAGTCTCTCTGGTCTGGATGTCTATGGTGCACTTGAGAGCAGTTTACACAATTATTCCAATGAGATTCTTAACGCCAAGTGGTAAATAAACAGGGCTGAGCTAATGCCTCCCACATAAATAAATAGTGCGTAATTCATGAGAGACCAGAGATATACTTAGACATGACAAATAATCTTGCATAGTTGTGATTTTACATCCATCCCATTATCATGATTTAAAAAGATGGGAGAACATGACTTTACCTGGCTTTCCAAACAAGGAAGAGTAAAAGTAAGACCACAACACGGCGTCTTCATCTCATATGAAAACATGTTATATTGCGTTCACTTGCTTATAGAGCCCTGCATTGGGCTAAGTGTGGATTGGCTGAATGAGGGCGGTCCTCCATTTTCTGTCGGAAAAAACTGATCGAAAGATGTGACAGAGCCCAAAAATACATGCTTGAAAAGTTTTACAGCAAGTTACATTAGTAGTAGTTTATTTGAGCACTTTCACAATGTATTTAAGCTCAAAAGAAGAAGGCCAAAGTAGAAAGCATATATTTGGCTTCCTCCATTATCAATACTACATTTTCACATGACATTTATACCATCATCATCAACATCTAACAGACACATCTAATAACATTGATTTTATTACATAGTTTTCTTCTTCAGACCATGGTCACCCAAAGTGCTTTACAAGGTTCAGAGTTTAGATATTAGGTCCATTCTCTCCATGCGGTGATGACAGAAGCGAGACACCGAACATACCGGACCATCAAGCACCCTCCATTCACTCACTTTACGTTAGTCATACCTAATGTGCATATTTTTAGGGGTAGGCGAAACCGGAGCACCTGGAGGAAACTTACGCAGACATGGAAAGGCCATGCAATCTCCGCTCAGATAGGCCTTGTTCCAACCAAGATATGAACCCAGGACCTTCTTGCTGGGAAGCAAGAGTGCTAACCACTCAGCCACAGTACTGTGAGAAAATATACATTATGTTTCTTGTGTGATAATTGTTATAATATTCTGCCTTGATGACACTGGTAGAAGAATGTACAGTCCATGGTCAAGACAGGCTTCATTCTTCCAGATGGATCAGATGACACACTGGTTAACCACTCAGCAAGGAAACAAAGCAAGCTTAATTTGCCACTGATTTTAGACTATTGCGTGTTACAGAAAGGTGTGGCCTGTCTACGGTCATGTGAGCACTGCACATCAGACCTACCCACCCAGTGCCTTAGGAATGGGTTGGACAGAACTGGCTAGATTTGGCATCCTGGACAAATGACTAGTTAACCAAACAATCATACCAAGCTCCATCTGTGCTCTCACGTCCAGTCATCATCCATCTGTTTAATTACAGCTTATAGAAGGAGTTAGCAAGCCATTAGCAACACGCCTGCAGCAAGATGCATTACATGTTTGCTAGCTGGATATTGTCACGTGCTACAGTACCTTGCTAGCTGTGTCAAGATAAGATACCTCGCTGGTAGATTTACGTAATTTGCGTGGTTACCTTCTGAATGGAGGACTTCCCACTTCTTCTCAAACCCATGAGGAGGATGCGTGGCTTGCTGTCTGACGGGGCCGGGCTGTCTTCAATGTCGGCCCCCTCTCCTCCGTAGCCGAAATCTTTGGGGAAAGAGTCCTCTACCCCATAGCTGTCAGCCAGCTGCTCCACCTCGTACTGAATAGACATTTTGACCCGTCGACCGCGGTGGTGGCTTACCCCTGATCCCCCCCGACTCGCTGGTCGCACCCCACGTTCCTACCTATGATCTGGGTGTGTGCTCCCACCTCTCCCGTGCAGGAATAGAAAGAAATAGTTGGTCAATGTTGTCTGGCTATTTGGAAGCACGGGACACGATCATACACATTTTCTAAGGATTTCCTCTCTCGTTGAAAAAAATAGCTGCTTACACCCGCCTCTTAACCCCAATTGGATGATGAGATTACAAACTGGAATCTGATTGGTTAAAAGGACCTGTCATTCATTTGAGGCTGGTTGCTATCACCTGACTAGTACACGGACTTGTTTTGTGACCTATCGCCTGATTATTATTACAAATATTGTTTTATTAGGTATGGATATAGTTCAATGTTGCTTAAGAAACTATTTATAACGTACAAGTTGTATTTTATAAGAAATTCGTTTTTAAATATTTAGTTTCAAGAGTAAGCGCGATCTGCATTTTACTTTGGTACCACTAGAGGGCGACGCAAGGCTGATCCAAATGAGGCTTTCAATGATGTTTGTAAAAATATATTCAACGGTCACATAAACCAAAACAATGAAAAAATTAAACGGCGACAAAAAATAAAAATCGCTGTCTGATTACAAACATAACTGTTGTCTTTTTTACCTCTTTTTAGGTCTTATTTTGATTTTTTAGTGCTGTGTGAAACGCAAATAATGTATGTGTGGGGAGGATATAAACTTTTTACAACGCCCCTAGAACAGGCCGTGGATCGACCGCGTGATAGAAACGAAACCACACGTTGAACAGAAAAGTGAAAACAAAACGTGCAAAATATTATCTTCTAACCATGGCACGTTTTCATGGAGTAAGTATGTTCTCTGTGGCTTTTCAATGGTGTGTAAATGTAGGATATGAAACCAAAGCTAGTCACGAACAGGCTAAAGCAGGTGGGATAACGTCCTGACCATCCTAACGTTAATAGTTCTACCACAAAGCACGTGCACGTGTGTTTTGAGGCTTTGTCACAAATTTAAATCAGAATTTACAGAAACAATAGTTAAAATAAGGACCACCCTCTCTCAGCCAATCAGCTCTCAGGGTTATCTAAGTCTGCAAAACTACATGCAACTGCAGGATTTTGTCTTTGCACTGTGATTATTTATGTTTTTAATGTCTTGTATGACTGTTTAAATGTAGTCTTGTTAAGCACTTGTAAGTTGCTTTGAGCTTAAACTGTGCTATACAGATAAACTTGCCTTGCCATAGAGACTGCTGAAGTTGCCTTGTGTTTGCTTCATCTAATGTACTGACTTCTTTCTTTCTACAGACCCCAGACTCAAAACGGGATCAATTTCGTAGATATTTGGAGAAAGGTGGTGTGATCGACAGCCTTACCACCGGTATTAGAATTTAAAATAGTTAATATTTCACTATTGGCCATAAAGTCACATTATTGTAATACATAATGACTTCTATTGTTGTGTTTGCAGTTTTGGTGTCTCTGTATGAACAGCTGGAAAAACCTAACAATGCTTTGGAGTATCCTTTTCTGTAGTCTGTCTGTGTTGGGTAGAATACTTTGAAAATGTGTTTTAAAAATATTTTAAAACATCAATAAATGTTTAGATAAATACGTTTCTGTCATTTTGAGAGAAAATTAGTCAAAGAGGCACTCGGCGAATTAAAACCAGAACTCTTTGCATCTGAGTGCCTTTGACTAATTTTCTCCAAAGATATCTTACCTGCCGGTGCTCTGTGAACTGGGTGCAGCTCTGACTGCCACCCCCTCCCGACCCAGAAATGGATTAAGGGGAAGAAAATGGATGGATTGATATCTTGCCCCACCGGAAGAGCACCGGCTAATAACAACTTTTGAGCCCCTGAGCTCTCCTCGCCTCTCCTTCTAATCGACCTTTTTGTAATTATTTGATAAATTGTGGTAATGTAATCCTGTATGTATTCCTGTGATTTTCAGGAAGTAACTAACTAAACTTTAAAGTAGTAGGTGGAATACAGTTACATGTGTTCCATTAATCCCCAACATAACATCTTATTAAATTAATGTATCTTTTGAGTGTTGTATAAAATCCTTAATGAAGTCATCTCAGGTTTGTGAAGAGAAACCTGGGCACGGCCGGGCACAGCTCGGACTCTGAGGATCTACAGCAGCAGATTTCAGAGCTGAAGCAGAAATGTGCTCATCTCACTGAAGAGAACAAGAAGATGAAAGAAAAGGTAGCATTCCTCTCTCCTGCTTTGATCTTGTTTCATATTCTACATTCATTTTGTTTTTTCTTGAAGCTGCTCCAGTATGAACCCGAACCCGATCCTCAAAATGGCGTTTGAAGACATTTCACATTTTTAACTCTAGTCACTATTCTGTTAAGTATATTTTACTCTAATTTATTTTGTGCTTGTGTAAGTTATTTGGTGCTGTCCACATACTGCACCTGTGTGTTATACAGGTGTTTAGATCCTTGTTTGTAGTTTAGCAAAAGTAAAAGCTGAAACCATTTTTGATTGAAGTCACTTTAAGAATGGAACACGCCTGTTTCTGTGTCAATAAAAGAAGCACTTTCATTTGTTGGATTTTATTTTTCCTCACTGGGCTTTTATTTTTATTTATTTTTTTCAATTGTTTTGCTTCCAATGACTCGGTTCATGATAATGTGGGGCTACAAGAGACCGTACCCTAGACAAATTCTATCGGATGTATTTTTATGTAGAAAAATAATAAATGTTCAACCAAATGCTCTGGTGCTAAAAGTTCTGACACAAGATGATGTGGACGGTCCTCAGATCTGCAGGTCTGGTGTGGACGGTCCTCAGATCTGCAGGTCTGGTGTGGACGGTCTTCAGATCTGCAGGTCTGGTGTAGATGGTCCTCAGATCTGCAGGTCTGGTGTGGATGGTCCTCAGATCTGCAGGTCTGGTGTAGATGGTCCTCAGATCTGCAGGTCTGGTGTGGATGGTCCTCAGATCTGCAGGTCTGGTGTGGACGGTCCTCAGATCTGCAGGTCTGGTGTGGATGGTCCTCAGATCTGCAGGTCTGGTGTGGACGGTCCTCAGATCTGCAGGTCTGGTGTGGACGGTCTTCAGATCTGCAGGTCTGGTGTAGATGGTCCTCAGATCTGCAGGTCTGGTGTGGATGGTCCTCAGATCTGCAGGTCTGGTGTAGATGGTCCTCAGATCTGCAGGTCTGGTGTGGATGGTCCTCAGATCTGCAGGTCTGGTGTAGATGGTCCTCAGATCTGCAGGTCTGGTGTGGATGGTCCTCAGATCTGCAGGGCTGGTGTAGATGGTCCTCAGATCTGCAGGTCTGGTGTGGATGGTCCTCAGATCTGCAGGTCTGGTGTGGATGGTCCTCAGATCTGCAGGTCTGGTGTGGATGGTCCTCAGATCTGCAGGTCTGGTGTGGATGGTCCTCAGATCTGCAGGTCTGGTGTGGATGGTCCTCAGATCTGCAGGTCTGGTGTGGATGGTCCTCAGATCTGCAGGTCTGGTGTGGATGGTCCTCAGATCTGCAGGTCTGGTGTGGATGGTCCTCAGATCTGCAGGTCTGGTGTGGATGGTCCTCAGATCCGCAGGTCTGGTGTGGACGGTCCTCAGATCCGCAGGTCCAGCGCTCGTCTGCTGCTGGAGGAGCTTGTGACAGAGGCTTTGCAGCTGCAGGACGGCGGTCTGCGGTGTGAGCTGGAGCTGGACTCGTCCTGAGACTCAGAGGTCGAGTGAGGACTCTGGACCTTCCCTGGTCGTTTGGAGTGGATCTGAGGAGTCGTGTGCTGACTATTGTTCTTAGCTCCACTGTATGAGTCTGTGTCTGAGCTCCTGCCCTCAAACACCGTGGAGAACTGAAAACAACTGTGGGCTCGCAGCGGTTTCCTCACTGACGGAGGCACAGAGGAGGAATGGAGCGTCTTCACTGAGAGTTTGACGTTCTCCGGGCTGGTGCTGTCACTGCCGTTCTTTACACTGTGCATATGATCTGCCTCCTGTTGTTTTAGAGTCCCCACATCGCTGCATCCTGAAGAACAGGGCTCGTGTGCGGTGGGAGAGCTCTCAGACCTGTGGCCTCCGCACTGAGCGCAGTCCTCCTGCTGCCGAGGCTGGAAAGAAGACGTCTGAATGAGGTTGGGATAAATGTACGAGCCCTGGAGAAGGTTGTAGTCACTAGAAGGTATCGTTGCCTTGCGGGCGGAATACATTTGTATTACAGATTCTTTTCTGTCCTCAAACTCATCCGAGCCATCTCTGAATCTTGGGTAGAAGTCTAAAATGACTCGCTTTATCTTCTTGTAGCCCAAATGCATTATCTCCAGAATATTTAGCGATAGTGAAATGGCTGCGATGACCTGCATAAACACCATGAAGACGCTCTTCTCGGTCGGCCTGGAGACGTAGCAGTCGACTAAGTTTGGACACGGGCTTCTCTCACATTTAAACAGCGGGTGGAGGTGGAACCCATAGAGCAGGTACTGTCCCGTCATGAAGAGCACCTCCATCACCGAGCGAGTGACGACGTGAGTCACGTATGTGCGCAGCAGGGAGCCCCTCAGAGGAGCCTTGTTGAGCCGGCTCTGGTCCACCTGCTTCATCTCCCGCTCTATTCTCTTCCTGGTCTCCATCAACTCCACATCCACCAGCTCCAGCTCTCTCTTCAGCTGGGCCTTCTTCTTCTGCCGCCCCTTCTCCAGCTCCCGCAGCCTGTACAGAGCGTGGCCCATGTAGACCAGCGACGGCGAAGACACAAAGATGACCTGCAGCACCCAGTAGCGGATGAGGGAGATGGGGAAGGCCAAGTCGTAGCACACGTTTCTGCATCCGGGCTGCTCCGTGTTGCATATGAAGTCCTTCTGCTCGTCGTTCCACACGTCCTCCGCCGCCACGCCCAGGACCAGCATGCGGAAGATGAAGAGGATGGTGAGCCAGATCTTTCCGACCATGGTGGAGTGGATGTGCACCTCCTCCAAAATCCCGCCCAGGAAGTTCCAGTCTCCCATCTTCACTTTGCCATTATGACTGGAGGGTGCAGGAAGGAAACATGTCAATATGATAAATAGGTTTGCAGAAAAACACAATCTCTGGTTACACTTTCAAATGTTAGTGGTGAGAATATTGTGAGGAGGAAATGGCACAAACAATTACTAGAACAGTGTTTTCAAACCATCGTTGCAGGGACCAGATGATGTCAGCTTTTCCATTTCTTTGATATGAACATTTTGGGCACTACTAACAATTTAACTAGGTTAAATTGTTAATCGCATTGATAAGTTAATCGCATATAAATATTTGTCATGAACAGTAAGAAGTAATTTTTTCACATGAATTTTTAGTTTACCATTGAATAATGACTGAATTTAACACTTAGATTTAAATATGTTGTGGCTACTCAAGAGAAAAAGGGCTGGAAACGTCTAAACTGCTAAAGCTCTATAAGTACGATGTATTATTATTCTTCATTTATAATAATATTATTAGAATGTGACATGCTAAAGTTAAACAAAGCAAGTTTATTTGCCTTAAGTTATTGGGTATACAGACAATGAAACAACAAGCACATGAAAACTGTCTGCCTCATTGTCCAGTTATATACTTTAAATACATGTTTATTTATTTTGTCTTGATGGACATTCCACAACTTTGCTGCATCTAAATGTTTTGCCTAGAATTTACAGTATATCAGAGACATGTGGGAGACTTCCAACACTAAGTCACAGATCTGCAGAGAGGAGATCTGACCCGATGGGAGAAGACAGGCTTTTAAAACATATATGTAACATTATATATGATGTGTTTTATACTGGAGCACATTCCAAGCAAAGAAATAACAACCTGGAAGCGGACACCATCAGAAAAGTCACGCAAAGCAACTTTAAAACATGAATGGATCTCATCTTAAAATTCCCAGTTGAGCAAAAAATGGCAGACAAGAGATTTACACCTGATTTAATACTTCTCTTACTTTAATGAGTTTGCTTTGAACTGTTCTTTCCCTGATTAGTTAAGGGACAGCTGTAGATAAACCTGCCTTCATTATGTCAATAGTTAATTTGAAGAGACTTACAATGTGCCATTTACTAAGTAGTTTGGTAAAAATCCAGATCGATTTGAGTGCCATACAACTACAATATCACCTCTTCACCGATTGGCTTAAAAATAAGTATTGTAATTTGTTAGAAAGGCCTTGAGACACATATATACATTTTCCCATCAACTAGACATGCCAAAGCCACTGAAGAGAAAGCACAAAACCTTAAATATGAATAATCTCCAAATGATTTTAGTGCGCTGTCCCAGTCTCATCCACAGTGCTGAAAAGCCCAAGCATTAATCTTAATAATCCCTGGAATAGAGTGAGGGTTTTACCTTGCAGCAGCAGCAGCGTGGATGGACTGCTGGTGGTGACTTAAATCTGGCCCGGGTCATACAGTCTGGATCTGCTCACCAAAAAGTTTGATAACTCGTTTCCTCCCTCCACATCGGTTCATCACCCAGACTTGGCAAGCCCCCACTGTGCTGCCTGTGAAACTGATGTACAGCGGGCGGAAAGACTGTGCCATGACCAGGGAAAGTCAATATTATCCTCTATGGGACTGCGTTCAGAGCAGGAGAGATACATGTAGACGGATGGATACGGAATCAAGTAAAAACATTATTATTATTATTATTATTTTTACACGTACATAGCAATTGTTCAGTGCATCATGTTACTGGTATCTGCTTTACTGTTATTGCTGCGGTGTGGAAAGTTTGCTGCTGTGACTGTGTAGAGACCAGAGAGAGGGAGGGAGACCAGAGAGAGGGAGACCAGAGAGAGGGAGACCAGAGAGAGGGAGACCAGAGAGAGGGAGACCAGAGAGAGGGAGACCAGAGAGAGGGAGACCAGAGAGAGGGAGACCAGAGAGAGGGAGAGAGACCAGAGAGAGGGAGAGAGACCAGAGAGAGAGAGAGAGACCAGAGAGAGAGAGAGAGACCAGAGAGAGAGAGAGAGACCAGAGAGAGAGAGAGAGACCAGAGAGAGAGAGAGAGACCAGAGAGAGAGAGAGAGACCAGAGAGAGACCAGAGAGAGAGAGAGAGAGACCAGAGAGAGAGAGACCAGAGAGAGAGAGAGAGAGACCAGAGAGAGAGAGACCAGAGAGAGACCAGAGAGAGAGAGAGAGAGAGACCAGAGAGAGAGAGAGAGAGACCAAGAGAGAGAGAGAGAGAGACCAGAGAGAGAGAGAGAGAGACCAGAGAGAGAGAGACCAGAGAGAGACCAGAGAGAGAGAGAGAGAGAGACCAGAGAGAGAGAGAGAGACCAGAGAGAGAGAGAGAGACCAGAGAGAGAGAGAGAGACCAGAGAGAGAGAGAGAGACCAGAGAGAGAGAGAGAGAGAGACCAGAGAGAGAGAGAGAGAGAGACCAGAGAGAGAGAGACCAGAGAGAGAGAGAGAGACCAGAGAGAGAGAGGAGAGAGACCAGAGAGAGAGAGAGAGAGGACCAGAGAGAGAGAGAGAGAGACCAGAGAGAGAGAGAGAGAGACCAGAGAGAGAGAGACCAGAGAGAGACCAGAGAGAGAGAGAGAGAGAGACCAGAGAGAGACCAGAGAGAGAGAGAGAGAGACCAGAGAGAGAGAGACCAGAGAGAGAGAGAGAGAGACCAGAGAGAGAGAGACCAGAGAGAGACCAGAGAGAGAGAGAGAGAGAGACCAGAGAGAGAGAGAGAGAGAGACCAGAGAGAGAGAGAGAGAGAGACCAGAGAGAGAGAGAGAGAGAGGACCAGAGAGAGAGAGAGAGAGAGAGACCAGAGAGAGAGAGACCAGAGAGGAGAGAGACAAGAGAGGGAGAGAGACCAGAGAGAGAGAGAGACCAGAGAGAGAGAGAGACCAGAGAGAGAGAGAGAGACCAGAGAGAGAGAGAGGCCAGAGAGAGAGAGAGACCATATTTCATATTTATTTATTTATTTTGATCGGGACAACACACATTCATGAACAATAATAAACAAGTTTAACACAAATTGTAAATGTGCCAGATTGTAGCAAAACTACTAATTTACATCCATAGTCCCGAGGGAGGTCACACAACAATAATAATATAAAAGGACAATATACAATTATAGAAATTACAGTTAGTTGAAATGAGTGCAGGACTGATTTACTTTAAAATGGTGTTTTAGTTGATTTTTAAAAGAACTTTATGTTGGGCATTCTCGGTTGTTCCTCTGACTGACAGCAGTTTGTCCAAATGTAGTTTTTCTGTGTGGGATCTCCACATCTCCTCTGGAGGACGCTCTGGTGCGGAGACCTGTCACTACTTTAGCTTTAATGTACTGTAGAGTGGGGGCGGGGCAAGACCAGGAAGTGCTTTGTAAATAAGGCAAGTTTTGAAAATTGAGCATTTTGTGTTGGATATTGCAGTGATGATTTGACCAAGGCTTTTGATCCAGAATTTTAATGGACTTTTTTGAAGAGGGTTTCTATGGATTTGATGTGTTTGTCCAGTGAGTGACCAGGTTGTGATACAATAATCTATGTGTGAGAAAATCATTGCGTGTAGGAACATTTTTGCTGAATTTATTGTCATAAAAGGCCTGATTTGTTTGAAGTTAGACCAGAGAGGGACCAGAGCGCGGGACCAGAGCGCGGGACCAGAGCGCGGGACCAGAGCGCGGGACCAGAGGGCGGGACCAGAGGGCGAGACCAGAGGGCGAGACCAGAGGGCGAGACCAGAGGGCGAGACCAGAGAGCGAGACCAGAGGGCGAGACCAGAGGGCGAGACCAGAGGGCGAGACCAGAGGGCGAGACCAGAGGGCGAGACCAGAGGGCGAGACCAGAGGGCGAGACCAGAGGGCGAGACCAGAGGGCGAGACCAGAGAGCGAGACCAGAGAGCGAGACCAGAGAGCGAGACCAGAGAGCGAGACCAGAGAGCGAGACCAGAGAGCGAGACCAGAGAGCGAGACCAGAGAGCGAGATGCTCTGCTCTGAAAGAGGACTGTGATCTGTCTGTTCTGGAGGTTCTTCATGAATCCAGACTTTTAAACCGAGCTCTTAGAATAATCAATGACTCTTCTGGTCCCTGCAAAAGCCATGTTCCAGCTTCTTCCCTCTGGCAGAAAATATTGTTCGCTGAAATGCAGGACATCTTGCTAACAGCTTCTTCCACTTGTATTGAAACTGTTTTTGTTGATTGGTCTCAAACTGATACTTGTTCCTTGTACTTATTTATGTATATGTTCTTGTCTAGTGCACACTGGGTACTTTTGCACATGTATTCCAATGTGGTTTTACTGTAAATGGCAAATAAACTGTCTGTTTAGATGCTTAATACATCCAATCCATGTTTGAAGAAGAGTTGAACACATGCAAACACATGGTATCTCTTTACCAGTGATACTTATAGGAAGTCAATAGTTTGTTGTGAAGCGATCGATGATCATCCTGTCTAATTTCATTGTCCACTGATTTTCTCTCAGTAATTAACGCTTGACCCTCATCAATATTCACAAGTGACGTACTAAGTCTATTTATTTGTTTATGTGAGCGTGTAGATTAGTCACAACAGGATTTAATGACATGTTTAGCAGCTTAAACATTAGCTTCCACGACTCATTGCCCTTTTTCTGTTTTGACAAATACTAATGCTGCTAAAACCTGAGTCCATAAACTCTGCTGTGACATCAAAATAATAACATTTTACTTGGGAAGCACGGTGGCTGAGTGGAAGGTCCTGGGTTTGAATCCCTGTCGGAACAGGGCCTTTCTGAGAGGAGTTTGTATGTTCTCCTTGTGTCTGCATAGGTTTCCTCCGGGTGCTCCGGTTTCCCCTACCACTAAAAAAATGTACAATAGGTCTGAATGTAAATGAGAGAGTGAATGGATGGTGTTGGGTCAGAGGCTTTGATGGTCCAGTGTGTTCTGGACTCGCTTCAGTCATCACCGTGTGTGGAAGGAGTGGAACAATATCTGACTCTGAACATTGGAAAGTGCTTTGGGTCTGTACCTTGGTCTGTAACATGTGCTATATAAATAAACATTACTTACGATACAAATAAAGATTACTTAGATTCTCCACATATTATGAAAGCCGCAGGATTCAAATAACTAGAAAAAAGTACTTTAAAAACAATAATGCATCGGTTTTATACAGCGCTTTTCTGGACACTCAAAGACGCTTCAACTACTATAAACTAGTACTGAAGCCACAGCTGCCCTGGGGCACACTGACAGAAGCCAGGCAACCAGTCTGTGCCATCGGCCCCTCCCACCACCACCAACCATTCACACACACACCAGACTCATTCTAGGAAATGGAAAGTGTCTTGCCTAAAGACACAACCACAGTTTGGCACTTTACAGCCGCAGCCGCCCCACTGTGGCACCTGCTGTTCCCAGAGGTTAAGTGTCTTCCCAAGGACACAACGACAGCAGACAGAGGGAGTCAATGGTGAAAGTCTTGATGGGCTCGAACCCATGACCTCCTGGCTCAAAGGCCAATGCTCTACGAACTGAGCTACTGTCGTGTTGGGTCATGGGCTAAAGTCTATTTAGATAGATTTAAAATAATTTAATAAATAATAAATTGACAAATGAGGGGAGTGCTTTAAGATGTTTATTATTTATTCTACACATATTTGACGAATTTACAGCATTTCAGTTCAGACACATTAAAAAAACAAATCTAAAAACATCAAAATAGTTCCATATAAAAACATTCCTGTGATTCCTGTACAAAACTTTAAAACTGGATCCACACAACGCTAAAGTATTGACGTGGTTTTCCGTCAGCGTAATCTCTGCATCAGGAAGTGACTGTTTGGGAAGTGTCCACTAAAGACAGGAAGTGACCATTTCAGAGTAATGAGAAAACCAGTCTGTTCCAACCACAAAGAATCCACCGCTCCACAAATCTGCGAAAGACTGGGCCAAAAATACCAAAACACATTTTCTGTGATCGGCTATGGAGAGATACTAATTACAACTCAGACAGATTAGCCCTAGACACCGTTTGATTCATTATTGATCATAATTAGTCACTCCTTGCCGATGTACAGTACAAGGGTCTAAGGACAGAGGTGATGATCCACATTTATGGACTTTGGTCTCCGCTCCTCATGGACGGTCCGTGTATTTGTTAAATTTATTTTTTTTTGATGAGAAGGAAAAACGAAATATTGCCTTGATATGTCATTTTTCGTTTCGATGCAGAAAATGAAAAAATTAAATATTGAATAATGGTTTCAGGCCGATTTGATTTCGTTTTTCGATTTGGCGCAACCGGAAAATTCAAGCCATTTTTTGATATTTAATTTTCAATTTTAATTTGAAAAAAACATTTAAATAAAAAATACACGGATTACCATGGACCAATGTCTGTGTTTGAACCGTTTGATTCTCTGATCTGTTCTAGTCCTCTGAGTAACTACTGTTGTCATTTAGGGCTATACAAGAATACATTCAATTGAGAAGAATTAAAAGTTGAACAAAACCAAACAATATTTCTGTGTGTGATGAAGGTCGCTAAAATGAACAGCCTCTTTGTTGCATCCGTACAGTTTATAAATCAGCACATGTAGAGTATTTTTAGACATGTTCCTGAGAGTGTATTTAAGGCTTTAGTGTTCGGTATTATTTAGCACTAATATTCTTAACTCCTTTTTGTCTGAGACCCGGGGATTTCATTCAAACTTCCCTCTAATTGCCGGGGATGGAGAGCGCAACAAGCTAGAAACAAACGTATTTTTCATGATGAAATTTGTCAGCCCGGTCTTTCAGAATCTATTTTCAGATTTCACATAGTCATAGAACACAATATTCTGTGGGTCTTAAAAATCAGTGAAAATATCCTCACACATTTTAGTTATTTTGTCTTACTGTAAAATGTATACACAGTCTTTGAACACATGTGACCTGAGATCTAGTGCACATAATGGTCTAATGTACTTGTTAAAAATGTATTTGCGTTTGTTACTACGGAGCCGGTGACAGGAAGATGTTAAACAGAACGGCAAAGAGCAGGAAAACCACGAATCCCACGATGCAGATCCAGAACCGAGGGTCTTTCAGCAGCTTCTCGTTGTAATCGCTGAAGAAGACGTAGCCAATCGTCATGCCCGCTGCGATGCCTCCGAAATGGGCCACAAAGGACACCTGTGGAGCGCAGACACCATCGCTGAATCATTCCCCCAAAGGCTCAGAGAGATTAGAAAACACAATGGCCCAACGAGTCATGTGACCTTGGTTAAAAATACAGAATACTGCTTTACCACAGAAATGGTTGAATAGAAAAAGGTAAACATCACGGGACAAACTACTTTTTAATAATGTAGTTTTCAAAATTGTATTATTATTTTGCTGTGTTTGTGTGAATATCTATCTATGTATAGCTTATAAATGGAAGTGGCCGAACTTGTAGCCAAAACCAATATCTGGTCAGACCTCTGAAGCTGTGCAAGGCAAGGTCTGGGTAGTACTGTGATGGGAGACCTCTGGGAACACTACAGTGCCTTGCGAAAGTATTCAGCCCCCTTGAACCTTTCAATGTTTCGCCACTTTTCAGGCTTCAAACATAAAGATATAAACATTAATTTTTGTGTCGAGAATCAATAACAAGTGGGACACAATCGTGAAGTGGAACAAAATTTATTGGATAATTTAAACTTTTTTAACAAATAAACTGAAAAATGGGGCGTGCAATATTATTCGGCCCCTTACGCTAATACTTTGTAGCGCCACCTTTTGCTGCAATTACAGATGCAAGACGCTTGGGGTATGTCTCTATCAGTTTTGCACATCGAGAGACTGGAATTCTTGCCCATTCTTCCTTGCAAAACAGCTGGAGCTCAGTGAGGTTGGATGGAGAGCGTTTGTGAACAGCAGTCTTCAGCTCTTTCCACAGATTCTCGATTGGATTCAGGTCTGGACTTTGACTTGGCCATTCTAACACCTGGATACGTCTATTTGTGAACCATTCCATTGTATATTTGACTTTATGTTTTGGATCATTGTCCTGTTGGAAGATAAATCTCCGTCCCAGTCTCAAGTCTTTTGTAGACTCCAACAGGTTTTCTTCCAGAATGGTCCTGTATTTGGCTCCATCCATCTTCCCATCAATTTTAGCCATCTTCCCTGTCCCTGCTGAAGAAAAGCAGGCCCAAAGCATGATGCTGCCACCACCATGTTTGACAGTGGGGATGGTGTGTTCAGGGTGATGAGCTGTGTTGCTTTTACGCCAAACATATCGTTTTGCATTGTGGCCAAAAAGTTCGATTTTGGTTTCATCTGACCAGAGCACCTTCTTCCACATGTTTGGTGTGTCTCCCAAGTGGCTTGTGGCAAACTTTAAACGAGACTTTTTGTGGATATCTTTGAGAAATGGCTTTCTTCTTGCCACTCTTCCATAAAGGCCAGATTTGTGCAGTGCACGACTGATTGTTGTCCTATGGACAGACTCTCCCACCTCAGCTGTAGTTATCTGCAGTTCATCCAGAGTGATCATGGGCCTCTTGGCTGCATCTCTGATCAGTCTTCTCCTTGTTTGAGATGAAAGTTTGGAGGGACGGCCGGGTCTTGGTAGATTTGCAGTGGTCTGATACTCCTTCCATTTCAATATAATTGCTTGCACAGTGCTCCTTGAGATGTTTAAAGCTTGGGAAATCTTTTTGTATCCAAATCCAGCTTTAAACTTCTCCACAACAGTATCTCGGACCTGCCTGGTGTGTTCCTTTGTCTTCATGGTTCTCTCTGCGCTTTAAACAGAACCCTGAGACTATCAAAGAGCAGGTGCATTTATACGGAGACTTGATTACACACAGGTGCATTCTATTTATCATCATCAGTCATTTAGGACAACATTGGATCATTCAAAGATCCTCACTGAACTTCTGGACTGAGTTTGCTGCACTGAAAGTAAAGGGGCCGAATAATATTGCACGCCCCACTTTTCAGTTTTTTATTTGTTAAAAAAGTTTAAATTATCCAATAAATTTCGTTCCACTTCACGATTGTGTCCCACTTGTTGATTCATGACAAAAAATTTAAGTTTTATATCTTTATGTTTGAAGCCTGAAATGTGGCGAAATGTTGAAAGGTTCAAGGGGGCCGAATACTTTCACTGTATGTATCTACCCATCTATCTGTGCATCTATCTATCTATCTATGTATCTATCTGTCTCTGTATCTATCTATGTATCAACCGATCTATCTCCGTCTAAACTCGTCTAAATGATTCCAGTTTGAGGTGAACCCACGACGGTGCAAAGCATTAGGAGCATGTAAAGACTTGAGTAAGAATATATTTGTATTTCGACAGCGGTGGGAGCAGAACGCCTTCACATCGGGCGTGGCTCTGCAGCTTATTCCATTTGAATGTGCTGCTGCAGCTGAAAACACATGTCTCTGTTTGGAATTTTGGCTCTTCAGAAATCAAGAAATGCCACTGGAAATGATGTTACTTCACTCAGAGCAGGGTATAATTGCTACTGCATATGAAATAACACGAAAGCCACTGGTGTCTTTTCTTTATAGATATATATATAAAGCAGGATTTTGTTATTTTTTAGATTATCTGCAGTCTAGTGAGACAAACACTTCTCTCTGTGACATATTCTCAGTACATTCACTCAACCATTAGTAGTAAAATAACCCTAACCTAATCCATCACAAACTATCAATAAATGTACTTTTAATTGCGTCTTGATCAAATAAAAATAGGTCAAATCACAGGGTTAAGACAAAAGGGCTTTGGAGTTTCCCCAAGTAGGAAAGGCGCTCTACAGAAACAGATTGATAAAGATATGAAGTCTCACCCTCATTCCTTGTTCATCAGTGTAAAACCTCCTGTAGAAGGCAAATCCAAAGTCTGTGCCCACTGCAAAGACATCGCGGTTTAGAATAACACAGAGAAGTAGAAGTATCCTTACAGCACTCAGACTCACCGATGACTAGAATGGCCAGGATTCGAAGCACGCCGAGCAGCGGAATCATCTCTCGGAAATTCTGCGAGGATCCAAAGTGTGTGTTAAAAGCAAAAGGGGAATCCGTGACTGAACATTCTCCAACGTACCACTACTGCGTTCATGAAATAGCCGCCTAAAAGAGCGTAGACGCCACCGGAGGCCCCCACCAAGGCACTGAGGGGGTCGAAGATGGAGCTGGCCAAAGATCCTACAGGTACAGTCAAATATAAATATACATAAGTCACTTTAAATCACTAATGCACCGGGACTGAAAACACCCGCACTGCTGTTGCCACTCTTTTATTGTACATAGTTATATGCTGCACAGTAAAGCTGCACAATATATCAAAAAAATATCGTTATCGCGATATTGGTGCGTGTGATATATTTTTTTCTTTCCCTTTATCAAAGACAACAAAACAGACAGACACATCAACATTCAACAAATACAACAAACAAAAAAAGTATAGAAAAATATGCATTTGAATGTCATTAATGTTTTTATTTGTCTCTTGCATTTATTTTTAGGTGGAAAAAAAAAATATCGCAATGATATCGTTATCGCAATACTAAACACTCATATCAAATATTTACCATGTTTCACAATCTGAGTGATTCTATCTGTGCCCAATGTGACATTTCTCCATCAGAGATCAATAAAGTTTACCTTATCTTAAATGTAGTGAGAGATTTGATCAGAAACAGAAAAGTCTAATAATAATAATCGACATCTTTTGCAGACACTCACCAGCCAGGACTCCGGCCAGGTACACCATCCCCACCTCGAACCCTTTGTGGACCAGCTCCAGTGGGATTCCCAGCAACAGCTGCATGAACAGGTTCCCAACGATGTGCTCCACTCTGGGAGAAGAACGGTTAAAGAAGCAATATGTAAGACATTCATGTCCTGTCATCATTAAAGGGCCCTAATCTGTCATCATTAAAGGGCCCTAATCTGTCGTCATTAAAGGGCCCTAATCTGTCATCATTAAAGGGCCCTAATCTGTCATCATTAAAGGGCCCTAATCTGTCATCATTAAAGGGCCTAATCTGTCATCATTAAAGGGCCCTAATCTGTCATCATTAAAGGGCCCTAATCCGTCATCATTACAGGCCCTCTGTCATCGTTAAAGGGCCCTAATCTGTCATCATTAAAGGGCCCTAATCTGTCATCGTTTAAGGGCCCTAATCTATCCATCCATCCATTTTCTACCCTTTAATCCATTTCTGGGTCAGGGGGGTGGCAGTCAGAGATGCCACCCAAGTCTCATAGCACCAGCCCCTCACTGACCCTCTGCAGGTGGTGAGTCCACAGGAGGACGGCTGCTCTCTGAGTGTGAGCATAGCCTTGATCTTTCAGTGGGGGCTTTGGGCAAAGTGGGGCTAAGTGTCTTGCCCAAGGACACAACAACAGCAGTCATCAGTGGGAGTCGATGGAGAAGGTGCAGAGGTGGGCCCTAATCTGTCATAATAATAAACTTCTCTTTTCCAATCCTTCTTTAACTGATAACAGTAGTTCAGAGATATTTGAATTTCTAAATTACTTTTCCAGCTCCTAAATCTTGTTATTGTTTTCATTTCCATGTCCCGCCCTCCACCGTTTCACCAATCAGAAAGTCTGTGATCCGGGCGCCAGAACTCACCGCGTGGAGCTAATCTCACTGGTAAAGTACCATGTGGAGCTAATCTCACTGGTAAAGTACCATGTGGAGCTAATCTCACTGGTAAAGTACCATGTGGCGCAGAACAAAAAAAGGTCTTGTTATGATTCTCAAATCATTAACGACAAAACAAGGAATAAAACCAGGATTTCTATCTTTGTGAAAAAGGTGTTGGTTATAGATTTGTTGTTGACAAAACTCTTGTCTATTCAGCTGTTATGGTCCCAGCTGGATTCGTCTGCATATCTGGCAACCTGAGTCAGGGAGAGTGGGAGAAGCTGCAGTACCACTTTTGGACACATTTTTACATACTGCTCCTTTAAAGTCTGTTGTAATTTTCGACCCATAAATACCCAGGTTAGGGTTGTGGGTTAGTGAGGAAGCCAAATATGTTCTTAGGTGGTATTTGGAGTGAATATCTGGATTAGAGTTCACTAAGTAAAGCATATGACACAGCACACACATGAGTCAGAGCCCTTTTCGGTTACACTGGTGTGTGTTTGTGTGGTGGGGGGTGGGGGGGCTGTGGTCCCAGCTTCACCCAGGCCTCGCTCTCTCTCACCCTGCGTGGACAAACATGTAGGAGATGAAACGCCAGGCCTCCTCCCTGAGCTCCGGCTTGTACGTCAGGGGACTGGTCCAGATGCCCTGGTCCAGAGTGATCCACTGCTTCTGGGGCTTCCACACGGCGTAGTAGATAAACACTGCCAACTGACACAAAACACACACACCGAAGTGAGAGAGTGTTTTCATACTTTTGTTTTATTTATGTATTTATTTGAACAGTATTAATTCTGCTCAAAAGGACTGGGTTAAAGCAGTTTATGAACGACTCAATACAATTTAAATGTATAAGAGATCATACAGCTACTAGCAATGTCTTAGGCCCCGTCCCAATTCTCACCCTTGCCCTTAGGTGTGAGTACCCTCACCAGCAAAGTGCCTTCCCAGTGGGGAATGCACTCACAACATTCTCCCTTAAGAATGGGGACACCCCTGGATCTAGGGGACAATATGCAAATGACGCAGCAGACGTGTTCCACGTCACACATTATCAAAGTGTGTGATTTCACCACAGATAAGATCTGACACAGATATGACTTTATGAAACACAGTATTTACTAAAATGAGACGTTTTTAATTCTATTTCATTTGAAGATTTGCTATAATTAGGTACAGAACTGATGCACATCACGCACACAGAGGCAGACACACACGCACAAACAGACACACGTACACACACAGAGGCAGACACACGCACACAGACGGACACATGTACAAACACACAGAGACAGGCACATACACGTACGTGCACAGAGACGTACCACACAGAGACAGACGGGTACAGCCGCGATCCCGCGGATCACAAAGAAAACTGTGTCAAAGCGTTGCTCTGAACTACATCATGGATCTATAATAATAACATGCACCACGTCTCTAAAGCCTCACGCCACTCGCTGCAGCCGCTTCGGGAACGAACGTCACCGCACACGGCTCCAACACACGCATTAAAAACGAACTCGCACAGACTTTGGAGCTTGCTCATGTTCCGCAAAGACTTGTGCACGGGTGTTTCATGTCGTTTTCTTTTATTGTGGCGCAGCTTTGCCCGACAGCTGCTTTACTAACAGCTATCGTAATGCATCATGGGATCACACTCACTCGCAAGTGAGCTCCAGACCTCACTTGCGCTCAAGGGTGGTTTTTAGGGGTGTGAAGGCCCTCGCCTCTTCTCCCTAAGTATTGGGACATCCTTCCACTCCCGCGGGCACGCACAAACTCTAGGGCAAGTGTGCTTTTTAAGGGCAGGGTGAGAAGTGGGACGGGGCCTTAATGAGATTAGCCTCACTGACGAGAGAGAGAGACCAGAGCAAGAGAGAGATCAGAGCAAGATCAGAGCAAGACCAGAGAGAGACTACTACCACCTCCGCTGCTGTGACCTGAAGGGCCTGTGCTATCTTTTTTAAATGATCAATTTTATTTTTGCTGCTACTGGACACCTGAATTTCTCCTATGGGGATCAATAAGCATGTATGTAAGTGTGTTTACTACAACTACTACTACTACAACAACACACAAGTGATAGAGATACATGCATGCACTACTACTTATTATTATTATTATTATTATTATAATACTACCAATACTACTAATACTAATAATATTATTAGCATTATTAATCTCAATGGTAATTTAGGTTAGCAAAGCAGAAGGCCACATAACAGGACGCAGCGGGCCGCAATTGGCCCTCGGGCCTGAGTTTGGACATACCTGTATTAGACACTCTCACACGTAAATAAACAAAAAAAACCTCCCTTATTTCACAACCAACCACAAAAACAGTGGTTTTGTCACGTTCTCCCTGTGAGCAGAGAGAGACCAGAGAGAGACACCAGAAAGAGGCCTGTGGAGGAGGAGGCCTGCTTTTCACATGACCTCCTGCTGACGGCTCACATTCCTGTAAACCTGGATCTTTTCAAAACCAACTGTCTCCAAACTGTTCTGTGAGAGAGGAAACCAGCACCGCAGCAAAGTTTAGGAAAAAAGTACGAGTTTTTATCACATGCTTCAGACTGTAAAAGGACCTCAGGAACTGAATGATCAACTTTGTTCAACTTGAAAGTAGAGCTGTGAGTACGGCTTTTTATACATTTGAGCAGAAATGTTAATAAAGGTCCATGAATGTCCTGGATCATCACCACGGACTAGAGAGAGACCAGAGAGAGGCCAGAGAGAGACCAGAGAGAGAGACCAGAGTGAGAGACCAGAGAGAGACCAGAGTGAGAGACCAGAGAGAGACCAGAGTGAGAGACCAGAGAGAGACGCCAGAGAGAGACGCCAGAAAGAGACGCCAGAGAGAGACACCATTGAGAGACCAGAAAGAGAGAGGCCAGAGAGAGACCAGAGAGACCAGAGAGAGAGACCAGAGAGAGAGACCAGAGAGAGACAAGACAGAGACCAGAGACAGAGCCTAATTGAAAGAGGTGTTTTATAAATAGTTGACTAGTAGTTCATAAAGTAATCCAAACAGTCCATAAATCTTTACAGACTCAGCCCTTTGCCCTGTGTATGAATTGTGCAATACAAATAAACTTGCTTCAAAGCAGTGTGTGTCTATAAATATCCTCAAACGTACCACTTACGGCAGGTGCAGTGACACGGTTGGAAGCATCGTCCCTCTGACCAGATAGAAGCAGGTTACTATTGGTCTATGACACTTTCAAAATCAATACGCCCTTTAAGACCAGACATAACACACACACGCACATATACACACACACACACACACACACTCGCCTACATACTGTATCTGCCCTACTTAATGCAAACAGAAAAATCCATATCGGGCTAAATGTAGGCTACATGTTGTACAAATCCCCCACACACACCATCCATAGTGTGTTAGCAGTGGACTGACCAAGTGCCTGTGGAAGAAGCAGATTGGACCATAAGATAGCTGGAGCCAATTTCCTTAAATGGGCATTCGTTCCGACAGGGTTAGCTTTGCGCAGTAACGAGCCGCTGCAAACGCACGTGTTGCTAACATGGTTCTAAGGCGAATGAAGGCATCTGAGAGTTCAAACCTTAGGGGTCACATCTGGATTTGCCTAGACATGTATGGACATTTATCAACATGTGTTCTATATTCTTTCTGTGTCTTAACTGTTGATTCTCTGATCTGTGTTGGTGATTCTAAAGGTGTTGTTAAGACTCAGAGGATGCTGTTATGATTTAGGGCTATACAAGAATAAATTGTATTGTATTATTCAAATATAAACACCAGGATCATAGAGAGCTCTAAACCATCTATGTTTTAAGTCCAAAAGTCGGAGCAAAACCTTACCCATGAGCACTTCCCTATTGGGCTTCATTGAGCTAGGAGGTTAAGATTGTAAGTAAGTAATTATGCCATTTAGGAGGCACATGCCAGACCTATTGTACATGATTTTAGTGGTAAGGGAAACCGGAGCACCAGGAGGAAACCTACACAGTCGCGGCGAGAACAGACACAGTCACAAAGAAAAAAATTGCTTTCATAAAATACTTTAAAATTGCCTTTGTCTCTCACTCCACACATGGGAGCTGGGTTGCCAGACAGGAGGCACATGCCAGACCTGTTGTACTTGATTTAGTGGTACGGGAAACAGGAGCACCTGGAGGAAACCTACACACACATGGGGAGACAACTCCACACACTGCATAAAGTGATAAAAATAAGCCAAAAATTGATCAAATTTGGCAAATGGTATCTTAATTTGAGCACATTATGACAAGATTAGCCAATAGAACAAAGCAAAATGATCTTAACTTTAAAATATACAAGAAATGTCTCCCTTGGAATGAGACAGCAGTTCTTGACATAAGACTAAACGGCTCGTTCCACTGTCAAATCTAGTTTATACACAGTCAGATTGTTCTCAAAATAAGATCAAAACCACTTGATTCAAGCCATTTTCACCTCATATTTTATCATTTTTTGCAGTGAGAAAGACCTGGTGGTGGAATCAAACCCAGGACCTTCTTGCTGTGAGGCACAAGCTCTAACCAGATACAGCCCATGCCCTCACCTCCGCGATGCTGATGAGGATGATGAAGATGGGGGGTGGGCAGCAGTTGGCCCGGGACAGGTAGGTGTTGCGGCTCTTCTCTGGGAGCATCCACCTGGACACGGTTCGCTGGAACTTGTCGCAACATCCCAGTTTCCCATGATCCTCGTCTTCGTCCGACTGTCGGAGCTTCCTGCCGTCTCGGTCCACGGGGAAAGGCTCCAGGGTCTCAGGGTCCTGGTCCATTTCTGCTGAAGGCTGAACCCACAAACACAGAGGATTTGGTTTGATATTAACTGTGAATTAGAATCATAGAATCATCTGGAGCAGGGGGGGTCAAAGCCAGATACATCAGAGGCCAAAAAAACTCATTTGCTACAAGCCGAGGGCCGGGCTGGTTCAATGCTTATTAAAAGATGTTAAAATTATGCATATAAACTGTTGAACCAAGACCATATACAGTGGAGCGTAATTTATTTAATGGTTAAATGAATAATCCAATATTTATAAGGCTTTGTCGGTAAGTAGTAAGTAAGTAATCTTTATTTATATACCGCCTTTTCACTGCAGATCTGAGTCTCAAAGCGGTTTACAATTGTTAATTTTTGGGCATTTGTCTCTCACTCCACACAGAGATGGGAGCGGGGCCAGTACAGGAGGCACATGCTAGAACTATTGGACATATTTTTAGTGGTAGGGGAAACCGGAGTACCCAGAGGAAACCTACGCAGACACGGGGAGAACATGCAAACTCCACTCAGAAAGGCCCTGGTCCAACCGGGATTCGAACCCAGGACCTTCTTGCTGAGAGGCGAGAGTGCTATCCACTCAGCCACCGTGCCGCCCGTCGGCCGTTTCAAGTGAAAACAGACACAAAACAAACTTCCTTCAAAGAGAATATTTTCTTATGTCTCTGTGCGGCTGGTTCTAATACTAATACCAAATATCATCCGGGGGCCGAGATCATTCATTCGAGGGCCGGATCTGGCTCCCGGGCCTTGACTTTGACACCCATGGTCTAGAGAATAGCAAAAGAAGCAAAAATCCATAACGTAGATTAATCCATTATCAATTATACTTGCTTCTTTATTCTGTTTAAGTCAGAGATTTCATACTTAATTCTTTCTTGTTATTACGGAGTAGAGACCGCTTCCTTATTAATCTAAAGCTAGAGCTGTTATATTATGTTTTATATTTTTATTTAGTAGAGATAAACTACTGAATAAAGCTGTGTTCTTTCCTACTGTTGTTTAACTTGTGATGCAACACTGAAATTTCCCCACAGTGGCAAAAATAAAGGATCTCTGGCTTGGTAAATTACAGGAGATCACAAACTGGAAAAAACAAGTGATAAAAAGTCAAAAATTTGTATAAATGCTAAGATGCTAATGCTAGAAAATCACTCTGACATATACAGTAACACACAAAAGATGAACAGGTTTTGAAATATTTTGAACAAATATTAAACTTTGTGGTGTCATCAAATAGTGTCATAATGTTTTATTGTTATTTGTTCATTTGAATAGAGACACATTCATCAGAAGTGTTAAAAGTTCTGTTATTTGTGAAAAAGAAAATGCAGATTATTAATAACAAATGGGTTAAATATATCATTATGGGATATGACGATGGTATGACTATGAAATGACTATTGAGGGACAGTTTTATCCCGGCTTCCTAATGGTGTTAAACTTGTATATATACAAACACATGCATTTAAAATGAGAAAATCTGACATTCGTACTATAAACAAATCCTGCAACCATCATTGATAATGGTCATGATACAAAGTGATTATAACTTATATGAACTTCACTATAAAACCATATAATAAACAGTGGCATTTCTCTACAGGTGAAAATAGCTATAAATAGTTCTTATAAAGAACACTCGTCAACACTTAATGGCGAAGTGGCACGCTCTTTGCCAAAACAATTTCCAAGTGGTAACTTTGTTACTTACGTGGCAATAAAAATTATTCTGATTAATGTAAACCACTGGTTGTATTTAAATATTAGGTCATAAAGTTGTTGCAATAGAAACAGTCCATGTTGTCATCATGTGATCGACTATAACATGTTTGAAGCACTTTCTACACTTCTGCAGAGAGATGTTGTTTACATGCATTACTGGTTTAATGATTGCTGTTAATACTAAAGAAGCCTTCTGTTCTTGGACGTTGCAACACTGACATTTCCTCTTTGTGAGTGCGTAGTGAAAGAAAAATAATAAATGATAGATCCTTTATTGGTCCCATTGTTGTGGAAATGTCAGCCCAAAGAAACTATAATGGTTTCACTTCAAAAGCAGAGACAGAAACAGAAACAGTCTGCTTTCATTCAAATAGAACAACAAGTGAATTTCCTGATACAAATGTGCAAACTTTGTATGAAACTTGTGGACTATACTCACAGAAAACTCCCGGAAGGAAGACTGCTGCAGAGAGCGTGTAGACCGACAGCCCCGAACACAAAGACAGTTGGACAAAGTGGACTGAGAGGTTTAGTCTGAGGCAGAGAGACTATTCCTCCATTCTAGCCGCACATCGCCCTTCCCCACAGCGGAAAACGCACTGGGAGATAATTATAGCCTCTCCATTCTCCTCTGATCAACAAACTTCCTTCTTCCGTGTAAATAATCTTAGTCCTGGTCCCGTGTTTCCCGTCGTCCTAGAACCAGCTCCAGACGCAGCGTGTACCTGAGCTGGAGCCACACCTGTGCTGGTGACGTCACACATAACACATTAATGTTATGTTTTGTTTTTGTATGCTGCGATTCCATAAACCACCGCGAGATGGCGCCATACCACACACAAGAGGCATCCCCTGGACTTGGTTGGGACGTCATTCATTCAGTGTTTTGTCAGCAGTGTTAAAATATGAACCAAAATGTATTTCGTAAAGCATTCCTTTCGTTTGGAAAAAGTAGTACCTGCATTCCAAATACTTAGAATAGTTTTTGTATTATTTATATTGATTGTGAATTAATGTTTATTTACAACACTTCAACAGCTGCATTTCCCCAAATAGAATCTTCCCTTTAAGAATACACAATCCTCATTTTTTTTTAAACCTTAAAAAGGTAATGAGAGAAAGTATGTTTTGCCGTGATCTTCAGAAAGTAACCAATCTAAATACTAGACTTTTTAGTAACAAATGGAATACAGTTACTCGAGTATTCCGAATTCATACTGGGATTACATGTGTTCCGTTACTCGTTTCATCTTTATGCGGCAGTTTCATGTTTTAGTCCCATCTACTCTCGGCCTCCAGGATCGAAGACTGATTTTTAGAGATGTTGGTCCCAAATGAACCAACTCTGAGGAGCACAGGGACCGGCCTCCTGCTGGTCCCTGAGTCACGACTCAATATGAGGAGGTAGTGTTTCAGTCTTCCAGAAAATGTGAGACCGGCTTCTACTTTGACAACGTTCAAATCCAGGTTGAATAAAAGTATTATTTGAATTCCTTGTTTCCATCTTTAACTTCTCATTGTGTTGGTCATGACCTGAGTGATAGAAACTGTAGCGCCACCTGTAGGTGAAAGACAGATCCCATCAGAACTATGAAGCTAAGCAGGGCAGGGCCTGGTTAGTACTGTGATGGGAGACCTCTGGGAACAGCAGGTGCCACAGTGGGGCGGCTGTGGCTGTAAAGTGCCAAACTGTGGTTGTGTCCTTAGGCAAGACACTTCCTCCACATTGCCTAGAATGAGTGTGTTGTGTGAATGGCTGACGTTGAGCGGTTGGGTACTGTTGCCTCGCTTCTGTCGCCGTGTCCCAGGGCAGCTGTGGCTATAGTAGTAGTTTATCACCACTGTGTATGGAGTGAATGACGTCCAAAAAAATTATTATAATTAAACAAACTTTCCTTCAATATTTAAACATAAAAACAGCTTTTCAGAGTGAACACACAAACAAACCTAAAAATTACACAAAACAATAGCTCTAAAGAAAGATAATAGTCTGGTTCATCAGGTCTGCACAGTCTGGGTAAATACTGTACATACCGTAAATGCAAAAACACATGAACAATCCAAGACATTTTTTAAATCACTGAACTTTTAATTTTTCAAAAGGGGAAAAAAAAGCACATTCTTGGGTAAAGAGTTATGCAGAGTTTGGGACAAAAAAATGTGGGTGTGTGACGCCTTTACATACAGCCGCTGGAGGCTACAGGGTAATCACTGAGCCAAGAAGCTTCTAGATGGACACTGGAGGCAGGACTTCCAGAGGGCGTTCCAACAACAGGGCACAGACAGTGGACTTTTTACAGAGCCTTGTGATTCTTTTACACCTTTTGGACCAGCAGCGATTACTTATCTCAAACCTGTGAGTAGTTTAAAAACTGGAGAAAAAAAAAACATGGCACCCGAACGGTATGAGGTGAGAAGGAGGGGGTAAAAAGACAAAAAGCCATAAGTAAAATCAAAAGAGAAAAGAAAAGGGAAGCCATCTTGTAAGAGGACGCCAGGGTCTGGAAGACGTCAGCTCACGAGACGTCTGTAACAAAGAGAGGAGTTTAAACGATTCAGAAAGTTACGGTTTTCCATCTGTGCTCTTTGAGATACTCACAACTCGCAGGCCGCGCTCCGTATCTTCGCATGATCTGGTCTTGTGTGAATTTCACAAAAGATTCATATTGTTCTGGAAGAGAATGAGACGAGGATTTGTGAAAGGACGGCATTAATTTGAAAGTCATAAATATATCAAAATGTTTTTCAAAGCCATTTATCTGCTCATGTTGGATACCAATTCTCCAATTCTCATTTTTTAACAATTCTCTTTAGATGTTTTTTCTAGGTATTTTTTCCCTTTTTTTTTTAAATTTTAAAATTAATTTTCTTTAGATTATTTTTTTTTATATATTGCTTTTTACTGTATTTAATTTCAGATTTTTTTAAGGGCAAAAATTGACTAAACATAACTAATATTTAATTCATGATTTATTGCACACAGTTAATAGGAATGTTTAAAGTCTCATCTTTTACTTTTATTTCTTTTTATGTTTTTATTTATATAATTGTTATGTTGATGTATGTATATATAGATGTATGTTTTAATAGCTCATCTTATTGTAATTGGGGTTTTTATTTTAATTTTGTATACTTTTTATTTTTTAGTGTGTTACTTGTATCTGTGCAGCACTTTGGAAACATGTTTTATAAAATGTACTAAATAAATAAAGGATGAATTGCAGTGGTTTTAAAGTTACAAACACCAGCTTTAACTCAGTGACTGCCTGTCGTTTTTCAATGATTTCACTGATTTTCAAGATCCACAGAATATTATTCCCTAAGACTATGTAAAATATGAAACCAGATTCTGAAAGACTGGATTCTTTACTTTCATCAGCAAAAATAAGTTCGTTTCTCGCTCTTCTGTGGTCCCCAGTGGAAAAGAGTGTCTCAGACAAATACGTCGGTGGCAGTCAAGGAGTTAAAAACAGGATTTCTGAGAGTCATGCATACTCTTCTATAGAGACTTGTCAACTGACGAGAACGGGACAGTTTTTCTTACTGCGTCCGTTACTTTTGACAGATCGACTGGCATTGATCAGAACGCCATAAACGCACGTATTACCTGCGAGTTTTGTATTTAAGATCTGTTCGTACTCCTCCCGGATCTTGTCCTCGTGGTCTTTGAGGAGCCGCTCGCACAGGTAGCTTACTTGCTTCAGCGTAAAAGAGGGCTGGTCCTTCCTGGAGGCGCCTGAACAGAAACAACGTTAGGAAATCACAAAAAAGGTTTAAAAAAAATAAATAAAACCGTTCACTCAATGCTCGCTCTGCAGAAGTCAGGTTTATAATGTACTTAAAAAGCCACTGCAGGTGTGTTTTATTTCATCCAAATGTGGTGGAAGTTACCTATGGGCGTCTGGGCTTAAATCTGTAAAGTCAAGAGTTGGCAGTGTGAGTGAGGGAGCAGCGGCTCTATTCCGAATGATCTATGATGACACAATTTCACATGTGAAAAAAGTAGTTCAGCCCCGGGGTCAAGTAAAAAACATCTCAGATTCTCCACATTCAGTCAATAGAGACGCTTTTAAAAGGCGTGAAACTACAAAATGTGGGCGTTTCACGTGTGTGTACAAGTATGTGTGGGTGTGTACAAGTCTGTATGTATCTGTGCAAGTATTATATATCTGTGTACAAGTATGTATCTAGTAGTAGTAATCTTTATTTATATACCGCCTTTTCACTGCAGATCTGAGTCTCAAGGCAGTTTACAATTGTTAATTTTGGGCATTAGTCTCTCTCTCCACACAGAGATGGGAGGGGCCAGTACAGGAGGCACATGCCAGAACTATTGTACATATTTTTAGTGGTAGGGGAAACCGGAGTGCCCGGAGGAAACCTACGCAGACACGGGGAGAACATGCAAACTCCACTCAGAAAGGCCCTGGTCCGAGCGGGATTCGAACCCAGGACCTTCTTGCTGAGAGGCGAGAGTGCTAACCACTCTGCCACCGTGCCGCCACATGTATCTGTGTACAATAAGTATGTATCTGTGTACAATAAGTATGTATCTGTGTACAATAAGTATGTATCTATATAAGTATGTATCTATAAGACAACAGTAAGCCTGTTCCAATAATCACTATTGACTTTTGGGCCTCATGAATCATAATCTATTCCACTGTGTCAAAATGGTGCTCAGAGGGCAGTGGGCGGAGTCTGGTGAGCTCCTGCTTGGTTGGAACAAAAACCTGCAGCCACATCGTCCCTTTCTGGAACTACTGGTCTATACATTTGTCCAATAGTGAACAGATCTTTGCTTTTTTCTAACTGTAGAAAGATTCATTTCAACTCAGTACGTGCTTGTGTCATTAAGTAGTTTATAACATTTATCGCCATCATTCCCAGAATCAATTTATTGTTCATTTTGTCATTTTCATTTTCTGTCCTTTTACTTTCCAGCTTCTTGCAGAAAGACTTTTGAAACGAACCAAAGCAGTAAGAAGCAGTTTAACTTTTGTCAGAATGAGTTATCGCCGAGACGACAGTGGGACAGAGACAAGGTCCTGTTACAGCGTCCTGTTTTAGCAGAATGTGACATCACGGACAGAGGACTCCTTCTGCGGACTGACTGTTAAAGTGTCACAGATAAAGGAGAGACCTCAGATCGATGTTCCAACCGAGTCAGTCAAGTTGGATAAAGTTTGTGCCTGATTTTAAAGAATTTAATCATTTATGCAGGATTTGGCTCTCTAAATCATGTTTTTGACAAAACTAAAAGGTCAGTTGCACTAAAAAGAGAACAGTGGGTGAAAGGCAGGGGAAGGTCAAAGTAAAACTAGTTCTGTGGAAAACAAGAGATGGGATTTCTGTAAAAAATGTAGAAATAAAATAAAATAATGTGTGTATAAGATTAGCAAATTATCTCAGCATGCAATTCCCCACTTCAACCACCAGCCCCTGTTTTGTCAAGATAATTTCTCTACAAGGAAGAAGATGCATCCAACAATTTGGCCCCGATATCAGATACTAGTGTTGTTTCTATGCATTTAACATAGAGGCATTTAGAGGCAGAGCGACGTGTTAGTTCCAGAAGTTACCGATATCAGAGTGGATGGAGCAAAAAACCACTGCGGGTCAACTCTGCAATGTTGTACAAAGGCTGACAAAGGAAATGTCTCAATTTGAGCATTGCGTCACACGTGTAGGTCTCAAAGTGGTGAGAATCCTCCATCTCAGTCAGTGGTAACTTAAAGGGCCTATGGTGTAGTACCTGGGGGGGAGCTGGGGGCGGTGAGGGAGGGGCTGGGGGCCTCGCTGGAGCTGCAGGCCTCGCTCTGGTTGAAGGCTCCCTCCAGCTGTCGCCGCCTCTGGATGCGGCTGTACTCCTGACGCAGGTTCTGGAAGATCTGCTCTGTGGGGCAAAGACAAAATCGGCTTCAGCTGGAGGAGCGGTGCAGGACGTCATATGGTGGCCTTGCTAATATACAAAAATACTGTAAAAGCACAACATATAGTAAAGTCATACAGTAATATTGTCCCAAATTTTTAAAGTGACCAGTGAATTTAAGCCAGCGTCCCAAATAGCGCAGAGGACATATGAAATAACACTGGGTAACAACAAAATATGTTGGGGGTTTTCAGTCCAGGGTTTTCAGCTGAATCTCTGAGTCCGAAAATGGACCTTGGTTTTGCTCAATCAGGTCAGGATTTTTTGCTACAGAAATATTTTTTTTTTATCTATTTTGCGTAAAAAACAAATTTCTGCGGATCATCAGCTGAGAAACCCTTGACGGTTTTTCCGTTTTCCTCAAGAAATAAAAGTCACCGTATCCAAAGTCATTCAGTTTTTATTTACTCCATCAAATTTGATAAGCAGAATTCATAATAACGTAGACGTAATCCGTAACACTATGTATCTCAAAAAGTTGACCTAATAGAGACAAATGCATGTGATATTCGGACTCAGAACACCAACATTAGTCTGAATCAGTTGAGAAACCCCTGAACATTTTTTGGCTGTCAACTTGTGTTATTTACAACGAATGTAATGTTTTCCCAATGAGTATTTGTGTGACCCAAAAGTTAGAGACTTAGGAACCACTGATTTTGGCAATATTTTTTAACCTTTAACATGTTTCACACTTCTGTCTTTTGCACAATCTGAGTGATTCTATCTGTGCCAAATGTGACATGTACATTTCTCCAGAGTTATAAAGTCTATCTTATCTTAACTGTCTTATATAAAAAAAACTTATACTGTAACACAACTGGAGATTAAATCAACAGCAACCACGACAGTCATGTAAACTGTCTTAATAAAAAAACTTTACAACTAATATAATACATTTAAAAGAGTCTTTCAAAACACCCAAAGACACTGTACAAGCATGGTTAAAAACAGTGAGTTCTGAGTCTGTGTTGCGTGGGTCAGGGGGGAGTGAACTAACACGGGCTTACAGCTTTGAGGATGCATTTATACCAAAACCACAACTGCTTTAAAAACAGACTGGACGGTTGAATAGGAAGTTAAAGAACCAGAACCAACTGAACCAACGGAGGTTCTGGCCCTAAACGCTCGACCGACACCACGGCCTCGAACAGTCCACGTGCACAGGAAGCAGGGAGTCAACACAAAAACAGCTGTGATCGTCTGCGTCTGACAAACACAACTGCAGGCTGTGAGAAACATGACTATCACCTTCACTTCTATGGTTTAGCACCTCGTATTTCAACAGGGATTGTGTCAAAGAGAGCGAGAACAGTGGACAACATCTGTGAGTCCATGATAACTATTGTGATTGAGAAGTCTTGAGAAGTTTGATAAGAAAAGGATATTATTGAGACTATAAGCAGTGTTTTATAAATGTGTTTTTGGTTAAAATAGTGAGTATTTTTTAAAAGGCCATGTTATTAAAAAGGGTGTATTAGGAGGATTTTCTACTTCCGGGTGGATCATGAAGACTTTTGTTCCTCCTAATTGTCAATCATTCTGGTGATACGTGCTCGTCCAATAAGACCAGAGAGTTTTGTTCAAAAAGTGAAGACCCCTGAGTCACAATAAAAATAATACATGATTGGAACTATTGTTGGGGAATTTGTGAGAAATGTCTAGACTGGTGAGTACTATTGCTTCAAAGCCTGACCGGTTCTGGGTTCAAATCCTGGTTGGAATGGGGCCTTTGCATGCTCTTTCCGTGTTTGCGTAGTTCTCTCCCTCTTTTCCCCAACACTAAATGAATCCATAGATAAAAATCCTCAAGTTTCGGCCGTCCTCAGCAAGACCATCAACATCTACCTCTGACAAGTGTGAACTTCCAAACAAGGGAATCAAATACATCCTTAATTTTTAGGTATATTTTGTGCCGCTTAAGTCTCCCCGAAATCCTTAGTAGAAGCAGAGAGACATAAACAAGCCCAAATCCAGCCTAAGGTCAAAGTACAAAAACAACACCACATGTCAAAGCTGAAAGATAACCAAAATATTGAGCCGCTCGCCGGAACGAGAGGAGTTGAAACAACGGCGTCTCTTCCTCTATCTGAATAAACAGGCTTCATTTATCTTTGGGTGGGGAGCTCTGGGGGCCGGGTCTTCAGCAGCAGCAGTGGGTTTATTCGGGGGTCTGAATGACTGGGGCCCTCCTGTAGAATGTGGCCTTTGTAACCTCCGAGCATTAACAATACAGCAGACTAATCTGTCCGGCTCTGTGGGCTGTAGGGGGGGTTCACGCTTAATAAAGCTGTGTGAACAAAAACATCCCTCAGAACCACAGGCCTCGAAATTAGACCAGTGATTGATGAGTGACTGGAAAGAAATTAAGGCTGAGTAATTAAGAGGGCGGACCACTTCAAACTTCATTACTGTAGGAAAGAATCTCTGGATCAGTAAACGACTTTTTCATGTGATTATTATTTAATCAATTACCCCCACTTAAAACAAATCCACATGAGACCGTAAATCCTTTACTGCTGTTGGACTGAAGATATGAAATGCAATATGGTAAAAATGTTAAGCAGAGAGGATCGGACAACTCGGGACCGTTTTGTTGTGGGTTTAAACCAATGGGGGCGGGTCCCGGCTCGTACAAGGTCCATAAGCGTGCTGCAATCTCACTCCCCACGGTTTGAGTGTACCCTGAAAGATAATTATCCATTGAATTCTGATGACGTCTTGTTTCCTCTCGCTTTACAGGATGGTCTAAAATTGGCTCTTAGCCCAATCTACGTTCCAGATGCTGTGGGGAGTATTATTTTTTGGACCAGTCTAGTCTAGCTGCTGTGGACTTTTGAATGCGCTCGTTAAATGCATATTGATTGCTGCCATTTTAAAAACATGGCCGGCGGAAAAAGTGATGCCACATACGTTTCAACGGTGGAGATAAGCGTGACAACAGTCTATGGTTTAAATGGATGGAATGTGTGGGTAACCATGCAGTAGCTAAGTGCAGGTGTTTACAGTCCATGTTTAGGATTAGTTGTGCGCAGGGATAATGCCCTATGACTTATGGCCCAGCAGTGAAGCTTTCTAAGACCATTTGAATAATGTTGGGTGCAGCACAGAACTAATGATCAACCTGTAACTGACGAGGACCATTTTTCTATAAAGGGACATATGAGAAACTTCATTCTTGCAGAGTCTACTCGTTTGTCCATGAACAGATGTTGAATATCCAGAAGCCCAAGATTCTCTCTTGGAGAAGAACATAGAGCTGGTTTTCATTAGATTGAATTGCTGTTTGAAGCTCACTGTGTAAACAAAGAGCAGAGAGTTGCCGGCATAGAACAACCGTCATGTCAAGCTAACTCATGGCTATGTTACAACTGTTGGAACAGACACAGGAATGAGATGTGACGGATCAACGGCATCAATGCTGTTGAGGGAAAAAAATATGACAAGAGAAAGATGGTGGCACTGGGGAGTAGTGGCACCAACAGGTCCATGGCAATATTTACGGTCTAATAATATTACACTTCTAGATGTGACAATTTATGAGTAATGGTTCACACTTTTATATTTAATTGTTGGTCTTCAATGGCATCATGAATCCAAACAACTACAGCTAATCGATTATTCATTACCAGCTGTCTTAGTGAAATTGTACATCTTCCCGGACTGTAGTGGTGACACAGAGGGACTAGGATTTCAACATTATACCAACTCAAGGCGGATTTAGAACCAGTGGATAGAAAGTTGAGGACTGAAAGATTTGTTTAAAGTGTAACTGAAAGTGAAGTAACAAAGCAGTGATTAGTCTGCTATATGAAGCCTTTCGCATTTTAGATTATCTTCACATCAGCATTAGACTTTTATACAACACAGACATGCCATAGGAGTTCTTTAAATGTGCAGTTATCAAGAGGTAATGGCTTAAACAATATTTGATAACAATTTTACTGCCTCTATGACCATGTTAAACCGCAGCACTCGTTTCACAGGAAGCCATTTCAACGTGGCACCCCAGCACTGGCGTAAACACATGTCGAAAAAAACATGAATGTGTTTTTCTTCCATGCATCTACCTGCACAGCCACTTCCAGACCTGAAATATGAGCAGGGGCCAGAGGCTGAGGAGGATGGGGGGGGAATGACAGCTGACATTTCACGGACACAAACAGTTCATTTGGCTTCGAGCTGCAAAAACAGTCCTGCAGCCCCTTTCCCACAGGGGCCTCCAGTGTCCAGAGTCCAGCAGCTGATATCAGAACCTTCTGTCCACTGCACATGTTGCACTAAGCTTTTCATTTTTAGACTGTTGCTCTAATGTATGTTTGTATCAAGGAACATCTGATGAACCCTTACACAGTAGACAAACTGTACAAACATCACCCAATGAACCCCAACTCAAACAAGCAAGTAAAGAATTATTTGCAAACAGAGGCCAAATTACGGGATAGAAGGCTCCAGATCGGTCAGTCATACGGGGACATACCTGGATTTACAAAAACAACATAACTGTAAAAACGCTATAATCATGCAGAGCGTTAAACCACAGATGCTAAGCCCAAAACGGTGACTGTCGCACCAGTAGGCTTTGGAGCTAGTGGTTTAACACAGTCTATATGAACTGCTTACTTGGAGATAAGAGAAATGGGACAATCTACTGTATGTCATCCTCCAGACCAACAGCTGTACGTGTATAAGGTGCAAAAACACCACGTGACCAGAATATAAGAAACGCAATGTAACGTAAACACCCATAGAAACCAAAAGGCGACTCAACGCTATGGTCTCACTCATGGTAGATAAAACCATATCCTTGGAGACCTCGTGGAATAGACATGCTGTTAGGTGTAGGGGTGGGCGATATGAGCAAAAAGAAATCGATATTTTTAAAACTCTTTAAACTCTCATTTATTACACAAAATGCTCTGCAATATTTTGCTTGCCAGGGCATCTATAGATAAGGGCAGGGTAAAAATAAAAGCTGCTATTTTGATCTAAAGTGCTTCACAAATCTTTGCAAAACATGCACAAACATTCATTAACATTAAAAATCAAATTCAAGTAACACGGGAAGAACACATCCAAAAGAGATGTGCAAATAAAGCAGTGATTAGCTTCTTAGGCACGCATTTGACAGATTGGCATCTTGTCTGCTCTGATTGTAATATGTATTGAAGTTAAGAGAAAAAAGACGATAATGTAAAAAAGCATATCTTCAAATTCAATTTTGCGATATTATTGTCTACGATATATATTGCCCCCAGTTAGGTGTAGCTTGGCATTTCTGATACAGCGCCAAATATCTGCTGTTGACCAAGCCTTAAACATTAGCGTTGATTTAACCATGTTTGACTATTATGTTACTTGAGCTACTGAATGTATTTGAATTAATAATAAAACAACACTATTTCAAAATGTGAAAGCAGAACAAAATGGTGTCCAAGACGGTCCTTCTGGAAGTGACGAGGAAATACCGTGCTAAGGTTGGCCTTACAACCCGCTCTGACAAAACCAATAAACCATTCCAGTTTCAGGAGGATGTCTGGCTGCTGAAGTTCAGGTCGTTGTGTCTCATTTATCCACACACCTGCTGCCAACGCATACGGGTTATCGACACTTATCCCATTCACCAGGGTACAGTTCATGGTATAACACAGGCGATCGCTTGGTTAGACTTGTATTACAGGGACAAGAATGCTAGCTAATACAATTGCTATACAACCACAGCTAATCAAGGTAACAACATGGTCATAGGCGAAGGAATTTGTAAATGAAACACCAGTGTAATACGCTTTCTAGAGTCGAGTTTCTCACACTGTATATACACCGCAGATTCAGGCATTTAGTTTTAATTAACCGAAAGAAGAGTTAAGTCAAATGCTAGACCTTGAATGCTGCAGAGAAAAGAAACATTTTAAACCAGACAGATGTAGTGATATTCTGAAGGGCAAATATTTAGTGGTATTCAGGAAGCCACATATTTTCTTAGGAGGTGCTTAGTGATGAATGTTTGAGACGCAGTGTTCTAGACATTCATGATGACGCACCCACATGTGCCCAACGCACAGAGGAGATGCATTCCAGGTCAACAGGGAAAAAAACTAAACAATGCCTCCCGGGTGAGAGTGAACAGGGCAGCCCCCATCAGAGCCGGTGACAGAGAAAGTGCAGTTCGTACAGGAAACTTTAGAGCTCCAAATGAACACAAGCCGGTGTTATGTCTGCTGCCATGAGTCTTTTTGGGTGAAGGAAGGGTGACCCAAGTGCATATCCTCATACCACCAGCACCAAAGCAGGCCAAGGCCTTTGTTTGGAAATCAGAGAGTCATAGTCAAACTTTATCAGTGTGAATGGAAAGCGCATTTCTGAACTATGGAGAAAATGTAGCAAAGTCAAAAACATTGCTTATAAAATATAATACAATTTTTCAGACTTCAATTTCACCATAAACCAAACACTGAAAAGTTTTAATATTGTAAAGCATTTTCTCACATTTGCAACACAAAAATTTGTTTTTTAGTTGAATAAGTAAGTATGTTGGTTGGCTATGATGAGGTTATGGCCAAGACTCCTAAGTCCCATTATTCCTCCAGAGAGAGCTCTTGTTCAGGGCTAAAGCTACTCCTTTAACAATCAAATAAAAACTTGTCAGAATGTGCTCCTAAAATTTGAAATGTTTCCGTTTGCAATTTATTATTAATTGTTTGGGAGGTTACTTAACCAAGAGTGGCAAGTTACAGGTTGGTGACTCCTGGATGATGGTAACTATACTTAATTATCCCAGTAGGACAATTTGACTAGTTGTAGCAAAAGATCCATACAATGTGAGGTTGGGCTTGTTTACCAGCTGATCATGACACAGACTCGATGTGTAAACTTTTACTTAACGTGTAGAGCCCATCAATCCTTAAGTTAACAGTCTGACAGCAGGGTGCCCTTTTCAGAGCCTCCCTTAAATACATAATCATGGTAACATCCAGGGTCACATTGAGCATTTCTTAGGTTAGCTTGAACAACTACTGTCTCTTAACAATGATCTATTAAAATACAGTGGATTTGAATCCAAAACCAACCTGTCAACACTGGAATAAAAAGTGTCACTTACGCAAACAAACAATTAAAAATGTATTATATAAGAATTTCCCCATATTTTAAGAAAGAAACGCCCTCTCCACATTTTGAACAGAACTCTGGTCTTATTTGACAAGCACTATCACCAGAATGATTGACAACTGGGAGGACCAATAGTCTTGATGATCCACCCGGAAGTAGAAAAACCTCTTATACACCTTTAAGATAAGAACAACTTTGATCTCACAATGGAGAAATAGCCATGTCACATTTGGCCTAAATGGAATCACTAAAGACAGGAAGTGTGCAAACATGTTAAAATATAGTCCATTTTGTGTAACATATATTGTGTGCTAACTAGAAGCAAATTAGCATCCTAATGTTAACCGAGCTAAGTAGGAGCCAAGTCTTTGCTAAACAGACACATTTGTCAACATAATACGGGTATAAACTGATCTCCCCAAACACTTTAAACCCAAGTCACACACCACAGACACAGCAGCTAACTTCCCTTCCCAGAGGTCTGTGCGCGATGCTAAAGCTAACATTAGCCTCCAACCCCCATCTCACTCCACCCAACCCCCTCCCCCATGTCACCCACCAGCAACCGCAGAAAAAGTCATTCTCGCCCCATTTGCACATACCTGGTGTAAGACGAGTTTCTCCCCCCATGACTCCCGGGGACATCGCGTGTGTAGGGCTGTCCACGGGCGGGCGCAGGGTGCATCTCTGCGGGGACGGAGTGCTGGGAGTCCCCGGGAGAGGGTTGCACCTTCGCCGCTTGGGAGACTGGGGACTGAGAAGGGCCTCAAACTCCATCGAGCGCTTTAACGTAGCTCCACACGCCATGTTAGCGAAGCGAAGGCGACACGAAGCAAAGTGAAGAACTGGGGCAGCCGCTGTGGGGGTCCCTCCGTGGTCTCCGGGCCTTTCTTCTTCCACAACAACAGATTTTCTTCTGAGTTCAACTGAAGCTGCTGAATTTTTAAAACGTCACAATGGTGGGCCGTACCATGTGCGGAGAGAAGGCGGGGGTGGTGCGCTGGATGAAAGCACTTTAAATACATGTTTGACAAAGAGATAAACGCCTGTGTTGGAATCCAGGCAGCAAAATTATACTTGCTAAACACATATGTAAAATTTACCGATGTTTAGCATAGTTTGTTAGGTTTTAGCGTTGTGTTTGTGAATGATAAATCCCCATTTTTTAAGTAGGAATCGCTCTGGTTGAACTCTATCTAGGGGTTCACGAGACGTCTGGTGGTGATGTGGTGATGGGCAGGTAAAGAGAATAGAGATGGAAAATATATAAAGTATTTACCCTGTTAGCCTTATTTGCTAAAGGGATTGTTCCATCACCATTGTCATGAATAATAGACAATTAATACAGGTTACAGCTGTAGTGATTTCAGAGAGATACACATAATAATAAAGACAGGCTACATGCGTTAAATGTCTATAAATATTTTTAATAATACAACAGAAAATACAAAAAACAGTATAGTCTTAAAGGTATATAGGAGGATTTTCTACTTCCGGGTGGATCATGAATACTATTGGTCTTCCCAATATGTGCTTCTCGAATAAGACAAGAGTTTTGTCTAAAAGGGCAGTTCTTTCATAAAATTTGGGAAAATCCTCTTATATACCTTTAAATAAACTGCTTTATATGGTTCGGAACAGTGTCAGGAAATTAGTCAATCTTTCTTTGAGTGAAGTAACTCATTTCAATATCTGCCAATGGCCACTCTTCTGGCCACCCTGGGAAAGCCATGTTCCAGCTTCTTCCCTCTGGCAGAAGATATCGCTCTCTGAGATGCAGGACATGTCGTTACGCTAACAGTTTTTATCCACAGGCTGTTATCAGTGTGAACAGAGCACTTTAATGATTTGCACTTGTTTTGAAACTGTTTTGGTCGATCGATTTCACAGTGACATTTGTTTACTGTTTTATTTGTTTTATTTTTGTCTTTTAATGTTGTTTTATGTCTGTATTTGTCTGTGCACACTGGAGACTTTTGCTAATGTATTCCAATGTGTTTTTTTTACTGCAAATGGCAAATAAACTGAATCTGAATCAATGGGGAAAGTACAATTGCAAGTATATTACGTGTTTAATCTAATTTTCTGTGATTTTTTTTCATGTTTAAATAAAAAAAGGACATATTTTCTATTACTATTTGGCTTGTAGTAGATATATATTTCAAAATGTTGAGGAGGAAATACTCACAAACAACTAAAAATCCCGTGACTCACTTTTTGGTCCTGACCCACCAGCAGAACCACTGCTTTATACCAACAAAACAACAAATCAATTACAGACTTCATAAACACACATGTTCACGTGAGTGTCCATTTTGATGTAGGCCATACCAGAAAGTGTGTGACTTTATTATTTAAAATGCTTGTTGGTAATACAGGCTATTTGACCTTGTTTACAGAACAATACCCACCATAACAAAGACACAAGAAAGGCTTGAAATCACAACATTGTCTCGCATTGAAGTCGGTTGAAAGGCAGCACTTTGAGCCTGTGGGACTGTGCTTTGTATGACGGACGCATGTGTGTGTTATTGTAGCTGCCGTTTGGTTCATTGTGTCTTTCCTTTCACTTTCCTCTGCAGAGCGCTGCTTGAATGCACACGCAGAGCACATGGAAACCCCCGTGTCCTGACGTCCATGCACTGGAAAAAATCCCTTGAAAAAAAATATCTTGATAAAAGTAAAATACTGCTTAAAATGATATAAAATCATCTGAAATAGAACAAGGAAAATATGACTTTAGAAGATTTCTGAGAATAATAAAATGTAGCCCCAAATTACTTGATTCTAGTTTAAAAACAAACATTTAAAGTATTATTCACTTATTTCTTAAACATTTTTGAGAGATGTTTCTTAAAATTTAGCATCACAAACTTATTTAATCTAAACAAGAAAAGTTGTCTAGAAATAAGAAAAAAATACTAAAAACAAGCTTAAAAACTCATGGCTCAGACTGTTTTCTCTAAGATTACGAAGAATTATTATTTTAAAACTAGTAAAATAATCTTATGAAAAACTACATTCAAGCAACAAAAACTTGCCATTAAAAAATAAGCATAATTTATGTTATTTTTAGTAAATAAATCTGACCAAGATTTTACTTTTTCCAGTGTGAGAATTTGCATTTGAGGAAAAGGCCCAAACCAAACGGGGGAAAAACACCTAAAAGTTCAAACAAAAACTAAATTACAAACATCATAATATTATTACAAATATTATTTAACATCGATTTGAGTCTTTAACCACGTTACATTGTTGTGTCCTCATTAAAACAGACCTGGAGTTGTCTTTAGATCCATCCATGCTTCTCCACCCCCTTTGTCTCAGTCCTCTGTTAGTATGACGTCACTGTACCAGTATGATGTCATTCTCAGAGCACTTTTTTCCCTTTTAACCCAAAATAATTGCTCATAAATTTGTTTAGTAACTGTCTTAGATGAAATTAAGTTATTTACACTTACATGCCTGTGTTTGCAGCCGGGAATTTTCCCACAAAAACCCCCCCCACATTTCTACATCTCCCTCTGGTGGCAGCATAGGGACAGTGCAGGCCCATAGCATGTTGTACCTTTGATTCTTATTCCAACATATATTTTCTACAAAAGATATGATTTCTCATTCTAAAATATGAAATGATGGGTGAATATTGTCATGTTTATCGGCCAAAATAATGTGTAAGTTCCTCTTCCATGTTTAAATACTGTCTCCGTGTAGAGCAGAGTAAGCTCGCCCCATGTACTTCTGTTGAACCATAGCAGTCTGTCATGTTGTCTTTTAGCAGAAGTGGATGTCAGCAGCGGTTTGGAGGCCGTGAAGGAAGTCTATTATCTGTCTTCATAGATCATTGTTTGATTCTCTAATCAGCTCTTGGCAAATCAACTAATTTGTGAATTCCTTTGACACCGCTGTTGTTGTGAAAATGTATGTATTAATAATCCACTAAAGAAGCTTACTGATCTTAAAAGTGCGGCATAAATATTTGTTGCCCATGTATTCTGATCCTTTGGTGAGAGGCAGTTTTGGTTTTTGAATTATACAGTATTTCCAGGGTTGAAGTTGCTTTGTGTGACTCTGTGAAATGTGCTATATAAATAAAGCCTTCCTTCTTTCTGTGTGCAGTCTACATGAAGCTGCATCATGTCTTGTTGAACACCGCAGACACAGAGATGATCTGAGAGGCTCTGGTGCTGAACGCTTCAGTGTCAGAGAGAGCCGTGCAGCTCATGTTGTGTCCACTGTGTGATTCTGGAGCTAAAGATTCTGTGGGTTTTTTACACTTCCCCATTTCACAAAGTCTGAGAGCGAGCTGCACCAGAGCCTCTCTGAGCTCACGGCAGCGAAGAGCGTACAGCAGAGGGTTCACCGCAGAGTTCACTAAGCACAGGGTGCTACAGAAGGCGAAGGCTCGCAGCTGCGTGAGGTTCAGCACCATACTGACGTCTGCGATCATGAACGACAGAGCAGGGAGCCAGCAGCCCACCAGGATCAGAAGAATGAGCCCAAATGTGCGAGCTAAACGGATGTCCATCCTCATGCGGGCGTGTCCTGAGGCTGCGGCGGCCTGCAGGTTGGTCATACAGGCCTCGTGGCGGTGGGCTTTCCACAAGACCAGAGCATAGGCCCCGAGGATCAGAGCCAGGAGAATCAGCACGAAGCTGCTCCAACACGCCAGGTACGCTGCGTTTATATAGGGGAAGAGCCGAGAGCACGGGGGACTCAGACCTGTAGGACACCTCCAGCCCATCAGGGGCAGGAAGGAGATGAAGGCGGTGGCACTCCACAGGAGGAGCAGGCTCAGCAGGGCTCGGCGCCGCGTCACCAGGACTTTGTATGACGACACCTGATGAATGCACAGGTACCGGTCCAGAGCGGTCAGCAGCAGGCTGCCCACAGAGCTGGTGAAGGCCACAGTGACTCCTCCTAACTTGAAGAGGTAGGCTGTGGGCCCATCGCTGCGGCGGAACAAGTGGAAGTCTAAGAAGCTGGTGGTGAAGAAGCAGCTGGCGAACACATCAGCCAGAGCCAGACTCCCGATGAAAAGATAAGACGGTCTCTGACGCAGAGCAGCCGTGAGCAGGATCACCAGCAGCACCACACTGTTCTCCAGGAAGGTCACGGGACCGGCCAGGAAGCAGATGGAGCCGATCACCGTCTTCTCTGCTTCAGTCAGGACCATGTAGCACGACAGGTTCTCACAGGACATGTTCACTGTCCACACAAGATCTTGTTTACACAATAATATTGGTAAAACTTTTTAATAACAGCATCAAAACTCACCACGTGGGAAAGAAAGTTTTGCTTCTTTAGTCTCATGGTTGTCCCATGTCTCCATCTTAGAAGCTGCGAGTAAAGAAGCAGAATTTAAACTGGGAGAGCAGAAAGAAATATCATCAGAATTAGCACACTTTGCACTAAATGTGAGGTAAACTGATTTCTACTCCAAATACAATATAATAATAACAATAATTGAGCACAACGAAAATGTATTGATGTTATAAAACACGTGACAGAGGATGAGTTTCTTGTTCAGTCAATATTGAACCCGGAGCTTAAGGAGGGCATTAACATGAGTCACAATGGAAAGTCATTTCAGGGTCAGAACACATATCATCCTTATGTCGGAACACACATCATCCTTATGGAGCCCACTTAAAGGCAGAAACACGCCATAAAATATCTGTACCACGTGGTGTTTGAACAAATAACAAAACAAACACAAATCCAAGCTGCGCCTCGGACTCTGAGGAACTCCAAAGGTTTGTGCTTGATATTGACGCGCGCCGAGAGTGAAGCCAGACGCACTTTACCTTTTATCAATCAGATCAAACGTGGAATCAAAGCATTGGCCTGTTGATGCCGCGGCAGATGCTAAACAGCGCCCTCTGGTGGCCACACACAGCATCGCAGGCAGACCCGGTGTAGCGACGGGTGAAGGTCAGTGGCTGCTGATGCTTGAATGGTCTCCTCCAGAGCGTGGCTGCTAAATGCAATCAATACAATAAAGTGTGAAAAGCTGCTGTAAGAGGATTTGTGTGAAATAAATAATGTGGTGATAATCGGCTGCAGCCTGTGAACTGAGTTGGAAACGGTGACTCTTTTGAATGGTTATTTCCAGATGAATTTCATACTATATTGTGTTGTATTATTATGTAGTTTTTGTACAGTGCTTACAGTTCAGTAAAGGTCACCTTTAAAACTTAGATTTGTTTACAGTTGTATCATTGGTAAGCTATATGCTTTAAAGGCCGGCAATAAATGTAATAAAAATACTAGAAAATAATATAAAAAAACATTCAAGGCTCCCAACCTTAATTTTCTATAAAGTCTGACTTGCTTCCTCTTTTCTCATTTTAATTTAGCTATAAGGTATATGGTCTATAAGCTGTTTTTTTTCCCTCTGTATAAGAAAGCCACCATTACACGGAAACAGTGTGGTTAAAAGTTCTTGCACCACATTTCAACATGACTTTGTACAATATTGAATTCATGGGAAAGGTTTTTATCACTACAATTTCTTGTTTCAAAGTAGCACAAATCCATAGTGATATTATCAGAGGTAATTTAGCAAAATACATGAAATGGTTTGAGGTTAAAGACTGACAAATGCGTACCTTTTCGTGGCTTCTCTCTGAGGCGGAATCTGAAACGGTGATGGTTGTTTGCTGAGTTATAAATGAGGATTTGTGAGTGACAGGCCGTGGTCTGCTCTGGGCTGGTGCTGATGGAGTGAGCGGTGGAGAAGGTGGCCGGCTGCTTACCAACCGGGGCAGAGGAAGAGAGGGAGGGACACGGCAGCCAAGGCTCCAACGCCAAGTTCTGCAAAATACTGCTGCAAAAAGCATTACATAGACTTGTGCTGTAGTGTGTTAAAGGCGGTCACTGTCTATACTCACGGGAGAACACTGGGAAAAGGTGTGAAATCAGGGTGTATAAAAATGCAGGTGCAAAAACAGCTGAGAAATTTTAAAGAGGATTGAATAGCGCTTTGTTTTTACCAATTATGTAAGAATGGCCCTGCATGTTTACAGCCCCTGTCTTCACTCATTTAATTTATTTTTCACTTTGTACATAAGTCACAAAACAAGATACTCAAAGACAATTGTATATGTAAGCACATAACAAAAGAACCTAACAATATTAATAATAATGAACCTAGAAGTATGCATAAATACTTACATTTACTCCGTGGTTCAGTTTCCCAAATATCAATAATAAAAAGCTAATATCATAATAGTTAAAGTGAAATATTGGTGTTTAACTGAAGGCTTGTTGCTCTTGGTGCTGGGAGACTTACTTTACTTTAGAGTCCTTTGCTGTCATTTGGTACAATCGTAAAATCATAATTTGTTCCTTCCTGTGGCACATCCCCGGTGTTATCTTTAAATAACACCAGTGATATTTTTTGCGATATCAATAAGTTCGACATAGACGTATAAAATCCCATTGACAAATTATTAAAAGACACAGTAAGAGTTTACATTATGCATAGATATGTACCGGTAATGTATGTCTTTGAACACCAGAGGTCGCTAAAGAAACTATAGCGATATATACTGTTTTTTTGTTTTTCGTTGGATCATTAGGCAATTAAAAGTTAAATTTAAGTCGTGTAAAAGTGTGAAATCAGGTCAACACCACAACCAGAGGCATTGGATATGACCCAATATCGAGGCTTTTAAATTAATGCTCAGTTAAGAAGCAGAAAAGGGGACATTTTTTTGTAATTATTCAAAGAGGACGAATGGACTGACCTACAAAAGTTTGAGGTTATTTCAGTCCATGATCCAAATGATAAACACATGTGAGGTCTTCATTCAGGTCCGCAGATCCAGGCTGAGGTCCAAGTGGCGGAAATGTGATTAGAAGAAGACAGAGCAGCAGCACAATGAGATTTGTCCTCCTCAGACGTGGCTCAGGCCTCCTGCTGCAGCCATTAATGATCTTTTAGATGATATCACTGGGCCAGGGATCTCCATGGAGACGCAGAACATGACTTGCACTCTAAAAATTACATTTCCGATTTTCATTATTATCGCACCAGACGACAGACAGCAATCTCCTATAACTCCTGATTAGAATAACATGAAAAAATGTCAATGTTTCTATTTGTAAAACAGGCTCAAAGTGAAAGCTACAAACGTATCTTTGAAGGATTTTTACTATTTTTAAAGAGTATAGACATTAAAAACATGAAATAAAATCACACAAGTAACTAAAACATTTATAACAGTCAAATCACATGAGATTAAACTCATGAGTAGATTTCATATACAGTAGATTATGATTATAATTCCATTTTAATGTTTGAAGTTTTTTTTAATTACATGTGGTTTTATTTTATTTTATTAATATTTCTTTTGATCTTAATGTTTGCTTTAAATCTTATCTTTAAAAAGTTATTTTTTTATGCTATGCTTATGCTAGATTTTAAGTTTATGTTTTTGTCTGTGTTTATGATTATTTTATTTTTTTTATACCACAACATCCTGAATAGTAGGACACTTGTATTTACAAAGCAGTCTTTAAAATTGCTTTGAAAAATGTCCCAATGACTAATGAATCGCATGATCTCAGTATAATTACAGCTGTTCTGTGATGCCTGTCATACCTGCTTTTCTTCAGCAGGGACAGGGGGAGGGGTTGATGGGAAGGAGGATGGAGCAAAATACAAGCTGGAAGAAAATCAGTGTATGGGAAATAGATAAGTTTACAAGAAATCTGGACTCGTGACCTTGTCACATTGACTTTATAGAGCTTTTTCTGACTCTGTTCTGTCTGAAAGAAACTGAAAGAAAGTGAGAATAAACTTCCAGGTTGCTCTGGTGCCTAAAGATTCCGTCTGTGAGGTTAATTTTCAAAGACCTATTTAAATCAAGCAAAATCAGGAATAAATGAGGAGCGATCTGAAAAAGTCTGTTCACAAACGCTCTCATCTAATCTGACTGATCTGTTTCTATTGACGAATGAGGAAAACCTTCAGTCTCTAGCTGTGCAAAGCTTGAAGTCATACCCCAAAAGAATAGCTGCTGTGATATAACTTGTGGTAAATTAAATTGTAGTTTCTGTCTGATAATGTTTGTAATGTATCCATCTACTATTAGCACTGCTGCTAACACCTGCTCCAACACATCTGTCCTTTGGGCTAACGTTTCACACTGTCCCTGTAAATATAAAAACAAAACCATACAATTCACAAGTCACTTTATTCTTATTTTTTTAGTTAAGTTAAGGCTGAGGTCCTTATGAGTGAGCAGGCCTCTGCTACGCTGTTTACTACGCTGCCGTGTGCTGGGCCCCGGGCAGCACAGAGCGGGACAGAAACAGACTGAACAAGCTGGTCAGGAGGAGGTGAGGGACAGGAGGCCCCTGGACTCTGTGGAGGAGGTGAGGGACAGGAGGCCCCTGGACTCTGTGGAGGAGGTGAGGGACAGGAGGCCCCTGGACTCTGTGGAGGAGGTGAGGGACAGGAGGCCCCTGGACTCTGTGGAGGAGGTGAGGGACAGGAGGCCCCTGGTCTCTGTGGAGGAGGTGAGGGACAGGAGGCCCCTGGACTCTGTGGAGGAGGTGAGGGACAGGAGGCCCCTGGACTCTGTGGAGGAGGTGAGGGACAGGAGGCCCCTGGACTCTGTGGAGGAGGTGAGGGACAGGAGGCCCCTGGACTCTGTGGAGGAGGTGAGGGACAGGAGGCCCCTGGACTCTGTGGAGGAGGTGAGGGACAGGAGGCCCCTGGACTCTGTGGAGGAGGTGAGGGACAGGAGGCCCCTGGTCTCTGTGGAGGAGGTGAGGGACAGGAGGCCCCTGGACTCTGTGGAGGAGGTGAGGGACAGGAGGCCCCTGGACTCTGTGGAGGAGGTGAGGGACAGGAGGCCCCTGGTCTCTGTGAAGGAGGTGAGGGACAGGAGGCCCCTGGACTCTGTGGAGGAGGTGAGGGACAGGAGGCCCCTGGACTCTGTGGAGGAGGTGAGGGACAGGAGGTGCTAGTCAAAGCCACCTCCATCATGAACAACACCTCCCACTGCACAGGACTGAGGAGGAGCTGAGGAGCTCCTTCAGTGAAGACTGAGACACCCTCAGTGTGGGAAGGAGCGCTACTGTAGAGCCTTTATCCCCACTGCTGTCAGACTGTACAATAAGTCACTTTAAGTCACTTGCACTAGGACTGATAAAACCTGCACTACTATTGACACTGTTTCTTTAATTGCCACTTTTTATTGTACATGATATATCCTGAACAGACTATATTTTTTGTCTTTAACATGTTTCACACTTCTGAATTTGCACAAATCTGAGTGATTCTGTCTGTGCCAGATGTGACATGTTTCTCCAGTGTGAGATCAATAAAGTCTATCTTATCTGATCTTATTTACATTTCACCTTCAACGCCTTCGAGGCCTCGGCTTTTGTCAAGACCAGAGCTGAACGTTTCTACATATTTATTTGTGGTTATAAACAATACAAGATATGCCAAAGTTTTGGTCTGGAATGGTTTGGATGACTCACTGAAGAACACATCAATCAAGACAATCAAAAACTTATTTATAAGTCATGTTATGATAAAATATAGAGAATAATAATAAATAACCAATTATTACTGTTATTTCTATTATTACTATTTCTAAATCTAGTTATTTAATTTACTAATTAAATAACTAATTTACCAACTAATGTCTTTCCTGTAAAGATGTAAAGGTTTTGTCCATACTTTTGTCCATGCTGAGTGCTGACTGTTGCCATTGTTGCTGTTTCTGGACATAGTAAAAGATGTGTGTGTGTGTATATATATATATGTATACTTTTTTATTGTTCCTTTTTCTTATCATTATTTTTGTATTTTACCTTTTGGTTTCCGCTTCTATTTTTATTTTTGTGGATTTTAATTTTGTGATTGCGCTGCTGTGTATTTTTTAATTTTTTTGGATAAGGCTAAATGTTGGAATATTGAGAGGAGGATGATAATGTGGACATAACGACAGATATAAAAACAGATAATTATAATAAGTTACAGATTAGTTGTGAGAATGCTGGTGTGAATGAGTTAGTTTGGGTTGGGTGGGGAGGTAAAAAAAAAAAAGCATATATATTTGTTCACTTCTGGTTTGTGTACAAGAAATACATCAAAGCAAAAGGGTTTAAGTTGTTGTGAAAACCACTGTATGCAAATGTGACTGCAGTGTACTTCCGTGGCGTGTGAAACTGCCCTCCCTCTTGTGAAGCAGTGGGTGTGTTTCATGACACTACTTCACGGTTGATCTTCATTCCAAACATATGCTGACGTCTCGGCCCAACCCCAATCCCTTCTCGGGTGGAGTACATGTCGTGGCTCGTTGTTTCAGCACAATAAAGAATGCTAATGCCTTTGTATTGTCGCTTATTTGCCATCTCCCAAACACACTTTTCTGTAATGCAATTGTTCGTCTTCCATATAGAGATTATTGTCAAAGAAAAAAAGGACGTGATTCAGAATTTGAACAGAAAAAAATGATTTTCCAGAGTTCAAATAAAACAATATTTATTTCACTTTACTATTAACTATTAATATCAAATTCTTTGTTTCATGGTGCGACAACGGGACCTCTGAACGGGCCTCCTCCATCTACACCTGCGGACTGCCCCGCCCGACCCGCCTGAGTGCTTCAGTCCTGCACCGGACCTGTCCACGCTCTGCGGCCGCTGCGTGGCATTGGTCCTCGTTCTGTAGCTTAGGTCCTGGATCTACAGCCCGTCCGTCAGTGGGAGCGGATCCCTTTCTCAAATAAGGGTCTCCCAGAGGTTTCTCATTTTATTCCCAATGGGTTTTTGTGAGTTTGTCCTTGCCGATGCAGGAGGGTCTGTTGGGCAGTTAGTGTCCAACAAGAATGACTGTGATGATCCAGGACACTTTAACATTCTACAACATGTATGACATTTATCAACATTCATGGACATTGGTCTCTCCTTACAGACCAATACATATGTGTGTATATACTGTATATATATAAAAAAAAAAAAAAAATTGTCCACTCACCTTTTGCCCTCCGCGGGCGGTTATCCCTCTCTAAGCTCGGGTCCTCTACCAGAGGCCTGGGAGCTTGAGGGTTCTGCGCAGTATCTTTGCTGTTCCTAGCACTGCACATTTCTGGACCGAGATGTCCGAGGTTGTTCCGGGGATCCGCTGTAACCACTTCTAGCTTCGGGGTCACTGCCCCGAGTGCACCGATCACCACGGGCACTACTGTGACCTTTACCCTCCAGGCCCTCTCACTACTGTGACCTTTACCCTCCAGGCCCTCTCACTACTGTGACCTTTACCCTCCAGGCCCTCTCACTACTGTCACCTTTACCCTCCAGGCCCTCTCACTACTGTCACCTTTACCCTCCAGGCCCTCTCACTACTGTGACCTTTACCCTCCAGGCCCTCTCCAGCTCCTCTCTGAGACCTTGGTATTTCTCAAGCTTTTGATGTTCTTTTTTCCGGATGTTACCATCGCTTGGAATTGCCACGTCCACCACCACGGCTGTCCTCTGTCCTTTGTCCACCACCACGGCTGTCCTCTGTCCTTTGTCCACCACCACGGCTGTCCTCTGTCCTTTGTCCACCACCACGGCTGTCCTCTGTCCTTTGTCTACCACCACGGCTGTCCTCTGCCCTTTGTCTACCACCACGGCTGTCCTCTGTCCTTTGTCCACCACCACGGCTGTCCTCTGCCCTTTGTCCACCACCACGGCTGTCCTCTGCCCTTTGTCCACCACCACGGCTGTCCTCTGCCCTTTGTCCACCACCACGGCTGTCCTCTGCCCTTTGTCCACCACCACGGCTGTCCTCTGCCCTTTGTCCACCACCACGGCTGTCCTCTGCCCTTTGTCCACCACCACAGCTGTCCTCTGCCCTTTGTCCACCACCACGGCTGTCCTCTGCCCTTTGTCCACCACCACGGCTGTCCTCTGTCCTTTGTCCACCACCACGGCTGTCCTCTGCCCTTTGTCCACCACCACGGCTGTCCTCTGCCCTTTGTCCACCACCACGGCTGTCCTCTGCCCTTTGTCCACCACCACGGCTGTCCTCTGCCCTTTGTCCACCACCACGGCTGTCCTCTGCCCTTTGTCCACCACCACGGCTGTCCTCTGCCCTTTGTCCACCACCACGGCTGTCCTCTGCCCTTTGTCCACCACCACGGCTGTCCTCTGCCCTTTGTCCACCACCACGGCTGTCCTCTGCCCTTTGTCCACCACCACGGCTGTCCTCTGCCCTTTGTCCACCACCACGGCTGTCCTCTGCCCTTTGTCCACCACCACAGCTGTCCTCTGCCCTTTGTCCACCACCACGGCTGTCCTCTGCCCTTTGTCCACCACCACGGCTGTCCTCTGCCCTTTGTCCACCACCACGGCTGTCCTCTGCCCTTTGTCCACCACCACGGCTGTCCTCTGCCCTTTGTCCACCACCACGGCTGTCCTCTGCCCTTTGTCCATCACCACGGCTGTCCTCTGCCCTTTGTCCACCACCACGGCTGTCCTCTGCCCTTTGTCCACCACCACGGCTGTCCTCTGCCCTTTGTCCACCACCACGGCTGTCCTCTGCCCTTTGTCCACCACCACGGCTGTCCTCTGCCCTTTGTCCACCACCACGGCTGTCCTCTGCCCTTTGTCCACCACCACGGCTGTCCTCTGTCCTTTGTCCACCACCACGGCTGTCCTCTGCCCTTTGTCCACCACCACGGCTGTCCTCTGTCCTTTGTCCACCACCACGGCTGTCCTCTGCCCTTTGTCCACCACCACGGCTGTCCTCTGCCCTTTGTCCACCACCACGGCTGTCCTCTGCCCTTTGTCCACCACCACGGCTGTCCTCTGCCCTTTGTCCACCACCACGGCTGTCCTCTGTCCTCTGCCCTTTGTCTACCACCACGATGTCAGGTTGGTTCATTACCATTGGGTCGGTCTGTATCTGGAAGTCCCACAGGATCTTCTCATTCTCCACCACCTTTGGAGGAGTTTCCCACTTAGTCCTTGGGGTTTCCAGCCCATACTCTGCACAGATGTTTCTGTACACCAGCCATTCCCAAACTCGGTAACACCGAGGCCCCCTTAAAAATCTGACGGTCTGCGTGGCCCCCCAAAATAATAACCAAGAAGACAACATTAAGAATAGGCTCTTCTGGTTATTTTATTTTGGGGAAATAGCCTCTGCTACAAACATTGTAATACAAAAATTATTACAGTGGATTATTCAAGTCAAATAATGAACACAAATATTTTAATATTACAAACAAAACAGTATAAATTTAACATTAAATAATTATATTATTTTTTTATTTTTTTTATGACCTCCCGCGGCCCCCCTGCAGTACCCTCGCGGCCCACCAGGGGGCCGCGGACCCCACTTTGGGAGACACTGCTGTACACTATGCCAGCCACTTGGTTATGGCGTTCCATGTAGGCCTTCCCTGCAGCATCTTGCACCCTGCAGTTATGTGTTGGATCGTCTCAGGTGCCTCTTTGCACAACCGACACCTTGGGTCTTGTCTGGTGTGGTATATCTGGGCCTCTATCGCTCTGGTGCTATATATATGCTATATATATAAGCAAACCAGGCGGAAGAACAGAAAATGGCACTTATGGGTTCTTTTTTTTCATTTTCACAATACAGAGTTACTTTTGGTGTCGAAGGTCTTATATTTATAGTGTCAATCAAGTCCCAAATGGGTGCACTGAAATGTTGAACTTGATCATTATCCCCCCCTAACAGCGGGTAAATTTCAGTGTAGCAACACATGTCACAAAACGAATAATAACTCTATCTTAAATTAAATAAAATCTCTAACTTTAGCATAAAACAAGGCAGTAAAAATCTCTGGAATCTAAGGAAAGAAGTCTTAAAAACTGGAGCAAGAATTAAGTACAAAAAAACGTGAATTTAGCAAAAAAAGGAGCAAGTATAAAATGCTGTATATTCTAGTGCAAGGAATACATAGTTTATGATTGAAGTAATAATGTATGTACAGTATATTCTTTACCTATGAAGCAAAATATCCAAATAATGATGATAATAATAATGGGAGATATATTACAGCCTGTATTCCGACTAGGATTCACTCAAATAACCTTTCTGATGCCTGGAGTCTGATATTTGCCTCACAAGGAGAACTTGACCTAGATTCCAAACATGGCTGACACTTGTGGATGGTACAACCCTCTTTTTAAAGGTTGCTTTGCTTCGGGGAGTGTCTTCGCTCTGTGGTCTGACTGACACAAACTGTTGCACAACTTTCAAAATCCCAGGACGTGACCGAGAGCTACACACGAACCAACGACAGCCACAGATAAGGTTTAATCATTCACCCACAAGTTTCCACGAGTCAGCCCTGGACTCTTGAACCATCATGTAAAATGTTTTAGATTTAATGTCTTTCACGTTGGCACCCACAAATACAGCTGTCTCCACATCCTGCCATTTTCTCACAACGGATATGAACACAGGTTTTCTTATGTCACCCACACATTTGTTCTGAGGTTGCACCAGTGGAGCTTGGTAAACAGTGGGGGAAGGGCAGACCATGGGGAGCAGACAGACCCCCACAACATCCTGTGTTACTTGTCCATATGTTCTGGTGCTTATGTGGCCTGCAGTTTTGTTTGTGTTTTGATTGGTACATTGTATATTTTCTTTTAAAAAATCGCTTTCTAATCGTCACACATTATTTACTGAGGTTGCCGGATTATAAACCGCTGTTTTTTTCTAGCTCTTTAAAATCTGTGGCCGATGTAGCAATGCAACTAATGTATTTTTATTAAGTTCAGGCAGGGTTATCCAAACACTTTAGTATGAGGGCCATTTTAGTTCTCCAGACCAGGGGCTGACAACCCAAAAAACTAGTTTAGGAAAATTAATCTTGTCTTCTAAATAAAAGTTTAAAATGAGATATGTCCTTTCCCTATTGATTCACATTTTCCAGAACTGAAGCTACTAGTTTAAATTAGTGCCATGTAATGAGAATTCTGTTACAAAATCAAAAACAAAGTAGGTTTTATACAAAGTCAACAATTGTAATCATTAGTTTCTTAGATTAACAACAAGGTATAGTGTGTTTTTATTGGTGGAGCTGAAGTTGGCTGGATGACACTGTGAACTTTTGTGTATAATCTTAATAGTTTCTTTGTGTTAGAAAGACAAGGGGCACATCAAATCCCACAGAGGGCTGTGTTTGGCCCACAGGCCTTATTTTGGTATGTCTGAATAACCCTCTGGCCCTATGAAGGGAATTTTCTTTAGAGGTTTAAATATATGTGTTGATTTTCCCAATATGATGGAATGACTTCAGTTTTGAAATGGCTAAACCTTGTTAAACTGAGAAACATCCAACCAAAGTCACACAGACAGAAGAGAAACCCAAACCAAGGTTACATAACAACAACAACACAAGCTTATTGACCGTGACATACACAAACATATCAATCACTCGACGTTGTTAGCAAATACAGCTAACATTATGAAATCAAACCGTTGAAAACTGCAATAACGTAGTTGTTTTTGTGTGTGTTTTTTTCTCCAGGAAGTCCCCGAAGCTCAACAAAGGAGCAGACGGAGGGACGGGCTCTGACGTCAAGGCTCTGGCAACAAGCCCTATGCGTCTGCTGATCTGCGCGCTGATTGGCTGAAGCCTGAGACGCCGTCGTGTGATTGGTCAGATTGGCCTGAGCTCCTCTACATAGCCTCAGCCCAGGCTCCATTTTGTGCAAACGAATCGGAGGAGTCGAGGCGGTGCCTTCGGACACTGTGACCATCAAGCCACGACGCAGGGTGGACTGTTGGAAAATATAGACTCTCTATACTTTCTGTATAGTCCTATCCATATCTTTGTTCGACGAAGGGCATCCCTACTGAGCCACAGAAGTCGGTAAGAAGGAGCTTTGTGCTGGGTCGCCATGTTGAGTGACTGCTTCTTTGTTTTGATCTCTTGGTTAAAAAAAATGTCCACGTAAACAAAGGCACGCGAGTTGGTCTTTTTTTTTTGGTATATCAATTCACATTGGACTATTTTGTTAAAATTCATATTCGTCTCGTTTCCCGACGTAACTAAACAAAGGGAAGTCGCTGTTTTTCTACACACTGCTTGGATAATAGCGATGAAAATAGAAAATCCATGTGTTTATGTTTGTACTCCACTTGTGCACGATGCAATGTCTAGTAAAGGATGTTGTTTTATCCTGATTCCAAAAAAGTAATAGAATTACGTGATGACGCAGTTCGGAATGCTCTCTTCTAATCTCGCTCCTGTGACATCAACACATAGTAAACAGTCTGTAGTACGTGCACACAGCTCTGCAGCGTATTGAATGCACTTTTATTATTTGCAGGATTGTGACTTCCCGAGCAGCCGTGTGCCGAGGTGAATTGATGTTCAGCTCGGTTCCACGACATAACATCGCTCGCCGGCACATGAAAACCTCGGTTCTTGCTGGACACAAACGTGCAGCGAGAAGTAGAACTACTACTTCGAGGACCTGGGGCCCGATTGGAGGAGTGCGTTTAAAGCAAGACCACTGTACCACTTTTCTCACAACAAAGAGGTAGGAGACTCGCAGCTTGTTTTGCTCCATGTGGGGGAGGGGCACTTGCTGTTCTGCACGTAGCCTCTGTGGGCGGTGCTGCTGCTGCACACTGCCTTCTGGGGGCATGCAGTTCTGTTGTGGTGTCGAGTAGACTACTACAATTTCTTACGTTTATGTTTATTTTTAATTTAAGGTGACATATTGAAGAAGACATGGGAGGTGGCGAGAGGTACAACATTCCAGTTTCCCACCCTGAAAGATCTTTATCCAAGAAGAACCATCCTCTTGGCCGAGCGAAGCAGAGGAGCCGTGAGCAGAACGGATCGGCAGTGGCAGCATCTGCAGGGAGCACGGGGGCCCTTCACCACAGTCATCGTCGCGGTGACAAGGGTGCAATGTTCCACAGGTCCCCAGAGGCGCGGCAGGCCGTGTCTGCAGACAATGCCTCGGTCTGTTTTGCCATTGGCTATGACAAGAACTGGGAGGGCGCGGTGTCTCACCTAAACACGCTCCTAAGTGCCCAAGGAAGTCCGAGCTACGCAGGGCCCAAGTTCAGCGAACCACCATCGCCCAGCGTCCTGCCCAAGCCCCCCAGTCACTGGGTGCCCTTTCCAATGGGCGCCTGTGACAGCAGGGAGACCATGGCGTTCCAGCTCAAGAGCCTTCTGAAGGTGCAAGCGTGAGGCGCTCGTGTTTGATGTTTAAACTGGCCAATGAACTGGGACTCTCTGAGGACACGCACCCACCAGGAACACCTCAGTGCTGTAATGCTTTTACCTCTTTTAGATTTGACGTCAGACTAGGGGATGTTTGCAGATACTGTGCTGTGAATGCCTTTTTAACCCAATAAGAACTGTTACAGCATTGCAGCCTTGCTGGTAGGTGCTGTCATTGGAGAAGTAATCTTCTGTGACTATGTTAATCTGGGTATCCTTTTAATACTTAGGTTTTGTATTTTTAAGTTGGCAATTTAGACAGATTTGAGTGTCTTTTTGTTTAGTTTTTTTTCATATAGTCTGGTTAATTCTCTCAAATGCAGTTCTTTCCAAATGTTTTTTTGTTTTTACTCCTGAGTTTATCTATTCCAGTGCTCATACAAATTCAGTTTTGTAGCCAGTAGCTCATTTTTTTGTTTTACTTGTTCTAGTGACACTCAAACTGCAATTCTGCAGGGACAAAGCTATCTTACTGTTGGAGATGAGCTAAGCTTGTGAGTATAGGTCAAAAGTGTAACCTCAAACAGAAGTGTGAAGAGACCATGGCACAGAGACCTTGAGCTTTGAACTCCTGTATATTTTTATTGCGCTGTGCGCATATGCACTATAGGAGTCGGCTCGAAGGGCTGCTACACTCTATCATAGCATTATTTTGTACATTTTGTTGTTGAAAGACTTTTGAAATGCTGTGTGAACCAAAGCAATTATTTTGCTCCGTTGCGTTGCTCAGTATCGTTTCGGTCAGTTTATCCACACAACCCAACTATTAGTTAGTTGGAGTTGGTCAAACTGACTGTTCTAGTGGGTATGTTTAGCTCCTAGACTTTGCCTACACCTGGCTGTGCAGCAGCTCGACATGCGGAAGGGGCCTGTGTTATGTGTAAGATTGTTGTACTTTGTCCTAATGCTGGTCCTGTTGACTGCTTGCACTGGTTTTAGGCAGAGTCTGGGAGCCCCTGAAGTGATGTGGCCTGAGGGACACGACAGTAGCTGATGTTTGTGTTTACAAAACGGGTGACCATCGCATCGACACACTTGCTGCCTTGTTTACCCTGTGCACTGCAATCAGATTTTTGAGTTACAGACCCTAATGCTATCAGAATGGAGGCTTAATCTATCTCCTTTCACTTTTTATTCTCTGTTGAGGCACTTACTGCTTTCTCTGCAGAATTGGAGCTGTCCATGGCCAGCCAAGAGACGACAAAACTAAAGTATGAACTTGATAAACGTTAAAGAGCCATGTAAATAAAGATATGTGTAAAGTACTTGTAGCATATGTACATTCGCAGGTCTGTTTTGATCTGCTTGACAAAAGTATTTTTAGTAATAAAAACACTGAATGTATAAGACATGCTAAGGTCATGTCTTGACTTCAATACTGAAGAATATTTTTGTTAAAGCCTTTAGCATTTCTCAACGCCCCTGCACTGTTATTTCCAGAAATGTTGCACACATTTTTTATTGTTTTTATATTATGCACAGTGTAGGGTGAAAGATGCTATGTGCAAAAATTCAAAATAAACATTAAAGTACACATTTGGACCCGTGGAGGCTTGCTTATGTGCGGACCGTGTGTGAATGTGCTTGCATCATGTGAGCTGCTGTATTATTGACCTGTTTGTGCCTAAGTTGATGCTGAAAACTGCTGCAATCCTTTTTGAATCTGGGTGTTCCACAGATCTACCAAATGTTCTGAGGCACTTGGCTGTCGGCTGATCTTCCGCCAGCCCACAGCGAGGTTCCAGTCCGTAATCGTTTTATATTGTTAATTTGTGTGTCTGGTTGGGTCCCGCATAGTAATGCCTCCTTCTTTCAATTTCAAGACTAATTGGCTTTGAATTTCTCCCCCTAATGAAATGTCACTGAATATGAAATGATCTTTGCCCTGTTTTTGAGATTGGGAACTATTGGTAATGTCTTAAAAAATACAACATGCACTGTTATTTGAAACCAAAATTCTAAAAGAAATAATAAATCCCTTCCCCTTTCCCCCCTAAACTGTTGTTTGTCTGTTTGTTCTTTGCAACATTTGGAGACTCGCAGCATACATGTCTACTCACACCTTTGTATACTAGGTTTTAGGTCCAACATACTTTATTAGTTATTCTAGTGTTGGATATTACAGGTAAGTAGGGATTGCTATTAAGTCACCACACATGTGTATTAGGTATGTGAAATTATACTCAAATAGCTGTAGTTATACTTTATTGACCCGTGTAGGAGAAAATCAGGTGTCCAGTAGCAGCAAAAATGAAATTGATCATTCTAAAAAGATAGTAACAAACGGCAGCAGAGGTGGAGTAGCTTCTGGGTGGAGCAGGACAGGTCACAGGACCACTCTGTGCTGTGAAGAACCATGGACGACCATCCATCCATTTTCTTCCCCTTAATCCGGTCGGTGGGTGGCAGTCAGAGCTGCTCCCAGTCCACAGAGCACCAGCCCCTCACTGATCCTCCTGCAGGTGCTGAGTCCACAGGAGCTGAGCTCTTTCAGTTGGGGCTTCAGGCAAAGTGGGGATAAGTGTCTTGCCCAAGGACACAACGACAGCAGTCATCAGTGGGAGTCGTGAAGTAGGTCTTGTGGTGGTTCCGAACCTACGACATTTAGGCCCAAAGGCTGATGCTCTACCAACTGAGCTACTGTCGCCCCAGGACCAGTTATATAAAATAACCATGAAGGACCAGTTTCTATAAAAGAACCATGAAGGGCCAGTTTCTATAAAAGAACCATGAAGGACCAGTTTATAAAAAAGAACCATGGAGGACCACAGTTAAGTAAAAGAACAACCCTAACAACAATCTTTTAGGAAAAGATTGATGCAAAAATCTAGAAACCCGCTTCAAAAAAGCAAACTGTCAACATCACAAACCACACGCACCGACAGCGTTAACACAACAGGAGGCACATTGTGTAGTTTGTACCCGACAAACTCACACGTGAACGACACGTAACTTTCTTCACACTGACAATAATGAGAACGAGGCAGAATCTGCAACAGTCTCAGGATGTTCTGACCCGATCTGAGTCCAACTACTATATGTCACAAGTTTCAACAAAACTTAAAACACAAAGAATCCCACAAAACAATCACCAGAATATCAACAGTGTGAGTTTGAGTCTTTGTTTCCGACCGTGATGATGCAGCGCCTGTTAAAGCCAATAATCTGAGCTTTGAGCCACAGTTCTGCTACGGCTGTGTCCAACGCACTGTCCTGCTTCTCGGATCATCTGGTTCCACAGATTTCCCATTCGTCCAGGCATCTCTTCTCACAGCGTTTGTAAAACTATATATTGTACATTCTGTAATAGATCCATGGTAAGACTTTGTGTCTTATGTCCACCTCTGCGCACGTGCATCAAGGCTGATTTGTGGCGCGGTAGTATTTGGACAGATCCAGTCATTTCTCAAACTAAAAGGATTCTTTCTGTAGTGCTCCGGTGTTGGAGACGACATATGGTGTCTGTGGTAGAAGTAGTAAATTATAAACTACACAGTGTACCTTTAAATTAAGCCTATCTACATGTATACATGTACTGTATGTATACATACATGTATGTATACTTCTGTAGCTGCAGACACAACGTTATTTGCAAAGCCTATAGTTTTTTGTCTTTAATATTATTTTTTGAATGTTTTTAGTGGTAAGAGAAACCGGAGCACCCGGAGGAAACCTACGCAGACACAGGGAGAACATACAAACTCCACTCAGAAAGGCCCTGTTCCGACCGGGATTCAAACCCAGGACCTTCTTGCTGAGAAGCGAGTGTGCTTCCAACTGAGCTGTTTTATCCGCTGTTTTGCTACTAAGGACAACTGAATTTCCCCTCGCTGGGATGAATAAAGTATTTATCTATCCATCTATCATCTATCTATCTAACCACTCAGCCACCGTGCCGCCCTAAGGTCCACAAACACAGCCGCAGCAGAACACAGCCGCGTTCTAAAAGCTGTGTTTTAAAAGCTGTATTCTGAAAGGTCTCGATCCAAAACACCACACGACAACGAAGTGTGTCGCTGAAACAAGACCGAAGGGTTTGTGACAAGTTCTGTTACACTGTCGTGTCAGGGTTCCACTGTCGTCTCCATGACGACACCTCTGCTTTAACCAGACTCATCAGAGATGATCAGTGTGCAATCACAATGGCCATATGACCTCCACCGGACCTGAACCCAGTCCAGATGGTTTTGGGGCTGGGCCACAGAGTGAAGGGGCCAACAAGTGCTAAGCATCATGGGAACTCCTTCAAGACTGTTGGAGACCATTTCAGGTCCTGTTGAAGCTCATCCAGAGAATGCCAAGAGTGAAGCAGTATCAGAGCAAAAGGTGCTACTTTAAAGAACCAGAATATAACACATATTTACACTTGGTTCAGACTTTTTTATTTAGGTACGTACATAGTTCCACTTGAGTTCATTCATAGGTTTGAGGCCTTCAGTGTGAATCTACAATTTATTGTTGTAGATACAGGGTTAGGGTAAGTATAAAATAACAAGATTCAAATTATACATTAGATCAAATTGCTTTTATCAATTGAGCATAGTTTGCGCATGCGCACACATGAAATCTCAGAGAAAGTTCTGGAAGAAGACACTGAAGGCAGAACTTGAGTGGACGGTTGAGGAGGCTGAACTGGAGGACATACTGTAGACGTGTAACCGGTCACCCGCTCCTCTCAGTCTAATCTGTTTAGCAGTGACGTGTCAGCGCATTTAATCAATCTGTGTTTTAAGACATTCTATTTTTTACTAACACTGAGTGCCAAACATGTTTTGACAAGCGGAGTCAGCAGTATCCAGATATATAAGATGTAAGATCAGTCGACAATGATAATGACAATTTCACCATGACCGATAAATGGTAAATAATATTATTATTAGAATTATGAAAACTTTATGGTAAAAAAAAAAACCTTTGAGACCATACCCTGTCAGTAAACAAAATCAGATTTATCCCAATTATTGGGATTTTTATGTTTGAATTTTAAGGAAGCAGCTGCTTGGTTGGCCTATTTCCTGGTGCCTGGTAGTTACAGTATGATTGGCCGAGTTACTGGTACCTGCCTTGGTAGTTTTGACACTGGGAAGTTCTCTGGTTCCTCTCTCTGGTCTCTTTGTTCTCTCTCTGGTCCCTCTCTGGTCTCTCTGTTCTCTCTCTGGTCTCTCTCTGGTCTCTCTCTGGTCTCTCTGGTCCCTCTCTGGTCTCTCTCTGGTCTCTCTCTGATCCCTCTCTGGTCTCTCTCTCTGGTCTCTCTCTGGTCTCTCTCTGGTCCCTCTCTGGTCTCTCTCTCTGGTCTCTCTCTGGTCTCTCTCTGGTCTCTCTCTGGTCTCTCTCTAGTCTCTCTCTCTGTTCTCTCTCTGGTCTCTCTCTGGTCTCTCTCTGGTCCCTCTCTGATCTCTCTCTGGTCTCTCTCTGGTCTCTCTCTGGTCCCTCTCTGATCTCTCTCTGGTCCCTCTCTGGTCTCTCTCTCTGGTCTCTCTCTGGTCTCTCTCTGGTCTCTCTCTGGCGTCTCTCTCTGGTCTCTCTCTGGTCCCTCTCTGGTCTCTCTCTGGTCCCTCTCTGGTCTCTCTCTGGTCCCTCTCTGGTCACAATTCTCATGTGTTCACAGAAAACAACCAGAAACATGTTGGAACAGTTGACCTTTGAGTGAGCAAAAGCAAAGGAATCTCAATGATGTGGGAGAATCACATCTGTTCCTGATGCCTCCTGGACGCCTCCCTGGGGAGGTGTCCCGGGCACGTCCCACCAGAAGGAGGCCCCGGGGCAGACCCAGGACACGCTGGAGGGACTATGTCACTCCCGGATTTGTCCGGAAGTTCAGTTTGATCCATTGAGCATACGCAGCAGTAGATTACGTCACGGAATCTGGACGGAAGCGGAAGTAAATATAAAAAACTACCTATTAATGCCTAAACTTAACCAGCCATTCCCATAAAATAACCCAAACCCAGCCTTAACCCTAAACTTAACCATCTTAATCAGACGCCTAAACTTAACCAGTCTCCACTTACGGACATATTAAACTTTTTGACATGCGCAAACTGAACTTCCGGACGAATACGGGAGTGACAAATATGTCTCTCAGCTGGCCTGGGAACGCCCTGGTGTCCCCCGGACGAGCTGGAGGAAGTGTGTGTGGATAGGGAAGTCTGGGCGTCTCTGCTTAGACTGCTGCCCCCGCGACCTGGCAACGGATGAAGCGGAAGAAAATGGATGGATCCACATTTTGAAAATCTCCAGTTTTGCGTTTGCCACTTTCAGTTCAGTCTCCAGAGCTAGTTGTTCCTTTTCTCTCCTTATTTCATCCTGCTTTGCACTTAATCCCAGCATTAGTTGTTCTTTGGCCTCCAGCAAGTGTCTTTGTTTTAACGCTGCCATACGCTCCCGTAGTGCTGCCCAATCCGATTGTGCGCTGCCCTGTATCCACGCCGCAAAGTCTTTCAGGCATTTTCAGGTCGGCTTTACACAGGGCAGAGAAAACAAAATGTCCAAACAAAATAGCATTTTAGGTGGTTTTATTGTCCAAGCAAATGCAAACATGCAGAACTGCCGCCGCTCCTCTCGCTGGTAAAAACCATATGCCCAAAACGCCTCCACGCTGCACCTCCCCCCATAGCCCTATTTAACCTCGTGACCTAAATTAAATTAGATAAGCAATAAATAACCCACAATTATCATAGCAATCCTAGCAAAATAACTAACTAAAGTAGAATAAAAAAATAGACAAATAGCTCTAACACATTCATTGAATATTTCCAGATCAGCAGCAGGCGCCCGGTAAATGCAGCTTATGAAAGTTGATCTCTTGTTTGGAATTATAAGTTCAACTGTGATAGATTCAAAAATATCATTAACAACTAAAGACATATTTTCTATTATGGAACATTTAATATTGTTATCTATATACAGCGCCACACCTCCTCCACGTTTGTGTTGTCTGTGAGTACAAACATATAACCATCCATTATAAACTCATTTCCCATATCCTTACTTAACCATGTCTCAGAGGAATGTTAAAAGAGGATTTAAATTGTTTTAAGCAGTCCTGGATGGAATCATAATTTGCAAATAAACTTCTACTGTTAAAATGAACTAAAGAAATTACATTATCCAGTGTGAATTCTTTGTGAAATGTGTCTTCAGTATAATACAAACAATCATTGAGTTTTGAGAGAATACTGCTGTCCGGATCCATTTCATTCATTTAACTTTGTGATTTATAATTAATATTGTTGGTGATTTTAACCATTTGGTCCAAATTGAGATGATATAGATCTGTGTCAGCCTCCTCAACGTCAGAGGAGTCTATACTATCGAAGCTGGACATGTAATGCTTGCTCAGAAACATGAATCAGAGAAGAGGGGGAGCAGTCACAGAGCAAGGGCCACAGACACACAACAGACACAAGCACACAACAACAGCATCTTCCAAGCACACACACAAACAATATTGCACCTACACTCATGCAAACACCTACAATGTGCTTTAATATCATTTTTATTAGTGATGAGTAAATTTGTGCCAGTCTTTTGGCACCATTGCTACGCTTTGGTTCATTCTCACTGTCATTTACTGACAGATTACGTCTATACGTGATGACGTATGAGCCGGATGGTGGGTTTTAGACGGGATGTCTTAAAAGCGGCGTGTTTATGGTCCGCATGGTTAAAATAAAGCAACTAAAAGAATACCTGGTCATGATTCAATTCAGAGTGCAGTTTCTAATTGCACACAACAATGGCGACGAGGAAAACGAGGACCATTTTTTGTATTTTTTTTTGTGTAAAGCGAGAAAACCGACGGTGAGCGGGTTGGCAGGAATCGTTTTAAGCTAACATGGAACAGTCTGGCATTCAACCGTTTGCTTGCTTCACGGATTCAGCTACACTCGGACCGAGATGGACACGATGGTTAACATCTTTCGAGTTGTTTGCGGACGGGAAAGGATTAATTTTAGCGGATGATGCTACAGATGCAATCAAACAGCGGAGACGTGCCCTTCTACTGCACTTGGCCGGGCAGGACGTGCAGGACATTTTTTCTACTTTACCACGCACGGGCGAAGTGACTGTCTACGTGGCGGCGGTGGAGGCACTCAACACGTATTTTGTTCCTCAAGTGAATGCAGCATATGCACGCCAAACTTTTCACAAATTGTTCCAAAAACAAGGTGAGACTGTGCAACAATTTGGTACACGTTTGAGACAAGCTGCAAAGGACTGTGACTTTCGGGGAGACAGGGATAACCAAATAAGAGATGCTATCCTGTTTAAATGCACTTCTGAATACGTACGGAGGAAGCTACTCGAAGAAGGTCCAGGTTTAACGTTAGCCTGCACGTTGGAGGTGGCTTCGCAATGTGAACGAGTGGAGGAGCAGTTGGCTGCAATGAGCGTTACCGGGGAGAGGAAAGAAGGAGACACCGTCAACCGGATCGCAACGACCAAGAAAGGAAAGTACATGAAACCAAAAGCAAAAATGAAATGTGGCAGGTGTAGGTGTGGTCATGGGTGTGGCCTGGTCACATGACCAAGGCTTTAAAAGACAGGCAACCAGGGCTCACTTCCTCTTCCTGAGCCAGCCTGTTCACAATCAGACTCTGGTGAGCTGAAAGTGTTTAGAGTGATTTTATATTTGTATTGATTGTATATTTTAAAAATACTTTGTTAATGTCTTTTAAGGGTTACAACAGTCCTGTCTTGTTGAGGTATGCTTTTATAAATCTTGTTTGTATTTTATAATTCATTTTATTAATTGCACTGGGTTTTATTCATAGGCCCAGTGCTGGTTGCCGTTTACTTTATATTTAGATTTTGCTTATTTTAGTTTGTGTAGAGTTACTTTGTTGATAGCTGGGGTGACGAGGCTCACTTTAAGTGGTGGCTTTGTTTGTAGTTTTGGTGTAGGTGGCACATGTATGTTTATGGTGATTTCTGTTGTGGGGATGGATTTCTGTTTACTTTTGTGTTTTCTTTTCATATAGACTGCCCCTCACCCCAGCTTCAAGTTTCACTGTTGTAGTTCAATAGTACCATTTTCTGTTTTTAATACTTATGTAATGTAAATAAAAGCTGCCATAGGGCTGTTGGACCCACTCTGACTGTCTGGCTTTGTTATTGAAGCTCACCTGCATTCTACAACACTACAGTGTTACATTTGGCGTTGCTCGCAGGATTGAGCAGTCAGAGTGTGGTCATTATATTCTTTTTTTTTTACTTGTTTTTCCCAGAGTAGTTTAGTTTCATGTAAACGGCAATCAGCACAGAAGTTTGGAGAGACCTACTCCTCCCAACCTACAGACGAGCTCCAGAAGAAGCTACAATCTAAAAGGATTATTATTTAAACACAGCTTGGCCTATAAAACAAAAAGGATGCCTGGCTTTGACGACGAATTACAAGCCATACACCACCAACTAAAAACTTTGCAAGCTGAGAATGACCAGTTTAAAAGGTCTATGGCCACTGCCAGCCCCAGAGTGGACAGAACTGTGTATATACCTCGTGAAAGAAGGTGCCCTAAATTCTATGGTTTTAAAGACTCTCCAGATAGTGTCCGTTTGGAAGACTGGATTGAGGAAGTGGATGCTTGTCTTGAAGGCAGACACCTCTCAGACAAGGAGAAATCTGTATTTATGTTGGACCACCTGGGTGGGGAGCCACGTAATGAGATTAGGCACCGTCCACTTTGTGAGAGAGAGAATCCCATTAGAATTGTGGCCATTCTTAAAGAATTATATAGTGGTCAAAAACCTTTGGTAGTGCTTTTAAAACAGTTTTACGATCGTAAACAACAGCACGGAGAGTCACTCAGGCAATTCTCACATGTTTTAATGACTTTGATGGACTGTGTCCTCGACAGCAATCCTGACGCCGTTCCTAATCAACAAACAATGCTTAGGGACCAGTTTGTGGAGCATGTGAGGGATGGAATTCTACGACGCCATCTGAAGGATGTGGTAAAACAGGACCCAAGAATGTCATTGATAGAGGTTCGTGAAGAAGCCATTAGATGGTCGGAAAATATTGATGGAGATGCTCACACACAGTTATCCTATGACTGTAATGAGGCTAGTAGTTATGTGAGACCTGCTGCCCCTATAGCGCAAAAACCATCCACAGAGCTCCAGACTATTGCTGAGCTCTTAAAACAGCAACAGACTCAAATCGCTACATTAACTGAGCAGCTTCAATCATTGCAAACCAGTTTAAAACCGAATCCTTCAAAATGGTCAACAGTTAAAAAATGTCTCAGGTGTGACAAAGTGGGCCACATTGCCCGTTACTGCAGACAGCCACTGCCAAGTGATTCACATCAGGAAAGGCCGGTAGTGCAATCAATTCGCTCAGAGTCGTCGGAAAACTCTCACCTTCTGTTGTTTTGAGCCAGACATCAGAAGGAGTTGACCTTGGCTCTACACCAGTGCCTCCTAATCTTCTACAGCAACTGGTGGGCACCTGCTCAGTTGTGGACCTGGCGATAAATGGTGTGAAAGTACCAGCGCTATTAGACACAGGTTCAAATGTGACTACTATCACACACAGTTTCTTTGCTGCTCATTTTGACCCAAGTAAGCATGCTATTAATAACTGTAGGTGGCTTAATTTGACAGCTGCAAATGGACTCGCCATTCCTTACCATGGCTATGTAGAGGTGGATGTGACTGTCCTCGGAAGGACTCTACCAGCATGTGGAATACTAATTGTTAAGGATCCACACGGACTTACTGCTTTCTCAAGGCAAAAGCGGCATGTCCCAGGACTTCTTGGCATGAACATTATTCAGAGACTCTATGACAACCTCTACAGGGAGCATGGCGTTGCAATGTTTACCATCCCTGAGGTCGCACAAGCAGTTCCTGGCTGGAGAGAAGCTCTTCAACAGTGCCACCTGCTGGAAACTGGAGATGGGACTGCTGGTCAACTGCGGGTACAATCTACTGGACCACTCTTGATCCCTGCAGGCACAACTGTTATGGTCCCAGCTACCGGCCCAAAAGGTAAAGACTACACCACACAGACACTACTGTTAGAGCAAGATCACAGCACTAACCACCTCCCCGCTGGCCTTTTGATCTCAACATCATTAGTTTCTTGTAAAAATGGACTGGCACATGTTCCAGTGTCTAATGTAAGCAGAGAGCCTGTTTATATTCAACCCAGAGTGACTCTAGGTCTGCTTCAGTATGTGTCCGTTGTCGATTATAATGCATCCTCTGTTGTGTTCACAGAGGCTAGTGAGGGGCACGGGCAAGTCACAGTGACATGTTCTCAGGTGTCAGCCAATAATGAGCATCCAATGGATTTTGACGCTGTAGATTTGTCTGCATTAACTCATACAGACCAAAATGCTGTAAGGCAACTGCTCACGCAATACTCAACAGTTTTTTCCAAGAACGATTCAGATTTAGGCTGTACATCACTCATTGAGCATCACATTCCTCTTCTTGATGATGTACCAACGAAACAGCGTTATCGCCGCATTCCTCCATCTCAGTTTGAACTGGTTAAGGCCCATATCAGACAACTACTCGACTCAGAGGTAATTAGAGAGAGCTGTAGTCCATATGCTGCCCCCTTAGTTTTGGTTTTAAAAAAAGATGGCTCACTCAGAATGTGTGTCGACTACAGACAACTGAATGCCAAAACACGAAAAGATGCCTATCCCTTACCACGGATAGAGGAATCATTGGATGCTCTTTCTGGGGCCAAATGGTTTTCTACTTTGGATCTGGCAAGTGGATATAACCAGGTGCCAGTTGCAGAAAGTGATAAACCTAAAACTGCTTTTTGCACACCTTTTGGTCTTTTTGAATTTAATAGAATGGCCTTTGGGTTGTGCAACGCCCCAAGCACATTTCAAAGGCTGATGGAACGATTATTTGGCGATCAAAGCTTCCAGTCTTTGTTGTTATACTTGGATGATGTAATAATTTTCTCTACATCTGTTGAACAGCATCTGCACAGACTGGAGATGGTCCTGAGCCGCCTGCAAAAGGAAAACCTTAAGATCAAACTAAGTAAATGCTGTTTTTTTCAACATCAAGTGAAATATCTTGGACATGTAGTTTCAACAAAGGGGGTATCAACGGATCCTGCTAAAATATCAGCTGTGGCAACATGGAAGCGTCCAGAAACAGTCCAAGAACTGAAATCATTCCTTGGGTTCTGCAGTTACTACCGACGATTTGTCCCTGGCTTCGCACAAATTGCAGGACCACTAAATAACTTGGCAGCGGAACTGTCTCCGAAGAACAGGAACAGTAAGAAAATTACTGTAAAACATCTCTGGACTGAGGTATGTGAAGCAGCATTTCAAACTCTCAAAACCAAACTTACAACAGCTCCAGTGTTGGCATATGCAAACTTCAACAAGCCCTTTATCTTGGATGTGGACGCTAGCCATCATGGCCTAGGGGCAGTATTGTCACAGGAATGTGATGGTAAAATTCGTCCCATTGCTTTTGCTAGTAGAGGTTTGAGAAAAACTGAGAGAAATATGCAAAATTACAGTTCAATGAAATTGGAATTTTTAGCACTAAAGTGGGCTGTCACAGAAAAGTTCAGAGAGTATCTTCTGGGTCACAAATGTGTTGTACATACAGATAATAATTAAGTAATCTTTTTAAGTAATCTTTATTTATATACCGCCTTTTCACTGCAGATCTGAGTCTCAAAGCGGTTTACAATTGTTATTATTTTTAACAATTGTTATTATTTTTAACAATTGTTATTATTTTTAACAATAATCCACTCAGCCACTTACAGACAGCTAAATTGGGGGCAGTAGAACAGAGATGGGCCTCTGAGCTTGCATGTTTTGATTTAGACATTAAATATAAACCAGGGCGCTGTCATGGAAATGCAGATGGTTTGTCAAGACAAAATGTCACATCTGAACAAATAGCATCTGTGGCATCCACTACAATCCTGCCTTTGAGCCTTAGAGGTGCCCTGAAAAGTGACACAGACACCCCTTACACCTGTGTATCTCAAGCAATGACTGTAACACCCTGGCCTCCAGACACGGACATTTCTGTTTTGCAGGCGGAGGATCCCTCACTTACGGAATTCCGTGTCTTTTGGGACAGGGGTAACCAGCCAGACCGACATGAAAGGATGAGGATGTCCCCGATGGTCCTGAAATTGGTGAGGCAATGGGACAGAATTGTCGAAAAACATGGCATTCTGTACAGGCAAGTCTCGCCACCAGAGGGAGGGCCACCAACACATCAGCTGTTGCTTCCACAATGCCTGCAGCTCAAAGCTCTTCAGTTTTCCCACGACCAACATGGTCACCAGGGGGTAGATCGCACCCTAGACCTCATCAGAAAACGTTGCTACTGGCCAGGTATGGACCAAACTGTTCAAGCCTATTGCCGAGATTGTGAACGCTGTACAGTGTCAAAAAAGGGAAACTTACATCCGCGGAGCTTTATGGGACATTTACTAGCTAAAAGACCTAATGACATTTTGGCCATAGACTTCACTGTCTTGGATGTATCATCAAATGGTACAGAAAATGTCCTCATAATGACAGATGTATTCTCAAAATACACGCAGGCCATCCCAACAAAAGATCAAACTGCTGATACAGTGGCCCAAGCTCTTGTCAATAACTGGTTCCATATTTTTGGTGTTCCAGGCCAGTTACACTCAGATCAAGGACGTTGCTTTGAAGCTAAAGTAATTCAGCAATTATGCAACATGTATGACATCACAAAAACCAGAACGACACCATACAGGCCTCAAGGCAATGGGCAGTGTGAACGTTTTAATAGGACATTGCATGATTTGCTCCGCACCTTACCACATGACAAGAAAAAACAGTGGCCAAAACACTTATCCCATGTAGTCTTTGCTTACAATACAACAAGACATCATTCCACTGGACAATCTCCATATTTTTTAATGTTTGGACAGGAGCCAAAGCTGCCGATTGACTGCCTGTTGGGAACGATGGAAACCACAGAAGAGTGGACCTATAACCATCGAGATGCCATTGAACACATCTTCCAAGATGCAAGAAATAAATTACAACATGCCGCTACAAGACGAGCCATACGTCACAATGTCAAGGTAAAGCCGGACGTTTTGCAGATTGGCCAGTTGGTTTACTGTCGTGACCATAGTCACAAAGGTCGTCACAAAATACAAGACTACTGGTCTCCAGTGCTGTACAAGGTGCTTCAAAGTCCAGCAGAGGGTGGATCCGTTTACACTGTGACAACAGCAGATGGTAAAGGAAAATCTAAACAAATTCACAGATCAGAAATTCGCCCTGCTCAAGTCACCCAAAACACTACTGAATTAATACCAGATTTGGGGTTCCCTGAACAAATGCTAACTGAACAGGATGATGATTCTGAAATTTCTTTTGTGTTAGTGGAACATCATCCTGTTGAAAGGACTCAAATACTTGGGGAGCCTGGACCTCCTGCTATGGTGTCAAAAGCTGCCACTCCTCTAGCAATAGGATTACGCCGCTCTCAAAGGACTACAGCCGGCCAACATCCCAATCCATATAACCTGCCAGGACCGCTCATACAAAAGGGGTTGTCACAAGTGTGTGCAGGTGCCCCTAAGGTGACTTTTCATAGGCCCTGGCTTTGAAGACTTCGACGGGACGTCGATTCAAATCCTAGGGGTATATGTGGCAGGTGTAGGTGTGGTCATGGGTGTGGCCTGGTCACATGACCAAGGCTTTAAAAGACAGGCAACCAGGGCTCACTTCCTCTTCCTGAGCCAGCCTGTTCACAATCAGACTCTGGTGAGCGTTTAGTGTTTAGAGTGATTTTATATTTGTATTGATTGTATATTTTAAAAATACTTTGTTAATGTCTTTTAAGGGTTACAACAGTCCTGTCTTGTTGAGGTATGCTTTTATAAATCTTGTTTGTATTTTATAATTCATTTTATTAATTGCACTGGGTTTTATTCATAGGCCCAGTGCTGGTTGCCGTTTACTTTATATTTAGATTTTGCTTATTTTAGTTTGTGTAGAGTTACTTTGTTGATAGCTGGGGTGACGAGGCTCACTTTAAGTGGTGGCTTTGTTTGTAGTTTTGGTGTAGGTGGCACATGTATGTTTATGGTGATTTCTGTTGTGGGGATGGATTTCTGGTTACTTTTGTGTTTGCTTTTCATATAGACTGCCCCTCACCCCAGCTTCAAGTTTCACTGTTGTAGTTCAATAGTACCATTTTCTGTTTTTAATACTTATGTATCCATTGCTCCATCCATCCATTCCTCCATCCATCCCACCTTCCATCCATCCATCCATCCCTCCCTCCATCCCTCCATCCATCCATTCATCCGCATTCCATCATCCGATCATCCATCCATCCATTCATCCATCATTCCAATCCTTCCGTTCATCCTTCCATTCATCATTCCATCCATCCATCCATCCTTCCGTTCATCCTTCCATGCATCCTTCCATCCATCCTTCCATTCATCCTTCCGTTCATCCTTCCATCCTTCATTCCATCCATCCATCCCTCCATCCATCCATCCATCCCACCTTCCATCCATCCCTCCATCCATCCATCCCACCTTCCATCCATCCATCTATCCATCCCTCCATCCATCCCACCTTCCATCCATCAATCCATCCATCCCTTCCATCCATCCATCCATCCCTTCCATCCATCCATCCATCCATCCATCCCTCCATCCATTGCTCCATCC